AGCTGGCTCTTCAATATTCTCAGTGCTTTGGATCAATTCTGTGTTTATTTCTTTGACTTTATGTGAGAAACCTGGCATATCTACAACTTCCCTAGCATTGGCTGCTTCAAGAGCTTCTGACTCTTCTGGTTCTAATCTTGTAGTGGTGCAGGCTGGTTCAGTAGGTAAAGGCTCAACACATTTCTTTAATTGATTAATATGAACAACCCGAGGGTTTGATTGAGGTGAATTACAACTTGTTATTGTTACATGAACTCCATTGATCTCTACTACTCGAAATACTCCTTTCCATGGAAGATGAAACTTCTTCGAAGATCCAACTTTGCCAGTATAATTTCTTAACAGGACCCTATCACCTATACTAACAGTTGGGTTTCGTAATAATCTGTCATAATATGTTTTTGTTCGTAGTTGTGCTTCTTTGTTTGCTTCTGCAGCGCACCTCCATGCGTGTCTTAGAGAAACTATAATCTTTTGCTTTATTTCTTGCTCATCGCTAATTGCAATTGGCTCTCTGACTTTGGGATCGAGAATTAAATCGACACAAAATATGGGGTCTCTACCGTACATCAAGAAAAACGGAGTCTCATTTGTTGATTGGTGCACCGAAGTGTTATAACAGAAATTTGCAAAATCTAAATGCTCATCGAAATCTGGCTGATCTTTTGTTATATATTTGGCAAGAATATTGTGAAACGTCCTGAACGACCTTTCTGTCACTGCATTTCCCTGACTCCAATGGGGAATCGCGTAAGTCTTATTTATATAAAGCATTGCACACAAACTCTTAAAGAAATCTGATGTAAACGCCGAAGCATTGTCAGATATTAGCTCTGTACAACCACCAAACTTTAAATAACAATTTTTGAGGAACGCCGAAGCAATCGTGGACGCTTTAGCATCAGGAATAGGCACAGAAATAACAAATTTTGTGAACCAACAAACAATATTTAAAATGTGTTTATTTCCGCTCTGCGTTTTTGGAAAAGGCCCAGCTAAATCCAATCCTACTTTGGCAAAAAGAGTGTTTATAGGTGGAGTGCACATCTCTGCTCTGTAGGCCGGATTTGGTGAATGTCTAAGTTGGCAAGTGATACACTGCTTATGCCAGACTACTATGTCTGAATGCATTCGCGGCCAGTAATATTTCTTACACTTTTTCAATGTTTTACCGAAGTCCATATGTCCCCCACCTAACTTAGTTGTATGAAATGAATCAAAAATTAAAGCTCTAAGCGAAATTGGTATATAAATTCTTGGCTTCATATTTTTGTAATGTTGATATAAAACACCGGATTCTATACATAAATCTTTGGCTAGTAAGGCAAGTCTGTCCTTTTCCTCTTCATCTAGCTCTCCGGGGAATTTTCCAATCTTTAAGAATTCGATTAGTGCTGAGGCTTCAGGATCTTCTCCTTGTTCCTTTTTAATGTCTACTTGGTGTATCTCCCCATCTATAGTCCTAAGAGAAAGTGTCAAACCGAAGTCTTCATGAACTACTCTGGGCTTAGGTTGAATTGCCAGACACACTGGAAATTCTGCTATGTCTTCCAATTCCTTAATTTTATTAACCTCTTCAAGGCTTAAATCTTCATGCGGAATCCTCGAAAGGGCATCAGCTAATGTATTTTGCTTTCCCGCTATGTGTACTATTTTAATATTATAATTTTGCAGTTCTACCAACCACCTTGCTAGGTGCTGATGTGTTTCAGCTTTCTTCAGGAGGAAAGCTAAGGGTTTGTGATCAGTATGAAGTTCTACACTAGACATAAATATAAAAGGTTTGAACTGCCGAAGCGCATAAATTATAGCACCCAGTTCAACTTGGACTGGCGGCCAATTCCGTTCTGAGGATGAGAGGGTTCTACTACAGTAACAGATTACTCCATATACTTTATTTTCTTCATCCCACTGCATTAGGGCTCCTCCTTGCCCGACTTGAGATCAGACGTGGGCGAAACGTTTCGTTTCGTTTCGTTGTTTCGTATGTTTCGTATGATTTTTACTGTTTCGTCTCGTTTCGTTACGAAACACTTTTAAATTTGTTTCGTTTCGTTTCGTTACGAAACACCTGTGATTTTTCAACGAAACGAAACAATTTTTTAAGCCTAAACTAAGGCCAAAATCTATAAAATTTACCATCTTTTATTGAAAATTTAAAAAATTTTCGCCTGCGGCGCTGAAAAAAAAAGAATTTCGGCTTCTTGGCTTTCCCAAATTGTCAAAATTTTCGCCTGCGGCGCTGAAAAAGGAAGATAGCAATTACTTATATACTACAAATCCGTTTATACTCCACTCCCTAATCCACATATACATATTACTTAATCGACGACAAATTCTATTACCGGACTCGCATCATAATTTAAAAATTGCGGATTGCGAGTTGCGGAAATACTGGAACCGGAACTTCCGGCGAAGCACTAGCTTATATCGCCTTCCTCTCGAAATGGAGATATGGAGACAATTTGGGTAGGCAATGGAGCAAGATAGTGAATTTTTTGGCCTACGGCCTTTCAAAATTTTAAAATTTTTCGTCTGCGGCGCTTAAAATAAAATTTTACTTGAAAAATATTCAATTTTATTTAAAAAAAAGCGTCGCCAAAAATTTGGCTTCGAAAATGATTGACCCCCCCCCCTTCCCCGAAAATTTTCCTTGCTACGGGCCTGGCTTATGGGACACAATTGTTGTAAATAAACCAATAACTAAATCATTTATAAGTCATAGTCGACTAATAACGTATTTGAGGTCGAATAATTTCGAAATAAATGCAGTTTTGAAAATTTTTTGAATATTAAAATGTTTCGTTTTGTTTCGTTTCGTTTCGTAAGATTTTGGTTGTTTCGTTTCGTTTCGTTAACGAAACGATTTTTAAAAAATTTTGTTTCGTTTCGTTTCGTCAGAAAAAAATTTTGAGTTTCGCCCAGGTCTGCTTGAGATGCATCACAAAATATGTGAAAGGGTTTCGAATAGTCCGGAAAAATAAGGACCGGTTTTTCTGACAGAATTTTCTTTACTTTTTCAAAGGCTTCCTGCTGCTCTTCTGCCCAAACAAAAGGGTTCTCTTTTCTGGTTAACCTTGTTAATGGCTCTACAATTGTGGAAAAATTGGGTACATGCTTCCTAAAAAAGTTTGCCATACCTACTACATGTCTAACATCTCTAACCGAAGTTGGTACTTTTAAATTTAAAATCGTTTCTGTTTTCCTTAAACTTGGGGTATACCCTGACTCATTGACAATAAATCCTAGAAATTCCATGCTTTTCGAGGCAAAAGTGCATTTTTTGGGACTTAACTTAAGATTAAAGCGTCTAAATCTTTCAAATACACCCCTAAGGGCTTTAATATGTTCTTCAAAATTTTCTGATTTGGTAAAGATAAGTATGTCATCAACATATGCTATGACATTTTCTAATCCTGTTAGTACATGTGCCATGACTCTCGCAAAAGCACTCGTGGCATTTTTCAAACCAAATGGCAGATTTATCATTTGATAAATTTTATCTTCTGTAATTACACCACATTTCCTTGAGGCTCTCTCACTTAATTTAATTTGAAGATAGCCGCTGGCTAAGTCAAGTGACGAATAGTACCTGCAGTTGCCAACTTTTTCCAAAATTGTTTCAAGTCTGGGTAAGGGAAAGTGATCCGGTACTGTCACTTCGTTAAGTTTCCTAAAATCAATGCATGGCCGAAGCCCGCCATCCTTTTTCTGAACTAGCACTATATTGGAAACCCAGGGAGTATCAGACTCAACCATAACCCCTGAGGCTAAGAGCTGATCCAAGTGCTTTTGTAACTCATCACGATATTTAAATGGTACCCTGTGTGGTTTAGATGCAACTGGCTCTTCAGACGTGGTTACTATATCATGTTCACCCGCTGTGCAGCTCCCTATATCATATTGACTTTTACTAAAAATATCTTCAAATTCCTCGCAAAGATCCTTTAATTTCTTAAGATCTTCTCCCTGAACCGTTGATTTTTCAAAATCTATTTTAAAAGTTGGATCAATTATTATTCCAGGCTTCCCTAAGGAATTCATTTCTTGCACCTCTTCACTTGAATTTGGAATAACTTCGGATAATATACCATCCGTTTCAGTTTTTACAACTTCGCTGGCTAACCCTAAGGTTTTTCCTTTGTAAATTATCTTAGTTGTACCTGTAGGGTTTGTTACTATCAGATGAATAACGCCCTCTTTAGGATTCACAACCGCTGGGACCATGCTTAAACATTCTTCCTCAAGTTGAGAGTCTAACGAATGTACAAATACGTCATGCCTAATCAATTCAGGAAAACATATTTTTGCTTTTATTAAAGTTTGCTCATTTGGTCTTAATTCAAATTTTTCCATTGCATAAATTTTTAAGTCTCTGAGTGGTCTATTTATTTTATTATCCATGGCTAGTTGGTTCCCAAGAATACACAACCTTTTATTTTTAAGATCAACTTGGATGGGAGGTAGTAACGCCATTGCATCACAACCCATAATAAAATGGTAATCATGATTATCCCAGTGAAATTTATCATTGAAAAGGTGAATAGTTATTTCAGCTGCAGCTCCCGCAATTTTTAAATTTACTAAAGTTGCTTGCCGAGCACACATAGAGTGCTCTGATGCACTCTGCAAGTGTGTTTCTGTCTTAAAAATTTTTGTTCCTAACCATTCAGCTAAAGATACATTTGCTACCGAAGTAATTGCACCAGTGTCTAACAAACATCTCACTGGTGTGCCATTTAAAGTTACATCAACTATAACAGTGTTTGCACTTGACCCTAATACTCCGATGAATCCTCTGGTTCGATTCATTTCTATCGTGGACCTTGGTCTTGTGTTCATTGTGCTTCTCGGGAGTGTGTTTGAACTAGTAGTGTTCCTAATTGAGGGTGGCCATGAGGTAGATAATGGTCTATTACTTATTGGCTCCTCATAGGTATTATCTATTTCAGGAATGGGTTCAGGTACTCGACGAATGTCCAACATTTGTCTCTGGGGTTTTTGTACCACAGGACCGAATAATAGTCTCCCCAATCTTCCATTCCCGGCATACATTTCAGCTACTATCATTGTCAATCTTATACCGAAGTCTAAAACTAAAATTCCCAAAATAATATATATAATTGTTTTCCATACACTTTCATAGTCGCCAACTGCCCTATTTAATATCTGCCGTTCAACCTCTTCCCATTCTTGAGACATAGTTGCTAATACTATTGTGTCTTTTTCATGTATTTTGTATGTCATTTGACTAATCTTAACCATATTTGTCACAAATGAATGGTCCTTAATATCAGTCATATTTAATAACACTAGTTGGTGAAAAGCGTGGGATTCAATTTTTGGAATTAAATTGGTCCAATTTAATTTTAATTTTTGTAAATTTAATTTATTAGGTTTCACCGAAATGATTTTTCCTTCTATTTGGTCAACTTCTAAAATTTGATTATTAATCTGAATAATTATTTTCCTAAATTCTTCACATGGCCCTTTCTTAGACCAGGGTGAGATAATCATTGTGCTTGGATCAATAAATGATAATCGCTCATTACTTTCAGTTCGTAATATAATTGGAAGAAATTCAAAACATTCATTTAATTTTGTGGGCTTAAGCTCATAATCTTCTTTTTCTAAGGGTATACAAGGCCAAATTTTCAGAAGAGACCTCGCAGTCCTCTTAGCTATAAGGAATGAGTTAGAAAATATTGATCGTGCTAAATCAGTGGGGTTTGTCAGATAAGATGCTTCAGTCCAATGTTTAACCATCTCAGTATACTCACAGAACGAATTAAACGATTGTGCAAAAGCAAAATTTGTGGCCTTGGTTATTGCAAGATCTAGGTTGTCAGCTGAGAGGCAAGCTGGGACGAGGTAACTAATCCATCAGAAAATCTTTTAGTATAAACTCTTTCAGAATGTCTCTTAGTCCTGTGTTGTTCTAACGATGCTACTACTACTGATCCTAAACCTTGATCCGAAACTGTAATGTTTTTGCCACAGTCCTCTATAATTGTCTCATTTTCGAAAGTCAACCCTAATTTACCATCATCCGAAAGCCAGGCTTTGCCTAGACATCTGCCTTCTTTCTCACCTATAGGAATAAAGTTACATTTTTTGACATTGTCAACTGTCCATACAAGTACTGTTTTATCTTCTAAAATGCAGTTACCTTTGCTATAAGGACAGTCACGAGCAAACCCTAGGGGGGTGACAATTTCAGAAGCACCAAAGTGCGAGTCAATTATGCTCTCAAAAAGAAAACAATTTTTACTTGATATATTTTTCCAGGAGAATGAGCCTAGTACCCACAATCTTGGCGTCAGATCAATTTTATTTTCTGTCTGCCAGAGTTCAGAATTTTTCTTGAGAATCCCTAAGGAACAGCTATGGTGTTTAATCATTTGATTACACTCTTCAACTGTCAGGTCTATTTCCTCATGACTTAATTTTTCTTCAATCGGCACTCCTGTTATTGTGGTATATTTCCTAGCATTCTTTCTTATTTTTCTACAGGCCCAAGCTTTAGTTGAAAATTCAATGCTATTTGGTACATAAATTCTTCTTTTTTCTACAACTGTATTGTTTTTCACTGTTAAATTGAGTGTGGGACAGCTAGGGATTTCTGGAACTTCCCAAATCATGGCTTGCTTATGTGTTTGGCATATCATAGGACCTTTGGGTATTAATACAGGATTGATAGCTAATGTACAACAAAACATCATTATTAACATTAGTGAAGTTCCCATGAGTGAAGGGATTCTAACTCTGCGCCCTGTGCTCTCCCAACTTGAAATTTTCTTGGGCTCCTCTTTTCCTTTAGCTTCAGGTTTTGTCTCCACATTTTCAGGTGTCGGGGGTGGAATTACTGGTTGTAAAGATCTAATGTTTCCTTGATTCGCCGAAGCGTACTTGCCACTCATTTTCATTTCGTGAACCTGGACCGCTAAGTTTTCAACCATTTCCTTTATATTTTGGTCCTCTTTTCTTGCTCCCCTTTCATTGAACCTATTTCCATTACTAGTATATTCATTATTGTTTAATCTGCGGACCCTACAATTATATTGCTCATGACCGGTTCGTCGACAATAGTGACAAAATGGGCGGTTATTCCACCTACGATCATTCTGAGGTTGCCATTGACTTCTTCCCCGGTACCCTCTATACCCTAATGGTTGGGCATTACTTGAGGTTGCATTTCCTTGCTGATTTCTGTTAAATCCCCTAAGGGTACGTGGGTTATTATATGTGTTTATTGGTCTCCAGTTAGTAAATCTTCCACTGGGAATCTGACCTTGTTGATCAGAAATTGTATGGATTCCATCAGAAAATAACCTTCCCTCTTTTTCTGCGGCTACTTCAAGTTCTTGAACATAAGCTGTAAGCTTATCAAAATCTTTTCTGCCTATCAGAGGGCCTACTAATTGCAAGGATCTCTGGAATTCTGGTCGTACTTTTTCCATAAAACACCTACACAATGTTTCATCTTTAGCTTCCTGAGGTACATGAGACGAAGTGGTATTAACTAATGGTACCAGTCTTTTAATAAAATCGCTGACTGATTCTCCTTCTCGCTGATAGCATGCAGCTAGCCTTTTATACGCGAGCTCCCTAAAGTGCGGACTATCTAGTTTATTTCTTATATTTTTCAATGCATTTGCCAAATTATTCCTTTCTGCGGGCAACAAGCTTTCAAATATACACCTTGCCTGAGTGCCTAGATATAGTTTAAGTCTATTGATTTTCTCAGGCTCTGACCAATTGGTCCCAAAAACATCAATATAATCTTTGAATTTAACTATCCATTCATCAAACGCCGAAGCGGTTTCCCCATTAAACACAACTAGTTGCGGGCCCGAAGAACTAGCTTCACCCAAAACATAAATTCCATTTTCATGGTTTTCTAAATCAGCCCCTTCATTTAAATTTTGGGAATTGTTAGGTTTACATTTGTTGCTCCCTAAGGAGGTTGACTGTGATTTATCTGCTATACTTGAGGATTGTGACTGGGTTTTGGGTGGTGGTGGAGGAATTATTTCAGGTCTTCTGTTCGTGTTTAGGAATCTTTCTGCACCACTACTTCTTCTAATCTCATCAAATTCAAAATTATCTCTTGTTTCTAAATCCTCTATAATTTTTTCAACTTTTTCTTCAACTAAGGTTAATTTATCCCCTAAGGTGTCAATTCTGCCAGCTACTTCCTTAAACCCAGCATTAGTATCATTTTCTATGGTAGTTATCGACTCCCCTACTTGAACTATATTCCTATTAATCGCTCTAATACTGCGATTGACTCCGTCCTCCAAAATTATAATATCATTATGTACGCGAGCTAAGTCTGCTATTTTTGCTGGAGTGCTTATTGTTTTTCCCTCCATCATTTTTCTATCAACTACTGATATATCCGTTTCCATTCCCACTTTTTATTTAATATTTATATTTTTATTTTATTATTTATTTGTTTATTATTTTTTTTTTTTTATATTTTTTTTAGTTTGAAGAAAAAAATAAAATATTTTTTTTTAACCCACTTTAACACCGAAGTGAATTGATTAAGTAATAAATCGCCGAAGCAAAAGTAAAATCAAACAAAAAAAATTTGTTGACAACCAATTAAAGCACAACACAAAAGCTATAAAATAGTTAACATTATTTTGATTAAAATAATTAAATTTATTAAAATTATTTTGTTTTGATTGTGGTCAGTCAGGGTGAAATTTATTTGTAGAAAAAAAATTTTTTTTTGAATACCTTGCGCTTAATTTCAGATTTGTGAGGTGATTTTAGAGATAGATCCTTAAATCAGATATGAATAAACATAAATGTGACATTAATTTCAAGAGGAAAAGGGATTGGAAGATCAGTACAATATAGAATCCATTTAGAAAACTGGTTCAGAAGGTAAGAAATTTGTCTGGTACAGCCTTAGAAATTGTCAAAACCAAAGTTAAACCAGTTACTGATGAGAGAAAAATAATTGAAATAATCATTTTTAGTATTAGGTTATTCCAGCTAATTGAACCATTTTACTTTTAAACCAGCCATAACGTTTTTGCATGGATAAAAAAAAAAAAAAAAATTTATAATTTATTCCAATTATTTTTCTCTCTAAGTATTTTTCGTTACTGTCTAGAGTATGTGAGATTTATACTAAGTATTGTTGACTATTGTTTAATTTATTAAATAAAAATCCTTTTTAAAGAGTGTCTTTCAGAGATGTTTTAAAATGAAAGAACAATTAATGCAATTTGAAAAAGAAAAATTATTTGTTAAAAAAATTGTAGAAAGAATTAAATCACTTCAAATATTTTAATTATGTCCCCTAAAAGAAGCTAAATTTCACATAAAAAGAAATTTAATAAATCAACATAAGTAAGGAATAGGATTCAGGTCTGGACAGATCCGTGTGTTTGAAAAAATAATTTTAATCATTGACTACACTATTTCAAGATACCACTTTAAATAAAAGATTCATAGGATCAGCCTAAACGGAAATGTTCTCATGTGTGAACTGAATAAATATATTTGAAATTTTTTGAGGTTGAGATTCAGTTTCCGTTTGAATAACCGTTTAAAAAGTAAAAGAAGACATATGAGAATACAGAACAGAAAAGAGGAGTTGGCAATTATTTAAAAATATTGAAAGAAATTTTATATATTAATATTAGAGAGCGAGTTGGGCCTGGATCAGGGCCTGGGTTTTTCCTGTACACAGAGTCCAGGCTCAGGCATTTTTTTTTTGCCTTCCTGGGTTTAACCACAAAATTAATCTCAAAACAATTAACTACAATTTGCCAGGTGAAAAAATAATAGGTCGACGAATTTTATTGGTCAATCCATAAACTTCTCTAAAACTCATTTCACTTTATTATTACTTTCAGCTGCAGTTTTTCAGCAAAAATCCAGTAATTGAGAGGGAGAATGTATGAAAAGAAAAATGAAAAAAGGACAAAAGGACAAAATAAAGAATGAATTTGTAATAGCTAGAATGAAGAATACAAAAATATTAAATATTTGTAAAATTGCAGATAGGAATTCCGGAAACCGTTCTACAATTACTCCTTACCATAACTAATCATAAGTATATTCCTGGACTGTAATTAGAATCCGGAAAAAAATGATTAAATTTTCCAAAAAAAAAAACTGAATTGTAAGTACTTGATTATAAATGTTTCCAGACTTCCAAAAACATACAAAGTTAGGTTTTGTTTGTCAGGACCAAAAACAACCAAAAATAATTATAAAAGAAATTACAAAAACTGAACGAAGAGTTCGAAGATTTGGATCGGGACTTGAAGCAGAAGGAGAAGAATTATTTGTTTGTTGAATATTTAATTTTTTGATTTTAAATAACGCCAATAAATTGAAAAATAAATTGAAAAATTAATTTAAAGAAGAAGCAGACAAAATAAAATGGGAAGGAATTGAATTTAAAATGGCAGAATATAAACCAGGATTACAATAAAATAATTTATAAACTGGAAGATTAAGTATAGTCTAAACATTAAATTCAATTAATACCATTATAATACCAAACAGAATACAAGAAATAAAAATTAAAAAGAAATACGGTGATAGTATAAGTACGAATTTTGTGTATATTCTTTAATTTAAAATTAAGTTTGATATTATTAAATTTAAAAAAAAAATATTTTTAATTTTAAAATAAACTAAAGTCAGATTTCATTCATAAAATACACAAAAATATCCTAAATTTAAGTACATTTAATAGATTTATTTGACTTTCTGGATGAGGGGAAAATACCCATAAATTATGGAAATACTCAGATAAGCTTGTATTAAAACAATAAATTAGAATTTTGATTAAATTCATTTACTATGCTAATTTTAGATACTTGTTAAGAGATTAAAATGTTTTAATTTGTGTTCTATCTGATGGACATAAAAAAAGGCTTTTTTTTGAAAGAAATTTAACTAAAAGAAATAGATATGAATTTCAAAGTAAAAAAACCTTTCTCTCTCTTTATTTCTTACTGCCATACTAAACATAATTCATTTGATTTTTAAGAAAGATATTGCTGGAATTAATATGGCCAATACTTTAACTAATTACCGAAGTTTAGGGGACGTCTAAATATCTTGCCTATTCTCGTTCAGTCTACATTTAAATTCTCTTCATTTAGAAAATAATGGGCTCTAAAATGGTGAAAGAGGAAGCGAAAACTGAAGTTTTTGCCCGTATGGATTTAAGCCATACAAACCAAGTAAAATTGTTTTTGGATACGGTGTTTCCGACAAACAATAGCGAAACTCTTTTTTTTTTTGGTCTTGTTACGGTATTTGCTTTAGGAATGTGCTGTATTGGACAAATTAGACTATAATTGATGAATATGTATTGTTTTTGTAGGAATAAATGCTAAATTGATTCTACAGTTAAAAAAACACTAAAAACGAACAATACGAGAAATAAATTGAATTATTTCTTATTCTTCTTACTCAGAAATTTCTAAATAAAAAAAAAAGTTCTTTACATTTGAATTATATGAGTAGAAGGGAAAAATAATGATTTTAGGAAAATAAACGTTTAAAAATCAAAAATAATTAATCTAAATCTATCTTAAAATATGACCGTTTATTTAGACCGAAGTACTTATTTATGAAGTGTAACTGGTTTTTTTTTTTTTACTTTACTAAACTTATACGTAAGATAAATCGACTTAAGTTGTTTTATAAAACATTAGGAGAATTTCCAAAAAATGTGACAGAATTTATAGGTCGACTGAATATTGTAAAGCAATTTTTTTTTTTTAGTAAACTTTTAAGTGATATAAATAGTGGAAATAAAATAATGTTTAGAAAGTCGAAAATAAGAAAGGCAGTATCTAAAATTAAAAAAATATATCTGAAATATTGCCTAAAGTGCTAAACAATTCAGCACATTAAAAAGTATTTTTGTACGCTTTTTTGTGTTTTGCTCTTTCTCTTTTCAGCTTCCTGATTGATAATTCCCCTTTTTTGGTAAATAATTTAGTTTTTAAATTGTAACAAAAGACTTTTCTTTGCCGAATAATAGGAGAAAAGAAAATATTTAGAAAAATAATTGTTAAAATAGGAGTAAAGCCTTTAAATCTATCTATAAATACAAAATTTTTTGAATTTTGTGAATCAACTTATTTACCAGAATTTCTTAAATATTTTCAATTGATTAGTTTAAATATAATATTGGGGAAAAATAAAGTATGTAAAGGATAAATTATAGAGAAATAGGAGATTTGAAATGAAATAAAAAAATATTTTAGAAGGAAGAAAATAGTTAATTAGTTGACTTTTAAAAGAAGTGCGAGTTTGACTAAAAAATGAGGGAAAATAAACGAAAATTAGTTTTTTTTTTTAATAATTAGATTGGCTTAATATTTTTTTTACTAAGAATATACCTTAAATCCACGCCAGATAATAATTCGCCCACCAATTGAATTCACACCCAACTCGGATTTGTTCACAACTTACTGAAATATCACAATATTAATATATATATTAAAAATAGAAATATCAGAATTTAGGGGAAAGAATTCTTCAAAAGGGGACTGGATTGAAGAAAGGAGTTACGAAAAAGGATTTCTTAAATTTATAGGAAACCATTGATAAATCTTTATTTTAAAAATTAATTTTTACTAATCTATTAAATCCCTTTTTTTTTAAACTCACAATGAACAAAATTGCACTCCCGAAAGAGAATTTTTTGTAGATTTTGATGAAATAAAATAAGATTGGTAAATAAGAAGATTTTTTGTCTAATTTGATAAATTTCTGAAACAAAATTATCAAAGTAAATACAAATAAAAATATATATTTTTTTAATAAAAATAGAGAGGAAAATCGTTTCTTCAGTTTAAAAGAAATAAAAATTTATAAATAATGTAAATAAAAATATTATTTTTACTCTTGGTCAGGAAAGCTTTTAATGTTTTTTATGATTAATTGTGTAAAAGCTTTTCCTTATTTTTTTTTTAAAAGGAAATTGTTCTCGCCTGATTATATCTTTTGACTATTATTATATATTAATAATTTATTATTTTTTAAAATAAAGTGTAATGGATGAGAAAGCTTTTTTTTTATAAATTTTATGATAAAGAGAAAGAGGGAAAAAAAATTTTGAAACTTTGCAAAGGACTTTAAACTTTTTTCTTTGTTAAGCAAAAATTGTTGAAAAATTGAAAATTTATTCAGGAGTAAGTACAAAGTGTCAGGATAAACTAATCTAAAGATAAAGCTAAAATACACTTATTTCGTGGATAAAAAGCAATTCAATTTCCTTGTAAATTTTGATGTAAATGCTAATAGAGGAGATAGTGTAACAAGACAAACCGAATGAGTTGAATTCCAAAATGTGTATTTTTCATCAAATCTAACTATGGATAATATATATAATTTTTTGAGTATTTTCCCCGAAGGTTATTTTTACACTAATATCTCTAACTTTTATTATTAAAATTTAAATTTATATTTATATAAAATTTATTTTTATAAGTTTATATTTATATATTTATATTTATATGATTTTTAATTTATTAATATTTTTTTTAATTTTATTTTTATAATGTATATTTAACCCGAAGGTTGGGACTTAAGTGCACTGCCCTATACCAATTTTAATTTATATACCGGTTTACCCTTTTTTTTTTAAATTATTATTTTCGGGATTTGCCTAGTTTTTCCTTTAAATTTTCCCCGTTACTCCCCCGGTGACGATCTTAGCCGGTGCTACCAGTAAAATGGGATCCCTAGTTAGATGTTATACTTTCTTAATTCTTTATATTCTGCGCCGAAGCGGCTGAACCATACCCAGATGTTAAGGGATATTGTAACGGGGAGGATGTGATCGGGACAATCCTAGAAGCTCCTTAGGGTTGATCAAGTCCTTCGGATTCTTCCCAACACCGAAACACACCGAAGTAATAAAACGCTTTATTTACAAACTAGGAAAATACGAATAATAAAATATCAGTTAGCTAAAACATAATAATAATGGAATAAAAGGGAAAGCTAACAATAATAATAAAGAACCAATTGTAAGTGAGAACAAAGGAATTAAACAGTTGTAAAGTGGGAGGGATAAAATGTTTGTTCACATGAAAATATCGGAAATAATATTGGACATTGAACCTCTATACAAAATACACAATTTGCTCGGTATTACCTTCGGGATTCGATTCTGTCTTACATTATTTTTATTACTTAAATGATAAATGGGAGGAAATTAATTGAAATTAAAATGTTAAATTTCAAAAATATATACATTTAATCCCGCTGATATATTAGTAGAAGCAGTCTGTGTACTAGTATTCATATTTTAAAATAATTTTCTTTTTAATTTAAAAACAGTTGATAAATCAAGAGATTAGAAGAATTTTATATAATAAAATAAAATTTAGTCAAATTAATTTAAAAGAAAAGTAAATGTTATTAAAATTCCCTATTAATTAATTCAAATAATATTAAAAATTTTATTGAATTATAAAATGCATGACGATATTTAAAAAGAAAAATTTGTAATTCATAAATATTAAAAAAGTTTAATTGTAATTTACATTCTTTAATTTTAACAAAAAATTAAAGTAATCTTTCTTATTCATTTAAAAGCAGATGTTGAATTAAATAATATATAATTTAAATACATATTTATTAAACTTTTATTTACTCAATTTTTAATTTTCAAAGTAATAATTTAAAATTAAACATCTGCTTAATTAAATGTTACATATAAATATTTACTCCACTTAAATGAATTTTTGTTATTTAAAATTTTCTAATTAATGAATTAAATATATGTACCTATATTATTTTTTAAAAGGTCAATAAAGTCATTTTTAAAAACTTTATTGATAAATAAAATTTTCTAAGGAAGGATCGAGACTGTAAAACTTTAAAATACGTATCTAGATAGGTATGTTACAAAATAATGGTCAATTAGATTACAATAGGTGACCTTACTTATTTTTATTTTAGAGTAAATATGTATAGTTAATAATTCATAGTTAGAATTTAATCAAAATTTTTTTATTAAAGACCCTAATTTGTAATTACTCTTTAAGACCGAAGAAAATTTATTTACAAACGAGAGAATATTTGATAGTGAAGATTTTTCATAAACTACAACTTTAAACTATCAAAAAGAAGAATATAATGGATATTATTTTTTAAAAGGTCAATAAAGTCATTTTTAAAAACTTTATTGATAAATAAAATTTTCTAAGGAAGGATCGAGACTGTAAAACTTTAAAATACGTATCTAGATAGGTATGTTACAAAATAATGGTCAATTAGATTACAATAGGTGACCTTACTTATTTTTATTTTAGAGTAAATATGTATAGTTAATAATTCATAGTTAGAATTTAATCAAAATTTTTTTATTAAAGACCCTAATTTGTAATTACTCTTTAAGACCGAAGAAAATTTATTTACAAACGAGAGAATATTTGATAGTGAAGATTTTTCATAAACTACAACTTTAAACTATCAAAAAGAAGAATATAATGGATTTTGAGTTAAATTAATTAAATCATTATTATTTAATGATTGATTAACTATTTTATTTTTCTTCCCTTTTAAATTTTTATTTTCTTCTTCATCTTCAGATGATGAACAAGAAGAGCAATAATAATTCTTAGGTTTTTCAAAGTTTTTTAAATTAGAAGAAATTTGAGAAGGAGATGAGGAGGATACTTGAAATTAAAAAATTTAATTAAAAAAAATACTAACAATAATTTATCGGCTCATAATGCACAGTCTCCACAAAATCGCTTAATGGTCTACCATCATGTATACTGACCAAACGTGATTTTTTAATGATTCTTTTCATTGGTGGAGGAGATTGAATATTATTTGGTAAATAATTATTTTGATAAAATTGTTTATTTTGTTCTGCTGGAACAATAATTTTAGGAGATATTCTTCTCTCATTGCTTGAATTAATTTGTTTGGATGGAGTTAGTCTTGGCAACTTATTTAAAATAATATTTATATAATTTTATATTAATTTTCTTTAAGAGAAGGGATTTAACAGAACTTTGAACAAGTGTTATTTAACTTGGTTATTTAATCCCAAATTTATTTAGCGGGTCTATGGGAAAGAAATTTAAAAATTTAATTTTAAAACAAATTCCCCAAAATTTCCTTGAACTATATTTAATTCTTACCCCCTCTTTCACATTCATTACATCTCTACTAATATCATCATCACTATCAAAAACATTCCATTCATTATCATTATGCATTGGATGAGAAAATGGATCAGAATTATCGTAATTGTGGTTAATTGGGTGGATGGGTTTTAAGGCATTTTTATTTTTGTTTTCAAATCTACTAATCAGAAGTTGTAATTTTACTTTTAAAATTTGATATAAAATTATTTTGTGTTTAATTGTTTATTTTATTAAAAATTGTAATTCAAAATTTAATTATATTTAGGTAAAAATCAGAAAATTTACCTGTCTTTCTTATCGCTGTCCTCACCGCCTAAAGAGCATCTCTCTCCAAAAGTTCGACAAGAAAATTGTTCACGTTCAATCTTTAATAATTTTATTTTAAATATTATTTAAATAAATAATTAGAATTTTGGAATGTACAATTTAAACATTCGAATAAATTTTTGTAGCTACATAAAAATACCTCATTAGGGGAGTAATGTAAGTTCCTCTCAAAGCTCTCCTTTCCATAAGTAATTTCGTTTGCCTTTCTATTACCTGACTAATTAAAAAAAAGTTTTTACTGAAATTTTTTTTTAATTTTAAGATAAAGAAAATTTTATTTTTAACACTAACATGACTTCTAATATTATTTTCATTTCCACGGGAATGTAGTATTTCATTATCAAAATTGGAAGGACTCTTCTTCCGTTCAACAGTTCCATATTCAGATATGATAGAGGAAGGAGTTGTAGATCCAATTAATTTTATTTTGTGTTCGATTGTTCGCGGCATTTTAATTATTTTAAGAATTTAGCTGATTCTGAGTAGTTAAAAAATGGAAAAAAAAGTAAAAAGATTAAAAATTTTTATCAGATATTTTAATACATATTATATACAAGCATCTCTTTTAGAAAAAACATTTCTGTTTGAAATTTATTATCTGATTTTTTAAAATTATTTTAAGAATCAGAGAGAGTTAGGCTTAACTCTCTTATTTATTACAAAAGAAAAGATGTACGTAAACGTAAAAAAAGCTAATAATAAAATAAAAACGAGCGTTAAGTAGTCTCCAAAAAGTTATTGACAAAAGCTTTATCTTGTTCAGTTAAATTTTAGTAGAATGAAAATAAAAGAATAAAAAAAAGTAAATAAACAAAGATTATTTAGGGGAAAAATATATTTGTTTAAAAAAATAAAAGCTTGAATACTTGTAGAGAAAAATAAATTTAAAAAAATATTGTTTTTTATTTTCAATAATTATGAAATAAAATGAACGGCGTAAAATAAAAATATATAAAACAAGCTGGGCAAACAAAGATATTTTGAGTAAAAATTAAAGAGAATAATAATACATATATTAAATTAATTTTGTAAGAAAATTATTGAAAATGGACTTAAAATGAACCGAAATATTTTAAGAATGTATTGTAGACTAATTAACTGTGTAAGGTAAATCAACGTGAATATATGTATATTTACCAGATTTTTAGTTTTTTTTGAAAATTTCCTCATATTTATATGATCATTCCTATATACGCTCGTACCAAGATGTGTAATTCGTACTTGGTACGAAGTAGAACGGGCAAATCTGAAATTTCGATGCTTCGCAAACAAAGAAGAGCGTATTTGCTTATAAAAAATATTTTCCTATTTATATTAGATTTTTGCTGTGTTTTTGGAGCAATATGTAATTTAAATAAATTTTTAATTTAAAGAATCAGAAAATTTTCTAATTTTTTATTATATCCAAGCCTCTGCCCAAATTTTAAATGTGAAAACTAGAGGCGTCGGGAAATTCGGGCTCAGGAAAGTCCTGTTTGAATAAAGTAAAATTAAAAGTTTTTACATGCCCAAACTCTTCCAAAATTAATTTTCAACAAAGAACCCCTTGTTTATTTTCTTCTAATTAATTTTATCCCCTACCAAAGACCCTAAACAAAAATATTAAATAAATATTTAATATAAAAATATAATAAATATTTAGTAAAATTTAATTAATTAATTAAAGGTCCCAAAGTAGTTCTTTGTTTCTTTTCCTTCTCAATTTCCTCAATTTCTTCAATTAATTTATTAACAATTCTTCTTTTTTGTTCAACAATTCTTTTTAATTCCTTTAAATGTTCCTTTTTAATCCTTTCATCATTTTTAATTAAATTATCTATTTTTATGTCTTCTCTCTGTAATTCTCGAATTTCTTCTAAAGAATTTTCTTCTTTTTCCTCAATTTTATTTAAAATTTTTGTTTTTTTATTTTTATTTTTTAATTCTTCCATTTTTTCAATTTCTTCATTTAATTTTTTAACATTTTTCGACTTTTGTTTAATTAATTCTTTTAATTCTTTTAAATTTTCTTCTTTCTTTTTTTGTTTATTTAATAATTCTTTATTTTCTTGAACTGATAGAGGAGTTGTTTCTTCATTGTTTTCTTTAACCTTCAATTCGGCCGGCTCTTCCGTATTTAAATTAAATTGTTGTTTTTCTGTTGTGGTAGTAAAAACTGAAATTTTATTGTTAAAATTAAAAGATTAAAATAATTTTTAACAAAAAATTATATTAGAAATTAAAAATAATTAATTACTTTCATGAATTTCTTCTTCAGAATGAGATAAAGTTGTTTTTGTATAATTTTCTTGAATATTTTTGTTTATAACTTTTTCCTTTTCATTAGTATTAGATTTTTTGTCCAATTTCTTTTTATATTCATTTTCATCATCTACTTCACCCCATTTAATTAGGATTTCAGCTGGAGGGGCTGAAATTTAATTTTATTTATTGTTACTAGAAAAATAAAAAAATTAAAAGATACACAACTAATTTTAGTTAAAATATAAATTCCCCCATAAATTCTTTAATTTCTCAAAATGATTACCTTCTTCAATTCCTTTATTTGTCACTGTAGAATATAAATAAGTTGTAATACTAGTAGTATTTTCTTCTTCAATATTCTCGGAGTCTTGAGAATTTTTTGATTTTTCCTTCTCTTCTGTATTTGAAGTTTCATCCAATCTTTTTTTATATTCATTTTCATCGTCTACTTCTCCCCATTTAATGGGGATTTCGTTTTCAAAGTTACTGTCTTTAATTTCTTTTTTAACTGTAGAATAAGTAACTGTTGTAGAGGTACTTTCTTGTTTATTTTTGATCTCTTCATTTTCAATTAAATTAAGCAATTGTTCTTCAGTCGTGGTAGAAACTAAAATTTTTATTTAAATTACATAATTTTCTTTCAAAATATTTTTAGAAAAAATTCTCACCGACTGTTGAGGAGGTTGTAATTAAATAGCACAAACCACAAGATTCGGGACATAACATTGCCTTTGTCCAATCAGAATAATTAACATGTTGACAAAGTCCACGTGAAGACCAAAATTTACATCTAAAATTTTATTTTTTTAATTAATTCTAAAAATTCTCTCAACTGTTTATAATTATCTGTGCAGTGTGAAACAGTAGAGGCAATAGTTGTGGAGGTAATTTGAGTTGTTGAGATTGTTTTTGTTGTTTCTGGGTTGAAATGTGGGCCTAAATTTCAATTCTTTTTTTTTAACTTTCTTAAAAGTTTATTACCTATTTTAAAAATTTAAATTTTTATTTAAATTTAAAGAAAATAAAAATTTAATAAAAAATATTATTATTAAATTAACAGCAAAAGAGGTAAAGTCCATGTTGTTCACACCCCATACTTGTATTCCATTGGCATATTTTTTGCTGTTGAAAACAAGCTATAAATATTATAGAATTATAATTGAAAAGACTGTAAATCAAAATCTTAATGAAATCTGAGCCAGATTTTGGGTTAAATTTTAGAAAAAATTAATTGATAGCTAAGATTCTGTTTTATAAAATAATACAGACTAAAAACATTTATAAGTAAACCCTTAATAAAAACACTTATTTAGACTAAAAATGCATCAAAAAATAAATTCTTTCAAATTTCAAAGATTAAATATTTTTTAATTATAATTTTAAAAATTATTTAACAAAAAAATTAACATACGATAAGATAAAGGTGTTCTTCCATCATTACATAACTCAGTTTTACTTAAAGCTACTTTTATTTCAAAATTTAAAATAAAAAATATAGAAAAATAAAATTTAATTAATTTCATTTTTAATTTAAATTTAAAAATATATTTAATTGATTGAGATTTATTTTTTATATTTTCAAGTTGGAAAATAAGTATTATTAATAAAAAAAGTATTTAACAGCTATTTAAATAAAGTTAGAAAATTTTATTTAAATTATTTTAGAGAAATAATATGTATGTAGAAATAATATATATATTTAGCATTTAAAGTTTCAAGACCATCGACAGTTTTACCGGTGTTTTTCCATGTATAACATTCCATTAAATGAATTATTAGATACTTGAATGAAGTTGAGACAGATTTCTCGATTTTAAACAGTTTTTAAGTCAGATGAAGTTTTTTTACATATCCAAATTGACAAACCAAAAATGTAAACCATTTTTGCTTGCATTCAAAGATATCTTAGGATCAGCTAGATTCCTGTTTCAGTATGAATTTGGTCTTATAAGTAGTTTTCTTTAAAGACATCAGGTTAAAATTCGTTGTGTCAAAATATGTCAGAATTTTTTGAAACTTGTTTTGAAAAAGATGTACTACAAGGATTTTGGCAAATAAATTCCTTTAGAAATTGGTTAAGCCTTTAAATTTTTTGCCAAAAATATACACATACTGTATGAATTATTTAAAAAATATTCAATTCTATTTTACAAATTTAACTTTTCCACAAAACTCTTTTTTACATTAGTCTAATAAGAAGCAAGTGAGGTCCATTGCATTCTCTCTCTCTCTCCCTTTTCTTTCCTCCTATGCCAATTCTCAAATTCAATATATCCTTCCATTAAATATCGTTAATGTTCAATAAAGTCAATTTGAATCAATGAATTGATTCTTAACGATTGGCCCTTTTCGGATACCAACTAGCTAGCGCAATAAAGTCGATGAGAATCGATGAAATTGACAAAATGTGGTTAGCGAGGAAAGTAAAATCAATTTATTGAATGAAGGAAATACTGGGGCTACTAACTAACTTTGTATTTCTCATAAAATATTTCTTTGCCTAAAAATGAGGGAAGAGTTTGTATGTTGAGTTTGTTGTTGGGGGAAAGGTTTAAATAAAAAATTATTATTAGTTGTGGTGGGATTTTAAAACAGCTAAAAGCTTTCTGAAATAAATATTAAAATTATTATGCAATTTTTAAGATTGTCTTAAGTTTATACTTTTCTAAAAGAAAATTATTGCCTTAACTTTTCGTTAAAATAATGCAAATAATAATATTTGCATTAATACATTTGTGTCTAAATTTCTTTAAATATTTTTAGGAAATTTGACTATTAAATGCATACATAATTATTTAAAAAAATTCTAAATAATGACATCAAAGAGTAATCGACATCATATATTTGACATTCCAAGTACATTTTCTTGCCAAAGTTGGTTAAATACAAATCCGAGTCTAAAAGGCGAAGAAAATTTTAAAAATTTAATTGAAAGAATAATAATTTTAGATGAAAAATCCTCCCAAAATTTTGGTTCAGAAAAAACCAATCAAAATAATAAAATCGATGATTGTTCAAACAATAATTGGACAAATGACTGGTCAAATGCTAATTCAATAAATAATTTTAATTCTGCTAATAATAGCCAAACATTTCTTGGAAAAATTGAAAATAAGAGAAATGTTGGGAGTCAACGAAATGAGGTTTTTGGTTGGATTTAATTAAAAATAATTTTTTAGTTTGGTACTTTTGCTCCTCGATTTATTTCAGAGAATAATTCAAATAAAGAAAAACCCCAAAGTATTTATTTAATTAAAATATTTTTGAAAAATCTTTGAAATTTAAAGCAAAAAGGGAAAAGTTTTTGCCACCTAAAGCAGAAGAATGGGAACTTTTTGATGAAAATAAACAAGTAAAGGAAGGGGAAATGTTTGATGAAATTTGTGAAGTTTATGAAGAAGCAACGGCTGTGTTAAATTGTGACGGGACTGATGTTCTATTCGAGTAAATTTTATAAATAAAATTTTAGAAAGGAAATTTTTTTTGTAAAAAGTTAGAATTTCTTGGAGAATATTACTTCCTGGAAAGACTGGAAAAAAATATTTGAGTTTTGTAAAATAATATTCTCTAGAGGATTTTACATTCCTTAATAAATAATTAAAATTTATTATCTTTACGAAAAATATAATTTTATTAAAATGATTATCCTAACGATTGATAAATATTCGTCCCCTAATATCTCATAATATTATGAGGATGAGGATTAGTACACATCCTCCCTAAATATTACATAATTATTAATATTACAATAATTGTTAACTTTCCGGACAAATATTTCCATTATTTATTTTGCCTTAAAAAATAATTTTCAAAATTTTATAGACGAATAGAAAGCTTCGATCAATGTAGTTTTAGTGCCGAATTAATGCTTAATGTTCAACTTAAAAAATTAAAGAAACCAACGCCCGTTCAACGAGTTGTTATTCCTCTTATAACGAAAAAGAAAAGTCTTTTAAATGATTATTAAATTATTTAAATAATTTATTTTTTAGATGATTTATTGTGTCATGCACAAACTGGCAGCGGTTAATTAATTAATTAATTTTTTTAAAACAAAATCTTTTCCTCAGGAAAGACTGCTGCTTTTCTTTTACCAATTATCAGTAGATTACATCATTTTTCGAGAAAACGGGGATTTGATACAAATAGCTATACTCCTTATGCTATTATTGTTTCTCCAACAAAAGAATTGGTTAAACAATTATATGATGATGCTTGTGCTTTTTCTTTAAGTAGAATAAATTATTTAATTTAAAGGAATTTATTTTTTTTGAAGGAACTGGAGTAACTGTTTCTTATACTTTTGGGGATATTGTGAGGAATTTTGAATGAAATTTAAAAAAAATATTTTTTTTAATTTTAAGCCAATGAAGCCTAGTGTAGCAGAGTTAACTAAGGGTTGTGATATTTTTATAGCAACTTGTGGAAGACTTTCTCAATTTGTTGAAAAAAAATATGTTTGTTTAGGGAATATTGGAGGGAAAAAAATTAATTTTAAATTTAGATATCTTTGGAAGAATTGAGATTTTTGGTATTAGATGAGGCAGATAAACTTCTTAAAGTTTAAAATATTTAAAATAATTTTTGTTTAATTTTATATTTTTAGGTTGATAATTTTTATAGCTGCGTAAAAGAAATTAAACAGCAAAAGAATATTGTAATTTATTTTTTAATTTTTATTTTTTTTTCTCTGGAAAGCTTTAAATGTTTTATACATCCAGAAATATTGGATGGGTTTTGTTTAATCAAATCAAACACAAGGGCTATTTATGCACTTAGGAGGAGGGTTAAGGATTTATATGATAGTCAATACCATGGAACAAGCTAACATAAATTGAAATTCGCGATTTCGGGAAACCGGGATCTCGACCCAAAAAACGTCGGGAATTCCCGATTTTCAGGAATCGTGGCGGCTCGTTCCCTGGCCAATACCTTTCTGTCTCGAGATTTACAATCAAAGCTAAACTCTGATTTCCTCCTCCTTTCGGTGCGTGCTACCTGTTTAAGTACATGGCTACACTAAAGCAACTACTAACGATGCCTGGCATCGAACCATAGTCTCCTTAAGTTTAAATGAATATTATTTTCGGAGAAAACAATTAAAATAATTTAAAATTTTCCGGAAATTTATTAAAAATAATTTTAATTCAAAATTATTTTCTTAAAAATTTCCAAGTACCCAACTCATCGTGTATTAATGTTTTCTGCGACATATGAACATTCAATTAACGATTTGGTTCAAAGTTTTCTTCGTGACGATTTTGTTCAGATTCAAATTGGGCAGGTTAACTCTGCTGCAGATACTGTTGAACAGACTTTTTTGAAAGTTTTTTTGAAGAGACTTTTGAAAAAAATATTTTTATTTAAAAAAGGTAAATAAACATACATTAAATGGAATTAATGGAAAACAAGATACTTTACTTGAATTTTTGCTTAAACATGAAAAAACACGTCTTGTACCACAACCTAATGGGGGTACTTTTTAAAAAGAATTTCTTTAAATTATTTAATTTTTGCATAGATGATTATTGGAAAGTACCAAAAACAATTATTTTTGTCGAACAAAAACGCCTTTCCTATCGTTTAGGGTTAACTTTAAATGATAACAATATACGTGCTTCGAGCTATAATTCGTAATTAATTTAAAATTAATTAAAGAATTGATTAAAGGGATTTAACACTTAAAATGAGATATCTAGCAGTTAGTAAATTTGCGACAGATCAATGTGACGTTTTGGTAGCTACAGGTAAATTTAAGGGGGGTTTTGAGTAAATAATAATATTTTAGATGTTGGGGCCAGGGGCCTTAACTTTCCTAATGTTCAATATGTAATTAATTATGATTTGCCGTCAAGGGATCTTAGAGGTTTTATTTAAAGAAAATATTTTTAATTTTTCTAAATTTCAAGGATCACAAAATGAGGTAATATACAGATATTTACAATAATTGTGGAAAATTTTGATCTTTTCCTGAAATTATATTTTTCTATGCAAAATGGGCTTAATTTTGATTTAAATTCTTTCAGGAAAAATTGTACTTGTGAATTCCAGAAATTAGCAAATATTTTAATATATTTACGGAAAAGAATAAATTCTAATTTCTCTTTTCCCTAGAGAGACTATATTTAAGTCTGAGAGATTAATATTCTTTACGGAAACTCCTAATGTAAAAGAAGCCTTTCCGGATAAGGGATTGCATTTCCGGAAATAGAATATTTAATGTTTTTTCAGTACATTCATCGAATAGGTCGAACAGGGAGAATTGGAAATGTTGGGGCAGCAATTTCTTATTTTGACCCGTCAAGTATTAATGATAAAAGAAATGCGAGTTATTTTGTTAAAGTGAGGGGGAAATTATTTAAAAATTATATGGAAAATATTTTTAAAGGTTTTGCAAGATTCTAGACAATCTGTGCCTGAATGGATGTTGGAATTTGTAGAAGAAAATGAAACATCTGTCAAAAATTTGAGCAAAGAAGCTTTTAGCAATTATGAGGGAGAAAAGAATTAATTTTTTGTTTAAATTAATTGTGTTTTTGACAAAATTTTGTTGTCGTTATAATTTATTTTAGGGAATGTTCTTATGTTTTTTAATATTTACTTAATCATAAGATTTTCTTATTTTGTGTTTAATTTGTCTTTTTTCTTATTAATTTATTAAGATTATAAAATTATTAATTTGATTATTCCAAAATATTTATTTGTTAATCATTTAAATAATTCAAAAAATGTATTGAATATTTATTGGGTGACTAAAAATGTGTTTGAAGCTGTTTCTAATAATGCGTAATATTTATTTTTTTTTAATTGAGAATTTAATAATTTTAGTTTCATTATTATCTGTCCTCTTCATTAAATTTTAAAAATTATTTAAAATTATAGTTAACAATTTTGAACGAATTTTATCATTTTTAATAAAAATAAACGGCAATTCTTCGGCTGACGCCCCCCCTTTTTTTATAATGTTTACCTGAATTTTGAGCATTTTTGCTTGACATACATATAATAATTTAGAGATCATTCGAAAGAGCTGGGTAGATTGATACTATGATCGGTTAGATTTGGCGATTTTGAACAAAATTATGAAGCTAAATCCTCTGTGGATATGCTTTTTGTGATGTTGAAAGGGATTAAAACAAATGCTCATAACTATGTTGATTTAAGAGATTTCGATGATTCTAGTGCAGTTCGACTCAGCTCGAAGAGCTCCTTCAAATGTATACAAAAGATTCATAGAAATTTCATAGAAAATGAAAAAATAGAACGTAAAAAAGGAGACGTAAGCCGAAGAATTACCAAATAAACATCAAAAACCATTCGGTCTAACACAGTTATTTTTTACCTTTTATTATTAAGAAGAAATAGATCAAATTAAATTTATTTTATCTCATTTCCGAATATTTTTTTTCATTTTTCAATAAAATTTATATGGGTACCTGCATATATTTTATTTTATTCAACTTGTTTTGGAAAAGAAAAGTTTTTTGTCGTCTTTTATTATAATAAAAGCATTAATGCCTCAATATCCATTCATAAAAACATTAAAAAAAGGCTCAAAGGGCGCAGCCACAAAAATTGCTAAATTGGAAAAAGAAGAAGCAAAACAAGATGTTTAGGGCAAAAATAAAAGTTTTTGTGGAATGACTCAAGTTGGAAAAGTCGCGTGCTGCGCAACTTTGTTAGTTAATATACGCACAATTCCTTTAATTTGTTAGCTATTTTGTTTATTTTCTTATTTTTAAAAAAAATCAAAAGAATGCAAATTTAGAAAGGAAAAGGAATTAAAGAAAAATTTGGAGAAAGATTTAATAAAGTAGGTATATTAAATGGAAGGTCTTTTATTAATTTAGGTATTTTTGTTCAGCAACTGAATGAATATAAATGACGAGATTATAAACCCCTCTATGGCTAATAATGCCATCATTGAAGTTAATTTATCGAGATATAGAAATTTTTATTAAATTTTGAGTTGATAGTATAAACTTTTGCACAACCTCCTTATCTTTTACTTTGGGTTTTAAAGGGCCAATAGAGATAATATTTGAAGTTTTAGCTGTTAATCATATAAAGTCCCAAACAATTTAAATTTTAAATATTAAACTCTTCAAATAAAAAAGAAGTTTAATTCCCAATGAATTCACAATTACATATCAAATCCTGATTTTCCCCATTAAATAATAAATTTCTCTTTTTTTGTAAACTTTTTTTTTCATTTTTGAAAGAAGCGCAAAGAAGAAAAAATATTCATCGAATGCACTCCTCTGAAAACTGGCCTAGACTTTTTGGCCAAATGGGAAGAAAATAAGCATCAAAGGTAAGAAGAATATTAGACAAAGATGCGTGGAAGTCGTAGAAAAGAAATAAAAGCAAAAAATAAATAAACATCAAAAGCAACAACAACCTTAGGGTTAAAGCACTAGTCTCTTTTTTTCCTTTTTTTGCTGCCGATCAACTTATATGGCCCCAACGACCTGTCGCCCCCCGCGGCTGTTGCTACTCTTCGCAATAATCATCCACTCACAAAACAACAACAACAATACATACCAACTTTCACTTTTTTCTTATTTTCTTCCAAGAAAATTGAAAACTTTTAAAGAATGGCCACACAGTTTCCTTCAAAATAAAATTTATTTGTACTGCTAAAAAGCCTGAGAAAATTAAAATGAATAAAATTAAAATTGAACGAATCGAAGAAACTTCAAATTGGACTTCTACCTCTAAAAATGCAAAAATAACAGAGGAGCAACTTCGAAGGAATTGTCGATGTTTAATTGATACAAGCTCTCCAGCTGCATTGGAACGTGATTTTTATGCCTGGCTTAATGTAAGGAATAAAAACAAAATTTTAAAAAGAGAACGATAATCATTTTCAACATTAAAGTTTACCTCATTAATACTTTTTAAATTTAAGGGTATCGAGCCTGATACAGACATTTCTCGTCCATGCCTTTTTGCAACCAATTCCTCTACCTTTCCCTCTACAATTTCATCAACAACAACCCCAATAGAAGAACCACCAGCATTTCTAATCCCAATGGAATATTCAGCCTCAATTCCATCCACTATATATTACTCTTCTTCCTCTTCATCATCATCTGCCGCCTCTTCTTCCTCAATAAGCCCCGGGAACTCTAATATTTTTTGTAATAATTCTTCAATTATTTCTTCTTGTTCGCATCAATTAGGATTTTATAATCATTTAATATTAAATAATAATCAGCAACAACAATGTACAACAGTAAAAAGGGCAAGAAATAATCAGAACAATTGCAAAAATGAATGTAGTAACAACAATAAAGTACGAAGAAAGAGAAATGTTGACAAAGGTGGTGTTAATTAAGTATATTATATTAGGTTTATATTGATGGGCCTAGGCTTGAATTAAAGTAATTGTTGTAAATAATGGAAGGCATAGTTTAATGACAAACAAAATCTGATAATCCTTATGCATAAGTTATGGTTGTATTTTTGAGATACACTAAAGTTTAAATAATTTAAAATACTTTTATAAAAATCCAATAAATTCTTTTAACTCATGTTTTATTATTTAATTAATAAACATTTTAATATTTTTGCCCAGCATCTGGCCGAGGTACAAATCTCTACGGAAGGTCCTATTGTCCAGGTATTTTTTGAGTATTTATTCTATAAAAATAATTTCTATATTATTTAGGCCGTCCATTAAGTATGGAAGAAAGAGCAAAAATAATTCAGCTTTTCCATGGCGGTATGAAAGTTAATGCTATCTCTAAGCAATTGTGTATATCACATGGTTGTGTTTCGAAAATTATTACAAGGTATTGAAATTTCGAAAAAATATTCTTTTAATAAATTATTTAAAGATTTAGAGAGACGGGAAATTTAATGCCTTCATCTCATTCAGAATGTCGAAGACGTAAACGGCAACAACAACAAATGCAAGTAAAGCAACAAACAATAAAAACAGAAATGGAGTAAAATAAAATAAAGTTTAAAAGAGAAGTTATTCATTTATATGTAAAACAAATATTCCCAGTGAAATGTTTATTTAAATAAAAATAAATTAAAATAATTTTTGTAGATAGAATGTGGAAATTGTTAAGAAATTTCCTCATTTTTAAAAGGAAATTTCTTGCTATAAAACAAATGTGGTGAGAAAGAAGTAAAAGTTTAATCACGAACAGGCATTTAGTTTAGCCTCGAACAGGCATTGTCCTTCCCTGGCATTTAATGCAAGACACCTTTCCTCGCTCCGTGCAGGTGCTGCATTCATCTCTTCAATTAGATCCTAAACCCCTAATAGTAAGCATTTCAAATGATGGTAGCTAGATCCCCATCAATATTTTACTTCGAGTGGACACCAAATCAAAAATTAAATTTTTAATATTTAAAAGATTCTCTTCCTTTTTAATTAAAATCTTGCTCGATAAATATTTTTACATAAAATATAATACAAATTTTCATTAAATTAGCCATTAATAAATTATTTTTTCCTTATCAGTCTTGTGTATAAGCAAAAAGAGGATCATTCCCACCTTCAGTTATTTGAGAATGATTTGTTAATTGTTGTAGCTTTGCTTGTAAATCCAATTTTTGTTTAGTCAATTCCTTTATTTTCCCCTCCATTTCTTCAATTTTTGCCTCTTTTTCAGTCAAAAATTCATTAAATTTATTTTCCTTAAATTTAAAAATTAAAATTCAGAAAAATATTCTCTATTCTTTAAACCTTTTCATTAAATTCAATTTTAATTTCTTCCAATTTTTTGTCACTTTCCTTTTCATTGATTAACAATTTTTCGTTCAACTTCTCATTTTCTTCTTTTAATTCTTTAAATTTATTTTCAAGTTGGTCATTTCTTTAATTAAAATAATTAATATTTTTAATTTTTTGTAGAATTGTTTTTATTTTTTTATTCTTCTTATATTTTTATGGATCTTACATAACTTTGTAGAAAAAATAAAAGAAATTCAGTTGAGTTATCAAATTTTTTTTATTTTTCAGAAAATATAGTTTAATTTAGTTTTATAAATTTTCAGGAGAGTTAATTTTAAGATTTCCGGAAATTATGTTTTCATTAAGAAACAGTATTAAATATTTATTTACATCTGATATAGCCTAGTATTATCAGTCAACAATTCATTTTGTATTCTCTCACGTTCCTTAAAGCGACGATTAAATTCAATTGCTTCTCCATTTACTTGTTCTTCCAATATTGCCGTTTTTCGTTGTAAATCAGTTTTTTCTCTTTGCAATTTTTTTAGTTGCTCTGTTAATTCTTGCACTGCCCACGTTGATAATTCACTTCTAATTTTTTTAATTTTATGGCTTTTATTTAGAACATAAACCCTATGGAATTTAGACACCCATCAACTTTTTACGCTTTCTAATTTTTGTTTTGGATTACGTTACATTTTCGGTAACTATTAACTTTTCAAGTTAATTTATCGAATAGTTTCGATTAATAAAATGATAAATTCCAATCAGAATTTTCAGGACCCTTTTCTGAACATGTGCCAATTTTAATAAAATTTTTTTTACTTTTCTCTCCAATCCTGTGCATCTTTTTGCCATTTTTTCAATTGCAACTCCAATTCTCCTTTAATTTTTTCCCAAGTTTCTCTTTCATTATCTATTTGTACTGACATTTCAGTTATTTGTCCTTGAAGGAATTCTTGATCTTTACCCAATTTTCGCATAATTTCCAACTCTTGTTGTGCTGTCGCCCATTTACTGTCCCACTCTAATAACTCTTCTTTCCATTTATTTCCTTCCAACTTTAAATATAAGAATTTAATTTAAAGTCAGAATAAATCAGAATTAAAAACTCGTTTTATTCTCAATTCTGATTACCAACTTTAATTCTTTCCAATTCATTTTTTGTTTCTTCTAATTCCATTCTTTGTCCATCAATTATCGAATCCTTCCCAGTACATATACGAGCTAAATCAGCAAAATCCTTTTCTAAACTTTTCAATTCTCGAGAAGTATTTGCTTTGGATTCGTTTAATGTTTCAGAATTTTTACGTGATTTTTGTTCAGAATTTATCTAGAATTTTTTATTTTTTTTAATTAAATAGGTTATTTACTTTTTTAGTCAATTCAACATTTTGTCTTTGTCCATCCAAATAATCACTTTCATTAAATATTTGGACTGTTTTAGTCACAGGCGATATTACTCCCATTTCCTCGTTTGTAATATTATTTCTGTTTTCAAAATAAGCAGAATCATCTTCTGACAATCTTGAAATATCTGAAAATTAAAAATCAGAATATTTTATTTGTTTCTATTTATTTAATTTTTATTTCAATTCTGATGTTTATTCTGATTTGATAGAATGTTCAGATTTAATTCTGGTTTTTAATTCTAGTTCCTTTATTAATTTATGGTTGTTTTGATTTCAGATTCATGTTTTATTCTGGTTTTGTATTCTGATTTGAATTTTTCATATTTGTTTCTGTTCTTTATAAATACTCAACCATTGTTAACATGTTTTTGTCCATTAGCCTTAATCGAACATCCATTCATCATCTTCTGAACTAAATTAACAGAACGCTCAAATTGTTTTGAAGCATTTTCATAACTTCCAAAAGGGAATGTTGAATGCCTACTAACACCTTCAAAAAATTTTTTATTTCCTTCCATCTTCTCTCTAAACTAACCCCCCATTTCAACAAAATATTCAATTCCAGATTTCCACCCTCCACTTGGAGGCATAAATCGACGTCCATCAAATTTAAGCATTGTTCTACATTCCTTTCCTTTAGGTCTATAATATATCCCTATTGAATTTGGGAATGCTGATTGAATTGTTGAGAGTAAAAGAGAGCCGTCATTTTGTTCTAATTCTACTTCAACAGTCTCAACTCCCAATTTAATACTCGATAGGGGTAAAACTGGAAAATAATCAAAAAATAATTGAGAGTTAAAAATGGCTAGTTTAAAATCCCAGGGTTTGAAAATAATGTCAAATAATCTTTCAGAATAAATATGGATAAAAATACTAAGAAATTCCATCTTTGTGAGGAGTTTAACTATAAGTCACAGAATAAATCCCCAATTATGGAAGTCGGAATTCCCTATCCAAAAAACATTCTCGATTTTCGGGACTCAGAAATCGGGACAGCAGTATCCCTGATTTAAATATTTAAATATTTAAATAAATAAAATCCAAACTGTTGGCAATGTTGTCGGCCATTTAAATTAAAAATGTTTAATTAAATTAAAATTATTATTTTTTTTATTTTAGAGATTAACTCAAATAATATCTAATTATAAAAAATTGCGCGCGATAAAATTAGTAAATAATATGTATGTATTTAGTTTTCAGTGTTGGAGAAATTTGCGATGTAAAAATGAAAAAAGGAAAATTGATTGAGAATATTTTCAGCTGTATAAATAAAAATAATTTTTAAGTTATTTTTTTATTAAAAAATAAATTTTTGATTTATTGAAAGTTTGGGAAAGAGATGGGAGGGGGGAGAGGGTTAAATTAAAAAGCTTTAAAGAAAAAAATAAGAAAATATTTAAATCCCCAAATATTTTTTGAGAAAGAACATACTGAAAATTTTATAAAATATAGAAAATAATAAAAACGTGGCTTTCATTTTATAAATTAAAAATCATTCGTTTTTATTTAGAAAAAATGCAAACGTGGCAAATTTTTGCTTTTCTTTTAATGCTTGTTTTGTTGTTTGTTTGTTTGTTAATTGTTAAAAGGAATTAGTAATTAATTTATATATTGAATGATATTCACGTTAATATTTTGTGGAAATTGTTTGGAAATTCTTATTGAATATTTGAGGATTAACTATTCTGAATTGAGCTTCCGATTTTTAAGTTCTGAATATTCTGATTTTAAATTAATAGTAGGATTACAAATAATCCAACACACAGAAACAATAACAGAAAATATGGGAGTAGACAAAGTTAAAGATAAACAGCTTTCCAAGAGTGGACAAAAATCTAAATTAATGAATGCCGACTGGTACCTAAATTTTTTCTTGAAATTTTTTGTTTTATTATTTTTGGTGTTTGCTACTTTTATTTTTGATTTTTAATTTTATTTTAAAACTGTTTAAAATGTTTTGAAGCATTTCAAAAACTGATTAATCGATTAAAGGCTGTCAATAATAAATTAAATATTCTTTGTAAAATCACATTCATTTTTAATTTAATCTATTTTCAATCTATTTTATTTCCTTTTTATTCATTAAATATTTGTTAGCTAAAAAGGTACATACAAACTTTTAGTTTCTTCTCTCCCCCCCCCCCCTTCTCTTCTCACTGACACAAATCCAATGCCCTAATTTTATTTTTCTTCACGGATTTAATAAAAACAAATTTTCCTTTCAGATCTAAAATAATCCGAGAAATTTTTATTTTTATTAAAATTATTCTCATTTTCTTTCTAAAAATATGGAAGTTATTCAAAATAATATTAGTCTTTCAATAAATGATAAAGATTTAGCTAATATAAAAAAATTGAGAGAATTAGTTAAAGAGGAGGTACAAATTAGTTATTTTTAAAAAATTATTTTCAATTTAAAGTTAACACCTTACTATGATACAGACTTTAATTTGTTGCGTTGGCTGCAAGGCCATCATAATAATTTTGAAGAAATTGTTCCAAAGCTCAAAAGTCATTTGGCAATGAGAAAGTCTAATTTTAAATTGGATATTATTGCTGACGGTAACTAATTAAATTGAATTATAACAAACCGATATATTACGCAACAACTCATTGTTTTCCAACCAAAATGGGGATATAATAAATAAGAGTGCCTCTTCACTTTCCATTAACTTAAGTCTGGAGTCAGCTCCAATGCTAGGTATTGGGCATTTTATGGCTCCGGTTACAGGGTTTTAAATCTAACAGCTCTCGGGGCATCATAATATATTATTTTTTAGGCCCTCGTAACAATCCTGTACATTCTTATTGGGAGGTGAGCACAAAATCTTTTTATTTCTCCAATTTCACAAAAATTAAATCTAAAGTCTGGATTGACTTGTGAGGCAGAATTAACACCAAATTGTATTGTTAATGTTGAGCAGACTGGGGCTAACGATTATTGGGGAATTTTGCATAAATTTTCACTCAACGAAATTTTAATGGCAAGGATATACGATTTGGAGACAATGTTAAGAAAAATAATGGAAAAAGAGAAAGAAACGGGTACTTCTAGTCTAAATAATTTTTAAAAAATATTTAAAGGTCACCAACATTCAATTATGTATATAATGGATTTGAGTGGATTACACTTTGATTCTAATTTAATTACAATGCTTAGAGGGGCCCTTCGTTCACTTTCTACATTTATTACAGAACATTATGTTGAATTAATTAGGTCTTTTGTTCTCGTTAATGCTCCCGAATTTATTAGTATGATTTGGTCTATAGCTAAACCTTTATTACCTGAAAAAACGAGACAAAAAGTAATTATTATGGGAGCTTCACATTGGCGAAGAGAAATTCTTGAAATGGCGACTCCAAAAGCATTACCGGCATTTTGGAATGAATCGTGTGAAAATAGGGTAAAAATTTAATTAAAATTAATTTATTAGAGTTCGAAGAAATAGAGTCGGGCCCTTAACAAGGGTTTTCTGGCAGACCTTAAACATCAAAATTTTGAGAAAGTAATGAATTTTGAAGCCCGAGCCCACGTAAAAATTAAAAAAAACTGATTCGGTGCTCGGAAATTTTAAAAGTTCAAACTCTAAATAAATATTAATTTTTATTTCGTTTATATTCGGTCTGTTAATATGTATGTATACCCTGCTTTTTATTTACTAAATAGTTTTGTTTATATTTTAATGTTCTGAATTTTTTTAATTTTCTTATTTTGATTTATAATAATAAAGCAAAACCAAAATATTTTAATATTCCTCTAAAAAATTTTATTTAAATTATTAGGTATTTTTAGCTGAATTAAACCGTTCAAAGCCAGTTGATCGAAATTCACTTTACAAATCTGATCCAAAAGAAACTGTTGCTTCTGGTTATTACAAACAGTTAAATGTTTCTCCAGGCAAAAGTTCTTATGTAGATTTAAAAGTGGAGAAAGTAAATTAGTTTTTTAAATTAATTTAAATAAATTTTTTAAATTAATTTTATGATGAGTGGGTGAATTGGAAGTTTGAAACAGACGGGCATTTTTCTTTTGGCTTTTATTTTGTGGAGGATGAAAAAAGTAATCAGTGGAAAATGATTTATCCAAGACTTAATGTAATTAATTAATTTAATTATTTTTTAAAATAATTCTACCGGTGACCATGACCGGTCGGTTTTAATCACCTTTTTTGCTTATTGCTTAAGTTTTGACCCCCGGTTTCGTGTTTCGGCCAATTATTTTTAAAAATCTTTCTATAATGACGTCCCCGAGTGCGTTTTTAACTTTTTTTCTCCCCTCCAGGAATGGCTGGGCAGAGAAAATAATCGGGTAGGATTTCGGATCGTGTTTCTCTACCCCTGTCCTAGAGTTTCACCGGAAGTTCCGGTTCCGGTTCCGGTTCCGGAAAGTTCCGGTGTTTTTTTGGTTCCGGTTCCGGGAACCGGAACTCAAATTGGATCCGGTTCCGGTTCCGGCTCCGGTTTACAAATTGGTTCCGGCCAAACCGGAACTTTTTTACACCCCTAAGGATTGGTTTTTTAAAAAATATGTGTTAGCCTTACAATATTTTCCCCGGTTGGCCTTCCAAAATTCTCAAAATTTTCGCCTGCGGCGCAAGAAAGGAAGAAATCTAGCTCATTATCCACACAAATTCTCAAAATTTTCGCCTGCGGCGCTGTAAAAAGAAATTGGATGGTATAACGGAGGATTCGGATGGATGAAGGTGGATTTTGAGTTACATTATGTGATTTCAAAGAGTCATGGGTAATAATGTATAAAGAGATCTGGGTGTGATGTGACGGATTGAGCTGTGCAGATAGATGGGGATTGGATAGCTGGGGATTTGGCCTTCCAAAACTTGGAATTTCTCACTTGGCCTTCCTAAATTCATAAAAATTTTCACCTGCGGCACTAAAAAGTAAGGAAAAATATGGTATTATTGAGAATTTGCATGGATTAATGGAGATTTGGAGTGATATTAGGGGATTTCGATTAACAATAGTCATAATTGTATATCGATTAGAGACCGGACTCGAGTGATCGTTCGATATTAGTGATGTTCGAGACTCTCGGTCTCGACTCTCGAGTCGAGAAATTTCTCGGGTTTTTTGAGCTCTCGGTCTCGGTCTCGGTGTTTTGGTCTCGGAAAACGAGACTAAATTTACACCCCTAATGACGGAAATTTTTTGAACTTTACTCGGACCTTGCGTACTTTGATATTAAAATTTTTAAGGAAAAGTCTCCAAAATTCCCAAAATTTTGCCTGCGGCGCTGAAAAATGGAAGAAATCTGGCTTCTTGAGCTCCAAAATTCTCAAAATTTTCGCCTGCGGCGCTGAAAATGGAGGAAATTTGGCTTCTTGAGCTCCAAAATTCAAAAAATTTTCGCCTGCGGCGCCAAAAATGCAGCAAAAATTTTAATTTAATAAGATTAAAGGATTAGATTTTGTGGTTTGTGGTATATTAGATACTGTGGATTCTGCAGGATAAAATTTAATATCAAGGGATGGGTGCATCGATGGATCAAAAAGATATTGTTGGATTTGTAGGGATATGGAAGGATATGAGGGGATTTTAAGAGATTAATGTGAATATCATTGAATATATATTGTGGACAAGGGGATTCAAGCGAGTATGGGGATTTTGAGGTATATCAAGGGATTTTTGGGGATTAGGAGGGACATCAAGTGATATCCCTCTTAATCTCTCGGTCTCGACTCTCGGTCTCGACTCTCGACTCTCGTTTTGGTCTCGGTCTCGGGGTTGATTCTCGGTCTCGGTCTCGACTCTCGGGATTTTTTGACTCTCGAACATCACTATTCGATATATCGGTATCGATATCGAAAAAATATCGAGTATCGAAAAATATCGAAAAAATCAAAAAATTTATCGTTCGATATATCGGTATCGATATCGAAAAAATATCGATTATCGATAAATATCGAAAAAATTGAAAAATTTATCGTTCGATAATATCGGTATCGATCATCGATAATATCGAGTATCGAAAAATATCGACGATATTTTTCGATATTTTTTTCCCGCCGTGGGAGGTTGTACCAATGACGGGGGAAGTTGTACCAATGACGGGGGAAGTTGTACCAATGACGGGGGAAGTTGTACCAATGACGGGGGAAGTTGTACCAGGGGGGAAGTTGTACCAATGACGGGGGAAGTTGTACCAATGACGGGGGAAGATGTACCAATAACGGGGGAAGATGTACCAATGACGGGGGAAGTTGTACCAATGACGGGGGAAGTTGTACCAATGACGGGGGAAGTTGTACCAATGACGCGGGAAGATGTACCAATGACGGGGGAAGTTGTACCAATGACGGGGGAAGTTGTACCAATGTCGGGGAAAGTTGTACCAATGTCGGGGGAAGTTGTACCAATGAAGATATCCCTCTTACTAATTTTAAATCTAAATAAACCATGGAGAGAATAAACCGGACCGGATCTTTTTGGATTCAAAAAACCCGGATATGCGACCCGGGCGTCGGGAAATCCGGCTGGAGTCAGGTCCGACGCCGGTCACTAGTATTTGATCTAAAAGAGAAATAAAACCTTATGCCAATATATCAAAATTTAAAAGAAATTAATAGCGAAAAATATCGAACAATTTATCGTTCGATATATCGGTATCGATATCGAAAAATATCGATTATCGATAAATATCGAAAAAATCAAAAAAATTTATCGTTCGATATATCGGTATCGATATCGAAAAAATATCGATTATCGATAAATATCGAAAAAATTGAAAAATTTATCGTTCGATAATATCGGTATCGTTTATCGATAATATCGACATCGATATATCGATATTTTTATCGATATATCGTATCGGTCCGGTCTCTAATATCGATGATGTGATATCTAGGGATCTGGTGGGATTAAGGATAATTTGAGGAAATTCTGAAATCAAAGGATATCATGAAATTGGTGGGTATCGGGCATATCAGGAATTTGGGTAGTTCGATTCGGTTTTTAGGTTCGGTTTCGGTTAACCAGAAGTTTCGGTTCAGTTTTATTCAGCTCGGTTTCGATTAACTGAAGAATTTGGCAGAAGTTGATCGAAGAATTTGGCGAAACCGACACCTACTTAAAATACAAATTTTTTAAAATTTGCTAGCAAAATTTTTTAAAAGTTCCAGTTCCGGTTCCGGAACTTAGAAATGTTCCGGTTCCGGTTCCGGAAACCGGAAACCGGAACTTAAATTGGATCCGGTTCCGGTTCCGGTTCCGGTCAAAATATTGGTTCCGGTGAAACACTACCCTGTCCCCTCTCATGTCACTTTCTTTCAACGTCAGTAAAATTCCTCCAAATGGTATTGTTATGAAAAAATTCCATTGAAATTAAAATTTTTTTAGCACATTCCCGGTCCAACATATGTTCCAATGAGTGGCCAACATAAAAGTGAAATGACAGGGATATATCGTTTATTTTTCTCGAATGAACATTCTTGGTTTCATGTTCTAAAAATTCGATATAGAATTCAGAGTAATTTTAATAAAGAGGAAGAATAAAAAAATAATTATCTAATTTTTATTTGATTTAATCACAAATGTTAATAAATAATTGTCTTCTTTATTTTTTGTCTAAATAATAATTTTAAATAGCTTTGTTTTCTTTAATGTATAAGATAATATTTTAATTTTAATACTATGAACATTAAATTGTACCGAAAATCCACAATAAAAATCTACTTAATGTATTTTTACCTTTAATTTTTAGTCTACTTATCATAAATTTTTACAAAAATGAACTTCAAAATTAATATTTTTAGAAGATTGCATCATTTTAGCTTTTACGGAAAAGTACATTGGCCAATTCCAATTAATTTTTGTTTGCTTTCAAAGTAGATAGTGTCTATTAAAAATTAACGGACTTTGAACCCAAACTGGAAAAGGCTGGAGAGAACAAATAAATTTGGATACATATAAGCTGACACAATTTTTATATCCTCAGTCTTCTTATGTCCAGACCAGGGATAATCAGAATTTTGCTTCAATTCGCTATTTCTTTCGTGCAGGGGCCAATCAAAATTAAGGAGACAATCGACAAACGATAGATATATTTTTCACGTTTATCGTTCGGATACGTCGTTTGTCGAATACCTCGAATAAAGATAAATATCTTTATCGTTTGTCGTTTATCGTCTCTATTATATCGGTTGTCGTCGATTTTTGTCGGTTGTCGTTCGAAATTTGTCGATTGTCATTTCAAACGATAATTTATTATGGTAACAAGCGGAAAACTACGGTTTTTGAACGACAAATTTATCGGATGCTAAACCCTGTCCCCCAAATTTATCGTTTAAAATTTTAAAAATTTTTTAAAAATCCAAATTCAACCTAAAAATTCCAAATAAAATATTTTTAGATAGATTTGAATGTGCTCTTTCTTTTGATATAAGTTTCAAAAAATTTTCTTTAAAAATAAATTTACTAGAGGCTCTCGCGCAAGGTACATCCATTTTTGAGAGAAATAGGGACTCATTCTTTCAAACAGGACTTTAATTTTTGAGTAAGCGGCTTATAAATTTTTATATTTATTAGGAAAATAAAGCTAAAATTCTGATTTTTACTTATGGTATGTAAAACACTCTCCTCTATCTATTGGTATAAAAATTGGAAGGATTAAGAGGATTTAACGGATAAAGGGGATATCGACAGATTAAGGGGGATATTGGGGAATTTGGAGTGATATCGATATATTATCCTCAATATTCAGAGATTAAAAAGATACATTTTGAGTTTTAACCTTCACGGATAATTTTTAAGGATTGAGGGGATTCGTAAGATTGATGGGGTTAAGTAACTGCGAATTTGGTATATTTTTTGGTACCATTCGATAGAAGATCAAAGACTTCCTATTGCAAAGTGATGTCGGTTTTCTTGCAAAACGACTTTGGGCCAAGTTATGGCCAGTCAAAGTTTCAGTCCTCGGGTGTGTTTGAGTACAAGGAAAAGAGGGAAAAGGAGTGAGATGTCTAGTTTTTTCAATCTCTCTGTTTGCTTTACATTTTATTACAAAGTTTAGAAAAGAATGCTTGAGGCACGAGGAATTAAAAAGAATAGAGAAGAAATTCTTCTATTATATCGTTTGTCTCCTTAATTTTTATTAGAGGTAAACGCTAAATGACAATTGACAATTGATAAACGATAATTTCCATAATATCGTCAGCTGACATATTCAGACTACAAACGATATATTTCAAGCGATAAACGATATATTTGTAATATATCTATCGTTTGTCGATTGTCTCCTTAATTTTGATTGGCCCCAGTTCTTTCTATTTCGGTTTGCTCCGAAATTAGACGCGGTAGAAATTTTGAGCTCTACTCACTTTGGTTTATGTTACACAGGCAAACCGAGTGGACGCATAAAAATCCGTTTGGACGCTCAAACTAGACTAGAGCCAAATTTTTTCGCTTATCTTTGCTGCCGGGATCAATTAATCTATATAAGAAAGGGCTACATTCCCTAACATTAATGGATGTCATAACATAACATCTTGAACAATGAGCGGGTAATCAAGGGTCCATAATTAACTCAAATTTAATTAAATATCGGAATTATTTTTTAAATATTCGCGAATTATAATTTATTTTTACAAAATTAAGAAATAATTAAAATGAACAAGAATTTAATTAATTTATTTTATATTATTTTATTTATTAATATTATTCAATCTGAAGAAGTTTCTGAGAAAGGCATTCTTGCTAAAAACAATTGTAATTGCCCAAACGGCGCAATATGTTGCCCGGATCCAATATTGGACGGACAAATAGATCCACTGGGTAAAGGACCACCATCCACTGGGTAAATATTTCAAATATGATGTTTTCGACTTGATTATTAACTTTAATTGAGTTGAGAAGTATATCCAAATATTTTCTTGAATTGTCAAAGGTTTGAAATAGAAACAGGTCTGGGTATCTCGTACAAGAATTAAGATCTTGATTCTCAATAAACGGAATTTTTGTTCGAGACTCATCTTAGTCAATCCTCTAGCATAAAACATGCAAAGAAATGCTTGAACAAACTTCAAGAAATGGACTTTCATTTGTACATTTTTAGTTATTTTGTATTTTCATATAAAAAGTTAAAAAGGAAGATTTATTATTTTATTAAAAATTAATTTAATATAGATTTTAATATAAAGTATTTTCCGGAAAAATAATAATTAATTTATTAAAATCCTTCTGATTATGAATAAATTTTATTGTTTAATTTAAGTTGTTGTTCTAAAGAATCGACTTATTGTGATCCTCATAATCATTATAAGTGTGCTTGGTATGTTTATTTTTTATTTTAAACAAAAATTTTTAGACAAATTAAATAGTATATTAAATTTTTGTATAAAATATAATAACTTATATTTTTTATTTAGTGAAATATATTTTTATATTTTTTATAAATTTTATAATTTTAGAGAGAATGCAAGAATTAATGTTGGATGATTATACATACTAGTTATTTAAAATGTATTAAATTAATACAAAAACTTTCCGTTTAATTGTTGATTTTATTTTGAATTTTGTTTCAATAAACATAACATTAAATAACAATCATTCGTGATTATCATTATTTCGTTTAAAAAAGTTAATTAAATGGTATATTTATAACTAGAAGAATTATTTTGTAAATACTCTTAAGAACTATTTTTAAATTTATTTTACTAAACATTTAAAAATAACTCTGATATTTTAAGAGATAGAATATCCCAATTTTGATTTAAAAACATTTGACTTCATTCAAATTCAAAACATATTAAGAAAAAAAGAAAATTTTATTCACAAATATATTAAAAACAAAATTTAAAAAAAAGAAACAAGAAAATTAAAAAATAGGAATGATTAAAATTTAAATAATCTGGGTAATAGGTATAATTATTTATTGGCTAGACAAAAATCTCCATACATATATTTACATATTTTTATTTTTCTTCATTTTTCTGTCCATTTGAAAGAAATTCTAATTGATCTTCAACTGTTTTCCATTTAATTGAGTAATGACTTAAATTGGAATAAATAGCTGAATGGTCGCTGTTCGGAATTAAAGAAGTTTGTCGGCCCCAAGCAAAGTTGGTTTTGCCGAGAACAGCATCACCGTCAGACCAGATACTGACCTGAATTTTTGGAAAATAATAAAATTAGATTTTGACAAGACTTAAAAAATTGAGAATAAAATAATATATTTAGAGGAATTCTAATTTTAAATCTTGCCCTCTCGATGGTTTATTGAGGGGTTAATAAACATTGTAAATGAGAGAATAAATTTTAAAATAATAATTTATCTCAACATACAACATAATGGGCATCTTTAGGTCTAGTAGGCATATTCAAGCGTTTCAATGTTGCCGAATAACGTCCATTACTGTGACAATGTGATCTACTTGATGTTGGACTCGTTAAATGACATTCATCAATCGGAGCATTCGGGCAGCCTGAACCAGCCCAAAATCCAGTCTTTTTACTACAAGCTGGTGCTGTCTCTGCCAACTTTTCATCAGAACAAATACAAATTCCATAATTGGCACCAGAAATGCCAATAAATGTATGGACTTTTTGTCGAAGTGAAGGACCCAAATAGCATTGCTCCAAATCTTCATCAGCACTTAAATCTTCAATTCCGCGGCCTTGGATGATTTGTCTAGCTAGAGTGACACCCATAGAGTGGGAAACAATGTCCACTTTTCGGGCACCCGTATATTGAAGAACCGACTCTAAGAAGCGTCGTAGGCGTATAAGAGTTTCACAGTCAACAGTTCTAAAAATTATAAAATTAATTTAAATTTTATTTTTCTAAAAAAATATTTCACACCTTTTTAATGTGTTAGTAAAGTTTCTGTCACCATATGTGACAGCATAAAGTTCGGATGTTGAATACCCATTGGCTAACAAATGAGAGATTGTAGCACTCCATCCTTGTGCCCATTCCTCTTCCCCCGCAGATAAAGCTCCGTCAGAATTTCCGTGAATGAAAATTACTGGACGCTTTCGAACTTCTTCTCCATGAAATTGTTTCCCTCCAAAGCTCGCCTGGTGGCCAATTTCGGGTGAATCAAATTTGTAGATGCCGTAATTGTTTCTATATAATTTTTAGAAAATTATTTGGGTATTAAAATGTGTTTGAATAAAATTTACTCAAAAGGAACAGGCAGTACCCAACTAGAAGAGTTGGAGGTCCCTGAGATATCTCCTGATACACAGACCGCCAATCTTTATATCCAACCGGTCCTAGAATATTATCTACATACTCCCAAATATTATGGAAAATTTTTGGAAATTAATCAACTTACGTTTTCAACCATTCATTAAAGTGCCATGTGAAAGGGCCTCTTGCTTTAGCAGTCTTCAATATAGAAGGGTCAATCTGAGCTAGAGAATGGCCAATAAGCCAGAAGGAAATTAAAATTAAAAAATTCAAAGGTAAATTAAAATTATTCATTTTAAGATTTTTCGAGAAGCTAAAAAATTTTAGAAATTTATTTTTTTGGGAAAGGAATGGAAATTGAAGGCTTTTTCTAATTTATTTTATATTAAATTATTTAAAAAGGCGTGGCTAAATAAAATGCCATAAAATGTTATTTTAAAGGAACTGTAAAAAAGGAGAACGTTTTTGTTTAGAAATTGTATAAATTAGTGTTAAAGAATTATAAAGAAGGAAACGAAAGAGTGTTAATAATGAGGATTAAAGCTGTTTTTCGCGAAAAAACAGTTTAAAAATATTTAAAGAAATATTTTAAGAAATTCGAGTTCAAATGATAACCCGAAAATGTACCTTTTGTCGTTGAATGATTTAATTCAGGAACATTAAATAAAACTGGATTTACTTTCTCTAAGAATTAAAATACTAATTATATTTTTTTCCTAAAATTTATAAAAATTAAATAATCAAACATAATTTAGGTATAAAAATTAAATGCTTGATGGTTATGCGAAATTTGGATTTCTACTTTTTCCATAAAATATTTTTTAGCATAAAAACAATTTTTGAATAGCTATTTCGTTCGTATATAGTATTAGTATATGACTAAAAGCTTGGTATCAATATCTACAAATTATTTTTCCCAAAAGGTCAAAACAAAGCATAATGTTCCCTCAAAAATTTATATTTTTTCTTAACTATCCTTAGAAATTTAAATTTTAAAAAATGAGTTATTGGCCTAGTAAAATGTTCAAATCAGATTGTCTTCAAATGTTGAGACTTTCAAATAATATAAAAATTATTCGAATAATTTGAATAAAAAAAGTTTTGACTGTGTCCTGTACATAAAAAATTAATTAACGATTTCGAGAAATTGAGATTTTGACAGGTTGGGACGGCTCATCACTGTTGTATATTTAATTGGAATATTAGGTAAATTATTTAAACACAGATTTTTATTTAAAAATCTTAAAAAATTATTTATAAAAATGTGTATAATATACAAAACCGGAAATACTTTAATATTAAAATATTTGTTTTTTTTTCAAATTTTATTTTTATTTATAAAAGCTTAATAAGAATTGTTAAAAATAAAATTTTTTTGTTGTTTATTGTTTAAATTTATATAAAAATATTTTTTTTAATAATTTTTTTCTTGGAATGTTAATACATTAATTAATTTAAAAATTATTTTCTTTGTTTTAAAATTCATAGCTATTTTTAAAAATTTTAAATTTTGAATTTTCTTTGTTTAAATTTTTTTAAAAATAGATATAACAAACTTCAATACACATTTTTAATTTAAAAATATTTTAGCTATGAATTAATGTTAGACTAAATAATTATTTTCTATAAATTTTCTTTGAATAAATTTTTTATAAAACAAATCAAAACTCGAAATAATTTTAAACAAAATAACATGAAGCGTAAAGTTAAAGAACAACGTTTTTATGTAATATTTAATTAGGGTGTGTTAACGGAAATTTTTATAAAAATTTTAAAGCATTTTTAATATAAAGATCAAAACTTTTCTTAAGGAGGAGTTAAGATTTCTTAACATCAATATTTGAGAAAAACCGATCAAGTCAAATATTATTTTAAGATTCTGTGGATATAATGTCCAATAGTGTTTATAAATCACATATAAAAATTTCAGGTTAATTAAACAACTGGAACCCAGAAAACCAGAAAAAATTAAGTGGCGTTATAATTTCTTAACACTCGTATCTTAATAAAATTATTTCCAAAATTAATAAAATATTTAAAAGAAAATGTCAAAAATAATTTTATTTTTTATTTTATAATAAAAACCATTAGACTAATTCTTTATTAAATTTTTAAACAAATTAAATAAATTATTGTTTTAATTATTTTTTAAATTAATTTTTGATTTTTGTGGTTTCTTGGAACTCAAAAATTTATTAACTAAAAAATATATATAAATTTATTAAAAATTTCCGTTTATTTTTATACGTTTTGTTTATATTTAATTAATGTTAAAAATATTTATAGAAGTGAAATGTCAAAAAATATATATTTAATTTAATTGTTTTTAATTTAAAAAAATATTTTTTAATTCTTAGAAAAAATAAAATATATTAACTAAAAATACATAAAAAAAGTATAGAAATTCATATACGTAAATTAATTTTATTTTATTAATCAGTATAAAAGATTTTTTGATTAGTCCCTCGATTAATTATCCCCTAAATGAGTAAAGTAGTTAAAAAATAATTTCCAATTTAATCGTTCAAAAACTTAAAATGTTTAGGCCTTCCATATTATTTAAGTTTACCGAGTGATTACCAGAAGCAGTTTATGTAAACCTCTAAAAATTTAAATTGGAAAAATAAACTTAAAACAAAAATTATTCAAAAACTAGAAACAAAATTAAAATAAATAAATATTTTTTTTATATTTCTCAAAATTTTAATTTAAAAAATTGTGTCTTGAACATAATAAAAAAGTTTATTATTTTATTATATTAAAATATTAAATTTTATTGTATTATTAAAGGAAGTAATAAAAAGAGAATAAATTAAAAATATTACAAGAATTAAATAAAAAAATATTTTTATTTAAAACAAATAAATTTATTTAAAAAATATTTTTTAAATATTTCGGCACGCTATTTCGGAAAATTAAAAAAAATTTTAAATTTAATCCAATTCTAAAAACTACAAAAATAAATTTGAAAAATCATAATTTAAACAATTAATTAAATTAAAAGGAAATGTATTTTTAATTTAAGAAAAATTCCAAAATAAATAAATTCTTAGAAAGGAAAAGTTGACTCAGAAACATTTTATAAATAAATAAATATTTTTTTTTATTATCTAATAAAAATAATAATTAACAAAAAAATTTATAGAGAGAATTGAATATTCGAGGAAATTAAAATAAAGGTTTTGTTTGACTTGATTTATATTACTCGAGAGTTAAGTAGTCCTCGGTTAACCAGAATTTCAAAGGAGAATATGTGTGGTGTCCGTGGGACTTCGGGGTGAAATATTTCAGACAGGTAGATAATACCCTACTTTTACTGAGAAATTTTCACCATTTCCGCTGAATGGTACCGAGATATAAGTCCCCTCCCATATAAGTCCCTCCCCTCCCAATTTTCTTTTCCTCGTGTAAACAATTTCTTTTTAATTAAAAATGTGTTCATCGGTGTTACAAAGTTGCAAAAAATATTTAAAATTTAAGTGCCGCTTTTTAGGGTTACCTACTGTTTAACCCAACAATACCAAAATATCAAACCACGAAACTTTTTTAATTTACGTATATTTTTTTTATTTTAGATAATTATTTTTAAAATAAAAACAACCTCATAACCTTTCAAAAAAACAAAAAAAAATTTAATAAAATAAAAGATTAAATTCAAAAAAAACTTTTTAACAATAAATTAATTCTATATTTAGCGTTAATTTTCCAAAAATTAATTTTTTATTGCATAAATTTTAAAAACAAAAATTTTTTTACAATAATAGTAGCTAAAAAATAATTTTTTTTAAATTATAATATTTCTATGAATCTAATAAAATATTAAAAATAAAATATATCAAAACACACACGCGGAAACAAAAAAATGTAAATTTTTTAACAATTTTTGTGTTTTTAAAAAAAAACAAAAAAATTCTACGAAATAATTTCTATTTTTGTTTTAAACCTAATAAGGAAAGTTGATAAAAAAATAAAATTTTATTTTTAGAATTTCTATTTAAAAATTATTTTAATGTGTTTTGCTACCAATTGTTAAATTGAAATTAAATATTTTTTAAATAAATTAAACAAATATGTATGTATAATGAACATTAATATTAAGTAATAAAAATCAGAATTTTAGATAGAATTAAAGATCAGAATTTAAAGTAAAACAAATAAAAATCAGAATGGTTATAACTTAATAAAATAATAATGAGTTTAATCCGGACAATTGAAGATAAAATAAAAATATTATTAATTAGAAATAAAAAATAGGTAATTAAATTTAATATTAAGATAATATTTTATTTAAATAATCATATGTATTTTAGTCACATATTTTATTTAAAAATTTAAAAAAAATTATTTCGTAAAATGTGTAGGATATAAAGTGAAAGCAATTGTAATGTGGATGGATGCTTTTTACTTAAAGGACATTTAAAAATATTTAATAAACTTTTAAAAGAATATTCGTATGTGATTTCCTCAAAACTACAATTTAATAATTCTCATTATTAACTACAATTATTTAGAATTAAAACACACATTTTATACGCCCACTAAATGCTCACGCAAACGTTCAAATTAAATAACAAGTACAAACAAAAAATAATATTTGTTTGTTATATTTATTAAGTTTTTATGTATGTACTATTCAGGATAGATTAAAGTACATTAAGCATTTTTTTGTTATTAATTACAATAATTAAATGAAAATTATTTTCTTTTAATTTTTTAATAAATAATAAAATTTTAAACTTAAAAAAATAAATAATTAAATATTTTTATATAAATACATATTTCAAAATAATTTTTAAAAAGCATTTTTTGTCACAAAAAATGCAATTCAGCAAAAACAAGGATCGGGGGCTGCTAACAAGTTGACAACACAAAAAAGTGCTGGCACTTTAAGCTGGTAAATAAAAATAATATTTTGTGTTGTTTAGCTTTTGCTTCCCCCTTCCCCTATGTTTTGTGTACATTGAAAATCAAAACACACATTCAATCAAAATTATTATTTTTCTATCACTTCCTTTTGAACACGTTTTGTGTTCAGAATTTTTTATTTAATTAAATTAAAAAAATACAAGGTCATATCAGAATTTTAAAAATCAGAATTTTGTAGATTATTTTAAATTTTGCAACACAAAAATCAGAATTATACATATTGTCTAAAATACATATAAAAATGAAGAAAAATCATAATTTTATTCTGATAAAAAAATCAGAAAATTAATAAAGGTTCTAATAGGGATAATAAAATTAAAAATCAGAATTTTCTTTATTATTTTACCCAAAATTTCAAAATTATTAAATATATTTAATAAAATACAAATCAGAATAATTTTATTTTTAATTAATAATATATATTTACCTAATTAAAGTACTTAAATTAAAATCCTCAAATATAAATATTTGTATTTCCGTAGTAATCTTTTAAAATTTTTCTGTCTTATTAAAGGATTATACTTTAAATTTAAAATAATTATTTTTAGAAAATTTATTTAAAAATAATTACTGTAAGCTATTAAAATTTTGTGTTTTCCTTCCTTATTTGGCATAAATATTTATTTATTTATTTTTAAACAAAAATTAATTTGTCTAGTAAATAAATTGTAAAATTGCTTTACTTTTTATTAATAAATAAATAAAAAATAAATTAGTTTACAGCACTTAGTTTTAAAGCTTGGCAAAATTGATTTATAAACAGGTGAAAATATTAGACAAAAATTTTGAAAGAAAATTAAATTTGTAATAAAAATAAGAAAAAATTGTTTATTAGTGCAGGAGTGTGTTATGGTCGGAAATTCTCTTAAGTTTTCGAGAAAATGAAAGAAATGTAGAAAAATATTTTTATTTTTTAATAAAATTATTATAGTAGATATTATTTAGTTAGGGAAATTGAAATTAGCTATTAGAATGTAATAGAGCCCGGCTCGATACGATTTTTTTCGATATTTTTCGATATTATCGAAAAAATATCGACCGAGAAAATTTTGTCTTTTTCGATATTTTTCGATATTCGGTATTTTTCGATATTTATCGAAAAAATACCGACCGACCCCTCCGTCCGGGCTCTAGAATGTAAGTTTGTGGGGTCGAAGGCTCTCTTGAAGCAGCTTCTTCTCTCTTTCATACCAATCATTTTTATCAATATTAAGCCATTCTTTAGAAGCGATAAAACCCGATTTTCACAATCAAAAATGGTACACAAAAAGCCAAAATTCTTGTGATCAGCAATAGCCAAAGTTCATGAGGGTTAATAGACTTTAACGCAAGTGTATCAAAGGGACTTTCTACTTTAACGATATCATTTAAATATCCTCATACATCCAAAGAATTTTATAAATATAGAATCTACACCTCCATAAAAAACAAAAATATTTGTACTTTTAAAATAGCCAATAAAAATATTTTTAAATTATTTGCCGGCACTGCCATAGTACAATTTTTAAATTAGTCTACAAATAATAAACAATTTTTACTAAAATTGTCATTTATTTATTATTATTTTCTGTCAATTAAATAATTTAATCCATTACGGAAAGACTCAATTTTTTTATTTTTAAACAGGTACTTACTTAGAGCTTTTAGGCACTTTTATATCTTTAAAGATAAATTTAGTAATAAAAATAAATAAATACCATAATTCAGGAAAGAATTAAAAATGGAAATTTTACAAAATAAAAACGAGAAAAAAAATAAACAAAATTACAGTAATTTTTATTTAAAAAATTTTGGGAAATTTTTTGATAATTTTTTTATTTTATTTTGTCCAATAAAAAAGATATAATTAAATTTTTCCTAATTTTTAGGAAAAAAATAATAAAAAAAATTTTTATTAAAATTTGCAAAAAATAATTATTATTAAATAAAATTAAATGTCAAGAATTCTTTAATTTGAAACAATAAAATGTGTAGAAATATAATTATTAAAAAATGCAACTTGGAATTAAAACACAAAAATTTTATTTCCTTATTAAAACATAAACAAAATTATTAAATTTTTATTTAATATGTAAGAGACAGGCAAGCAAACTACACATGTTAAGTACAAATTAAATTTAAAGAAATTGTTTGTAAATTTATTGGAAGGAAATGAAAGAAAAAGCTATTGGAAAAGGTGAAGATTGTGTGTTGATGTTAATTTTGAAATTAAATTAATTTAAGTGAAAATAATTAAAAGAAGGGGAAAAACACAAATAATTATTTAATTTTAAAATTTAAATTATCTATTTTTATCTTCTTCCTCTAAAGATTTAGGAGTTCCTGAACCCTCTGCAAGTTGCAGAGTAGACATACGAGCAGACTCGTCTTGTATAAACATTTGCCAAAGTTGGTAAACCAAATCTGTTGTAATTAAATCACCAGCATTTGATGCTAAAAAGAATACAAGTTTATTTTGCAGGATTATTTTTAAGATTGATCTTAATAAAATTAAAGTTTGCAAGTTTATTTTTGTTTGGATATTTATTTTAAGAAAATAATTTTTGTGTTTTAAGTTTATTTTTAAAATTTCAAATTTATTTTTGAAAACAAAAAATAAATGTTTTTGTTTGCTAACAAATAATTTATTTTAAGCACAAGCTTGTTTGTTTGTTTTTTCCTTAGGTTTATTTTTAGGCTCGTGATTATTTTTGTTTCTGTTTTGTTACGAGTTTATTTCCCCTAAAAATTATTTAATTAGTCATACTCAATTAATTCCCCTGGGGAATTAATATTCCAACCAATACGGGGACGGGAATTATTCGAGTTTTGAAATTGAACGTGCAGTAGAGCACTTTGGGGAGAGGAATTTTTGTTTCAACTCATTAATGCCATGGGGAATTAATTGAGAAAGGTATGCTCGAGTAATTACTCTCATTCTCTCAAATAATTGCCCACTCTCGATTAATTGTTGAAAAAATAATTACCCAGGATAATTTATTTATCTAATTTTATAGATAATTTAAAACTTCTGTGAAATTCCTTAACCTATTAATCGTAAAAGAAAAACTCCATCGGATCTCAAATAATGGTGAACAAATTTGTCAACCGCTACAGTCACTAAATTAAAATTATTATTTTTAAATATTTAAGAACATTAACCATTTTGATCATCTTGTTTGTCAAGATGATATACTCTCAAATATTGGCGTATAAATGGAACACTTTGTTTAGGTGTTGTTAGCCAATAAACTAATGAAAAAAGTGTGGCAATGCCGATAAAAAGAAGCCACCACCAAACAAATAAAAACACTTTTTCGTTAAACTTTAATTTTAATTAAAGATTATTTAAATAGAAATCTAACCATATTAATCATTAAAACACATTGGACCTAAAAATAAAATATTATTTTATTTTAAATTTTAGAAGATTTTAAAATGCGGAAATGAGTCGCCGACAGTCAGAAAATTAGAAATTTTGTTAAATCCACACCCTTTGGCGCATTTATGTAAACCCTCTCACAGTTCTCTTTCATCCCTCCTATGTCTAATTTTCTTAGATTTAAGAGAATTTTCCCAGGATATTTTATATAGTAATAAAAACTCCTACAGTATGTCTGTGTTTATTTCCAAGTACTCGAACTTCAAAATCGCACATTGTTACCCTAAAATTATTTAAATAATATTTTTTGTTAATATTCATTAACTAAAAAACCTAGGAAAATGCCCACTTTCATGCCATTCCAGCCCCATTGCCAAATCTCTTAAAATTTCAAATCCCCAAAAAGTATAAGAGGATCCAAGAAAATTGTTTAAAATAATAAATTGGCAAACAATTTGTAGTAAATATAAAACTTTTACAACCAAATATAAACAATTTAAATAAGTGCCACGACGAAAGAGGCCAGCAAAAATAACTTTAATTTATTTTAAATAATTTGGAATTTAATTTAAAAGGGCTTTACATCCTTTGGAGAATTGTTGTTGCATTCGTAATGAGTCTCTAATGTGTGTTGCTGCTATCTAAAATTGTAGAAGATTAGGAAAAATTATTTTTTTTAATTAGAAAATTTAATTAAACATTAATATTCTTCAAAAAAAATATTTTTTAACCTCAACCGAGCCTTTCCTCTTGTCTACTTGCATGTTACCTACATCTTCACACATTTGGATTATTCCTTTGACTGCCACACCTGAAAGATTTTTTATAAAAAACCAAAGGAAATTCTTCGTCTAAAATACCTGATTGCCAATTAAAAATTCTCCAAACAAGTGATGGCAAATAAAATAACATTCCTTGCAGTCCTAATACAAAAGGCACCCATTGATAATAACCTTAAAATAATTTTCATTAAATAATAAAATTTTAGAGTAATTTTTAAAATAATTTTAATTAACTTTAATTAAAAATAAAACTTTAATTCGGGCATACAGAAATTTTTATTTTTTTAAATTTATTATTTTTTAAAAATTATTTTTCAAATAATTAGTAATTTTAATTTTTTGTAATATTTCCCCCACCAATTTCTCTTTCCTCTCTCTGTTCAATGTCCTGTGGAATGTAATGATTCAAAGGAAGGAAATAAGTATTTTGAACAAAACAGTAATTCTCGCTATATTGTTCCTTAATTATTTAATATATTTTCATTTAAATTTCCCCAAAATTCTAACCCAAGCACCAGTAAATTGAGCTGGAATCCAACATTGAATTGGCTGTCCAACATATCTTTAAAAATTAAAATTTATTTAAAATCCTTTTCTCAATTAACTGTTTAGCAGAAAGTGTTAAAGCAAAAACAATAAAAAGCATTGGAGTATAATAATAATTAAGTCTATCAACAACATCGTCGTCAAATTGGGGTTTGAGACCTTGGAGAAATTTGTCGAGGAAAAACATTTTTTAAATGCTTTATAAAATGCTTTAAAAATTATAAATTAATTTAAAATAATAATTAAAAATAAAATATTTATTTATAGGGTTATCGATTCCTGGAAATTCTTGGATATCCGAAACCGAACTGAAGAACCGAACCGAAAAATACTCGGTTCTTCATTTCGGTTCGGGTCGGTACATAACCGATAACCCTATTTATTTATTATAGAAATTTACTAATATTGAAAGCTATTTCCAATTAAAAAAATTTTTTCGAAAATTTATTTCCCCCCCCCCTCAATTTTTAGTTCCATTCTATTCATTCCCTCAATTCCAAATTTTTTTTATTTTTTTTCTATTAAATTTTATTTAAATCTTTTTTTACAAAATGGCCCATTTATTTACACTTATATTTACTAAATAATTCCAACAGATTATTGCTACTTATTTTTATTTAATATTTTTTAAACAAAAAATATTTACATGAATTGGCTGTCCAGTATATTCTCGATTTTGCAAAGCAAATTTTTTTTTCTAAAATAAATAAAAGATTATTTTAAAACAGAAAAAAACAAAAAAATAATAATTGTTAAATTAACAATTAAAAATTCAAAAAAAAAATTAATTTAGAAATTTATTTGCGAAAATGTTGGGCGTTAAAATGTTTGAAGACAAAATTTTTAAAGGAAAAATGAAAAAGAATTAATTAAAGTGAAAGATAATAAAATTGAAATTTTAACAAATTTTTTTAATTAATTAGTTTGTTTTGAAATTCTTATTTTTTTTATAAAAGACAAAGTTGAATTTTGTTAAGAGCAAAAATTGAAAGTTTTAGTGTTAAAGTGTGCAAGCTAAGTTAATATTTAAGAAAGATTAATTAACTAAGTTTAAAACTTATAATTGATTTTAATGAGTAATTAAGTTTATTTAATGTTATTAAAAACTTGCTTGATTTTTCAAGTTTAAGCTTGAAGATAAGTTAAAACTAGGGTTAGACAATTTTGATAGAAAATTTTTGAAAATGAGGGATTTTTCTCCCAAAACCGATATTTAATTTAAACTCAAAACCAAAAACCGAGTTTTTTAAATTTTCATTAACCAAAAACCGGTGGTACCGTTAATAACTGATAGTGTCCACCCAAGTTTGAGCATAAAAAATTTATTTAAAGTTTAAACTTAACTTTTAATAATTTTAAAGGAAATCTAATTTTGGCAAGAAATAAATATTTTTAAAAGCTAACAGAATTAAACTAAAAATAAATAAGTTCATCACATATTTATTCCACTTTTTCTAAACAAACTTTAACTTTTCTTTCCATTTTTATTTTTAATGCCTAATAGAGAATCAGGCTCATTAAAATTTTCTTCCTCAGGTATTAAAGGGTCTATTTCGTGTAAACGTTGTTGATAATCTTGCCTAAACCATTTATTTTTATTTAAAATTAATTTAAATATTTCTCCTACCAAAGTGTAGCAATTAATCGAGAAGTAATTAAATCCCCACTATTTATTGATATTAATCGAATAACTAAAAGGCCATCTGGACGTAAAGCATTTTCAATAAAGCCATTGATTTGTATACGTCTGGCAAGTCCTCTATGGGGAATTGGGTCAATCTTGAAAAATAGATTTTTGTTTTAATGAGGAATCAAATACCTGTTGAAGATACCCATTAATTAGTCTATAATTACTTCCAATACAAAAAGTTCTGTAAAGCCAAAGGAATAATGAAATAAGGCTAAATAAAGCAATGAAACAGAACCAGAACCACAGAAAAACAAAAATTTTTTCATTAAACTTAAAAATGTTAACAATTTTAATTAAATATTTTAAGAGAATTACCATATTAATCATTAAAACACATTGCACTGAATGACGATGGAGATTACCTAGAACACGAACCTAGAAATTAATTTTAAAACAAATATTCCGTCACATTTATCAATTAAAACAAATATTTTCTTTTTTAATTCACCGAAAAATCGCAGAGAGTAACACGAGGAAAGTTTCCAGTCTCCGGCCATTCCCTACCAGCTATCAAGTCTGAAATAACGTTCCATCCCCAGAAAGGGTCGGGAGCTCCCAACATCCATTTTACAAGCATAAATTGCATTAAAGCATTGCAAGCATAAATTATTTTTGTTGACTAAAAGGAATTAATTAGAAGAAATTCTTAAAGGATGTTTTTACAATATAAGCAATTTGAACAATTCTCCCAGCTGCCAATGTTTGTAATTTCCCTCCAACACTTTTTGTTACATCGTGATTACAAATTAAAAATCTGGCAATTATTTCCATATTATTACTTCTCTCCCCAGGCTCCAAATTTGATTTAATACTGCAAGTTTCACAGATTGCTTTAACTTTCATATTTGTGGAACCATAAATTGACCTCCAAATTACCACTGGAAGGAAAAATGTCAAGGCTTGGAGGGCTAATATGAAAGGGACCTTTTGGAATAATTATATATTATTTTTGTTACAAATATTATTTTAAAACCCATTGGTAATATCCAATTTGTTTTTGTTCCCGTTCAGTCCAATTACTGGGGATTGGAATTATGTGTTCAGCAATGTCAAAATAATTATCTGGTTTCATATCAGCAAATTGTACAAAATAAGTATTTTGAACAAAACAATAATCTAAAGCATATTCCATCCACCACCCTCTATAATAAGCTGGGAACCAACACTGGATTGGTTGGCCAATAAAACTTTAAAGAAAGTTCTGATTTTAAAATTAAAATGTTTAGCATGAGTACCTCCATCCTGAAACGAATACTGAACATATAATTAAAATTGTAGTTGTATAACAATAATTTAGTCGATCGGATAAATCGCCGTCTGGAAGGGGGGAAATAGCACTGAGTAAATTTTGTACTATGTTCATTTCGGCCCTTAAGTTTATTTTTAAAAAGAATAAAATCAAAAATAAATTAAAATAAAAAGAGAACAGAAAAAATAATAATCATAAGTAATACAAATCAGAATTAAACATCAAATACATATCGGAAAAAATCAGAATTAAAAATAAAATAAGAGTGAATTAAAAGAAAAATAATCAAAATTTCTGATTATTAAGGAATAAATATTAAAATTCTGATTGATATTAAAATAAATAAAATATAATCAGAATTGTAATAAGCATAAAAAATTTAATTTAATAATAAAAAATACATATAAAAATATTTAAAAATTATTAAAAAAAGTAAATAAAATTTTATTTTCTTCTTTAGAATTTATTAAAGAACGTTGACATTAAAGTGTTCTTAAAAAGAATTTTTTAATATATTTTTGGTTCACATAAAGGTAAAAGGTGTAGAATAAATGGTAATTTATGTATGTAAAGGGGGGTTTGAAGGACACACGCTTGAGAAACAGAGGCGATCGAGGCGATTAGATTAGATCGAAAAGACGAGAGTATTTCGAAAACAAATTGGTATATGTATATTTTTAATGACGAGAATAATAATAAAATTATTTGTAAATATCCGAAAATAAAGGAAGTTAAAAATTGAAAATTATTTTTTACTGGCAAAATAATCTAAGTCTAAGATTTTGAATTAATAATGGTAATTAATAAATACATATTTCGAAACTATTATTTGTTAATATTTTAACAAAAATATTTGACAGTTCTTTGAGTGATTATTTAAATTAATTAAATTGTCCGTAAAACAAAAAATATTAAGGAATGATCTTCGGACATGATATGAAGATATTTTAGCCCAAATCCTAATTTAAAAATCGAAATTAATATAAAAAAATATGATGCTGATCTAGTTGACCTAAAATTTAATCAAAAAGGTTCTAAAAAGAAACATTCCCTTTTCAGAGTTAGTGATGGAATACAGTTACGATAATTAGGACTGTATTATACTATGAATAAAAATCTGAAAAAATTATAAGAAAAATTCCCAACAATTGAGGAAATAAATAGAAATATCGAAGTATTGACCGTCCGTGAAAAATAAATTGAATGTTTCAGCCCTTCAGACGAAAAAAATTCTTTGCCCAACGGGTGCTCTTTCTTCAAGGAGTGAAGAAAAAGGTCATTGTTGTTGCTGTTGTTGCTGTGCTACTCTTCCTTCTCTCCAGTCAGTCAGTATTTCGCCGGTTGGCGGATGAGCAAACGGCGACACTTTGAACAGCAACCAAAAATGGGGGGAAATAGGCAGCCGTCTAATGCATGGAAGGAATAAATTTGGAGGAAAATGGAATAAAAAATGTTTAAATGGGAGAGAAGAGATCGAAATAAAAAAATTTTTGTTGAGAGTGAGTGAGATAGAAGGGAAAATGAGGGACGTTCAAGGTTTTATCCTTCAGTTTCAGACCCATAAATTATGATTAGAAGAACCGTTTGAGAAGTTTTTGATATAATTAAATAAAGAATTAAATTTTCTGCTAAATAAGTTAACAAAATAAATTTTTGATTGAAAATAAAAATTCATACGGGTTAAAAATTTAAATGTATTGGAAAAAGTAAGGAATTTTGAAAACTTAATTTTTTACTTCTTTAAATAAAATATTAATTTTTACTATATTCCCTAAACAATCAACATTCCCGACTGTATATGTACTCTAAATAAGTATTTCCTGCTTCAAAAAACTTTAAAAGGAAAGTGCAAAAAAGTAGAAAATTGTGAACCAAAAATGAGTGAAAAGAAAAAAATCTAACAAAAAATTGTGTAGAAAAAAAGAGTAAATCATTGCGCGAGGGAATTACGTGGAAAAGAGTTGCTGCTGTTAATGTGAGGGTGAATGAGCAGAACAATACAACAACCATTTTTTCGACCGGATTCCCACAACAAAAACAATTTTGATGAGATTATCGACAACCATTAAGGGAGGAAACAAGTTCTAATAAAATTTTAATGTTTTTGACAAAAAAATTTTTAAAAATTAAAAATAAATTTAAAGTAAATCTTTTAAGACCTCAAAATTTTTCAAATTCCCTTCCTTTCCTAAAACACGTTCGGACATTAATTTTAAGGACATTAATTTATAAATAAAAATAATTTTAAAATATAGACTGTTCATAGAAAAAATAATTTTTTGAAGGAGGAACGTCATTTTCTGTAATTTTTGTTTGATTTTATGAGCGTTGCGCGGAAAAGAATTTTTTATTATAATTAATTTGAGAAAAAACAATGAAAAAAAAGAATATAAAACATGCGACAAAAAATTATTTTTATTTTGATTTTTGAATAGAAATGGAAGAAAAATTGATATTTTCTTAGTAAAATGATTAAAACAATGAATAATAAATAAATGGAATTTGTTTTTGGAAATTATTTTATAAGAATTTATAAATTAAAATCAATTTTTGATTTTTTTAAAGAAATAATAAAATCAAAAAAAATTATTTTGTGTATATTTTCAAAAAATTTATTATAACTAAATTTGCTCTCGACTAATTCAAATATAACTAAATATTTTATGTTTGTGTGTTGTCTTGTCTATTTATAATTCTTTTACACACTCCTTTTACTACCAACCTTTACAACTTATTCAAACTTGCTCGCGATCAATTCCAACTTTTATGTTTTGCATATTTTTGTATATAAATATATGTAATTTTTAACGACTTCGATTCGTAAATTCTTGATGGTTGTCTTTGATATACAAGAAAACTTTAATAAATTAAAAAAATTATTTAATAAATATATTTTGAATATTAAATTGAAAAAGAAAAAATTATTGGAATTAATAGTAGTCTAGTGATTTTGAATGATATATCAGAGTAAATTTTACCTGAATCGAAAATTTATTATTGAACAAAAAATCACTTACTATTATTGGAAAAACAAAGGAATTTAAAAAAAATAAAAAAATATTGGAAGAATACTAAAATTAATTATTAACCTTATAGTTTTAAATAAATGACTGATCATTAAAAAATATTTAATAATATAGAGTATTTGACAGATGATTAATTACTTGTTCCTTTTCTTAGTTTTGTTGCCAATTGCGACATTTCAGTCGGTGTTTTTTCTAATCTTTGTTCATCCAAAAAATGGATCACTACTTTCCAAAGCATAAATTTCAGGACATCATCGAAAGTAAAATATTACAAAATTATTTACTTTATTTCCAATTTATTAATTTTCCTTTTTTGTTCTTCCTAATAACTCAATTTTTATAAAATTAGGGAGGGTAATCCTTAATTAAGAACATTGGTCCCCTTCTTTCTACCCGAATTCTACTCGGTTGAAATACGGGTCCGGGTTTCGGAATAAACTAATTATAAACTCATATTCGGACGATTTTTATTTTTTGTTTGAAAGGTTTGGGGGTCAGCAATTTTTCTTTTAGATATTTTGAGCATTTATATGTCATTCATCTATTTAGTCCATTCTTATCAATAATGTTATCTTCAGTTATTTTACACGAGTCATTACTTCCAACATATATTTTTATTATTTTCCCTTTCATTATTTTTAATTAAAAACAACCAAAATTTAAATGAAATTTTTATTAATTTATTTTTTAATTATATTATTCCAATTAACAATAACAAAATTTGGAGAATCTAGGCAGCCCAAATTATTTAAAATAAATTTGGATAAACCTCCTAGGGAAAGATGGAAATCTGTCATAGAAAAGTATAAAGACAATGTAATACCTGAAATTGCTGCAATGGCTAGGTTAAAAAAGATAAATAATTGGATAAATAAATAATCATTTAAAAATATACAGATCTTATATTCCAATAAATTTACGATCTCCAATATTTGGGTTTTTTGCTAAAATAGTACATTTGTTGCCGCATGACTATGGGGAAGAAATAATTGGTATTATTTTTAAAAAGAGTTTCTTATAAACTTTCTGATAAAAATTGGGGAAATGGCCGTTTGGTAACTAATTTGTGATCTTAAAAATAAAGCTAAATTAATAAAATTAAAATGATTTTAATTGGTAAGGGATAGCTTTGAACTGACTATAAACTTTTCTTAAATTTTCCTACCATCGTCCCAGACCTCCCACCGTCCTTCATTGTTGGATTTAGTCCATTCCTGATAAATACACACTTTTGTTAAACAGGAATGGCCGAGCAATTACGTGATACAGAAGTAACACCTGGAGAATTGGTTGTCTTCAACATTTTATATGATCTGACAGACTTTTCACATGGCCCTTTTCTCAAAAATAATAAATCTCTTAGTCTCGGATGTACATCAATTGTTGCTGCACAAAATAATGGGAAAATATTGCATGGAAGGAATTTGGATTATGAAATGACACAAGTACTTAAAGATGCGACTATTTTAGTGGATTTTGTTAAAAATGGAAAGGTTACAGATTAGAATTTTTATCTGATCATTTTACATTGACGTTAGTTTTGACAACATTTTATCATTCTCACAAAACGAGTGTTAAAAATTAAAAATAAATTTTCGATTATAGATACAATACACTGCAGTAACATTTGTTTTGGCAGTAGGAATTATTACTGGACAAAAGCCTAACGCCTTCACTGTCTCCCTAAATGCTAGATGTAAGGAGGATTTTTAAACCTAAAATTAAAATATATTCAAAGTGTTTGTAAAGATTTATTTATCCCTTTTTAAAGACAGTGGAGGACCTATACTCAACATTTTGATGGAATTAATTACTCGTTTTAAGCACCCTGTTGCTTTACAAATACGTAAAACTTTAGAATTTGAACAAGATTATGTTTCTGCATTGTCTCAGCTTAGTTGGACATATATGATAGCTCCTTCCTATTTAATTGTCGGTGGAAAGGATGGAGATGGTGCTGTTATTACAAGGCAAATATTTTTGTTTGGAAAATTATTTGGTTGTACTGACATTTTCGTTGATTTACACTTAATATGTATCTTTGTGAGCTTGAGGACGAATTATGGGAAGAATAAGACAATACCTTTTGATATTGTAGATTTTGACATAAAACCCTTTCAGGGTCATAAAGCCCCCCCCCCCCTCATCTTCTCCTCCTTTCCATGTTTTAAACATTTCCCTAAAATAATTTAGAATTTAAAGGGACAGACTAGGCGCTGTTGATGTTTTCACATTAGATTATAGGCATTACCGATGGTTTTTGCTTGAAACAAATTTTGACCATTGGAAAAAATCGGGCGATAATAGAAGGTAAAGAACTCTTTAAAATTAAAAATTTTGTTTTTCCATATTTAGAAAATATGGACGAAAATTTATGAAGAAAATTGGAAAAGAAAATTTAACAGCAAAATTAATGTTTGAAAAAGTTCTCAGTAAATGGCCTATTAAGAATGGGTTATATTAAAAATAAAAATAATAATTATTCTTAATATTTTTGTAGATTAACTATTAGCTCAACAGTTATGTCAGCTGAAGAACCTAATTTAATATATAATTGTACTGCTGTGTGGGGGAATTGAAATTATTTTTTTATTTTGTTTAAATTTTATTCTGCTCAATTAAATTAATTTAAATTACTGGGTGAAGGAAATGGGTTTTATGATTGAATAAACCACAGTATAGATATAGACAAAGGCAAAATTTTTGCGACCTTTGTTTCAGGGATGTGCCTAAACTGAGTTTAAAAGGCTAAAGACAAAAAGCTAAACAGCAAATAAGGCGAAAATCGGCGAAGACTAAGGGCGAAAATGGCATATCTCTGTTATATTTGTTTTTTGACGAAGGGGACCGATTTCAACATTTAGGCTCGTTACAGTTTCCGACTCTTCCAATTTCCGATACCTCCTAACATTAGTTAATGATTACTCACCTCTGATCATTTATTTGATCCCTACTTTATGGAATGTGTTCGTCTGTGTTCTTTTTAATTTTATAAAAATATTCTGAGTCTGTTCTTTCTCGTTTTTTAAAATCAAAAAGCAGAGCAGTTTAAAAATACGAATAAATTAAAAGAATTCTGTTCTTATAATATAAAAAGAAAAAATAATTCTTCATTCATTAAAAAAAATTTCATTTATTTTAAATTATAAAAATCAAAACAATATTTTTTGTTTAAAAAATAAAATCAGAATTTAGATTTTTAAATAGGGAATTATAAAATTCTGACAAACTCTGAATTCACAAAAAAATATTTTAAGGACTAAATATTTAAAATTCTGATTTAATATTTCATTTTTAAAAACAGATAAATTTTTAAATTAAAATTTCTAAAAAATGTCCATTATTTTCTTAACTTTATTAATTTCTCACCTTTTTATTGCTAAACTAAATGGGGAAGAAGAAACAACAGAAAATCCTTTAGCAGATAATTATTTGCTTGATTATTCCGAATTAACTACAAATTCTCCTTTGGAGGGGGAAGAGGAAGTTTATTTTAAAATTAAAAATTATTTTATAATTCTAATTTTCAGGCTGAAACTAAACCAAGCCGTTCTAAACGGTTAGCACCTGAATTATACAATAGACTTGCCAAAAAGGGATATTTTATTCACTTTTGATGATTATTTTGAAGAAGTTTTTGGAGAAAAATTAATTTAAAAATTAATGAATAAAAAATAAATATATTTGAATTGTTAAACGAGATATACTAATAAATAAATAATAAATTTTTGCCATAAATTTTTTGAGTAATGCAGAGAGGATAAAATTAGAACCAGTGCTGGGTATGGCTCCGGGAAGTAGCTCCGGAGCCGGCTCCGCGGAGCTGGAGCCGGAGCTAAGATTTTGAAAACTCCGGAGCCGAAGTAAATAGTAATTAAATTTTCTTGGATTTTTAATAAAAAAATTATAAAAAATTTACCCAAAATTCTCAAAAAAATAATAATTTAATTTTATAAATTTATTTTTTTAAATAAAATTAGAATTAAAATATAAAATATTTGACCGACAAAAATATAAACATGCATTTTAAACCTTTCTTGAAAGTACTTGAGTAAAGAATTTACAAGTTTCTCACAAAATATTTTAAATAGGATGTATGTTTCTTTGTATTATTCGAAGCTCAGATTACCAAAAAATATTGGTTATTTTTTCTTTTAAAATAAATAATTTAAATCTAATTGGATTAAATAAAATACTAAATAAATGTCGTCCAAATACACTAAATATTTAACTTCAATTTTCTGTCTTATCTATCAAGGTAATATTTCTACGTTAGCTACATTAATCTAAATTATTCTGACAGTTCTTTCTTGTTCACCACCCCCACCCAATCCATTCAAAAATAACGAAAATTCACCTACATACAATCACCAAATATCAAATAAACTTCTTGGGGATAAAACCTACCAACAACAGAATAAAACAGCAATAAGATTTAATGGTAATTAAGGAGGTTATTCTACAACAACATTTCTTTTTATTTAAATATAAGATCGTGTCAGTGTTCTCTCAGGCCCTATTAAAATTCCAGAAGAGCTCCATTGCTATGATTTCAATGACAAATGCCGTTGGCGAAATATGGATGGATTGTTGGTAGATGAATTAGATTGGTATCAGGGTGCTGGATTTTTGGATGAAAATAGACTTAGGTAGCTTGGAATTAGAGAAATGTTTAGAAATTAATTAAATTAAAGGTTAACAACGGGAACTCATTTGCTACCTGGTTTTTTATTTAGAATTTGTTTCCACATAAATTATATGTATTTTAGATGGTTTTTATGGTATAGCGGCATCTGACAAAGTTGAACTTCCTGGCACAAAAGCCATCCTTGTTAGTGATGTAATTGGTTAGAAATTTGAATTTAAATCCCCAAACTCGTTAATTATTAGAGTGCCAAAATGGACAAGCAAATCTTCGCTTTCAACATTGGACAAGTCCTGAGGTTGTTGAGAGAATAATTAACTAAAATATACTCTTCCTTATTATAGGTTAGAATAAGTGAGTTTTCTTATATTTCAACAGAAAATAATTTTTCTTGAAAAAGCTGTCTGTGTAAAGTCTGTTCTGCGGCTTTTTCCATACTTTGATTATTGCAGTAAACCTGTGGAAAACGGAAACGGACCGGTTTTTCTAACACTTCCCGAGTTAAATGCCCCAATGCAGGTAAGTTTATGTTTATACTGGCAATAATATCGGCTTTAGATATTTATTCAAGCACATAATTTTGTGTTCAACAGTGCTGTTTTACATGGAGGTTTTGCGATAATTGACAATTTAGAATATTTTGGGGAGTTTTGTGACCGAGAAAATAATAAAGTTTGGTTAGTAGTATACCTTCTGTTATTTTAAAATTTAAATTTCAGCTTCTATTCCCTCCGCCAAACAAATCTGGGTTATTTAGAGAGAACCGAAAATTTTCAACAGATGCCAAAATTTCGTCAAATAACTCGTCGAAGACAAATGGGGTTCTTTCCATTTTTGACATGATATTTCGAGGAAATTCTAATAGAGATGTCCAAATTAATCAAGAAAAAATCCAAAAAGAAGGCCTCATTACCCGAACATTTCTTCAAACAGTAAATGAAACTCTTCCCGAAATTTCTGATAAACAAAGTGATAAACAGCCTACAATTCCTTTCTCTCAACATGGATTGCGTTCAATTAATATTTTACAAAGAAAAATGCCTAAAGTTTCAGAAAAAGAAAAAGGTAAATGTTAAAGGATAGTTATGGCCTAAAAAATATTTTATAGAATTATTTCCAAATACATGGAGGGATCCTGGAAATTTGAATTCTCGTAAGGCTCAGTTTGATATGGGAATTTTTGAAAGGAGAAGCAAGGATTTGTTGGGGCGAATAAAATATCTTTGATAACCCTGATTAAAAGTCTATAAATTAATTTTTTGTGATAAAAATAATGTTTGAAAATTATCAGTCTGAAAGTTGTTTGAAAAGTGGTAACTAATTGAAAAGTTAAAAGTTTTTGCTATCTTTTCTATGATAAAAAAAGATTCATCTATTCATTTGTTGTGAAACAATCATCCTGACGCCCTTCAGTCAGCATAAAATAATAGAGAATAAGAAATAAAGCAAAACTAAGCGGGTAAAACACACGGCAACAATTATCTAAATAACGACCTATTTTGTGATATTTATCAGCTCTTTCTGACATATCCTCTCTCGCTTCTCGGCTTAATTCCAATGTGCCCCGTCGCTTCTTCTGAGCCCATTTTCTCTTAAATATTTTTAAAATTAAAACGTTTCAATCGAATTTAAATTACCAATTGATTTGCTCGTTTATCAAAACCGATGACGAAAAGTGTTTGTAAAAGGGTGAAGAAGACAAAACCGGTCACAAATCCGAACCATAGATCGATTGCCTTTAAATATGATACACTTGGCAAATGTTCGCGAGCTCCAGCCGATTCAGTAGAGAGTGTTAATAATACCTTGAATATTTTAAATTTTAAGAGAGATTTAAGCAATTAAATCTCTCTCACAGTAATTGCAACACCAATTCTCCCTTCCATAAATTCCTCTGGTAACCAAACCCCTACCCATGAGAACATCAAAGCAAGTGAAGTAGGAATGTATGTCTAAAGAATGGGAAAGTTTTGAGAAGTTTTAAGTTTTTTGGCAAAATTTAAGTTACTTGAGCAATGTGGAAACCAACGTCACGCTTCAGTCTTTAATTTTTGTTTTTTGAAATTTTTAAAATTAAATTTAATGTTCACCTAAAAATTGCACGAAGACAAGCAAATTCTCCACTTTTTCGAGATCTATTACACTAAAAATTGAATGTTTTTCCTAAATCACCCATTCCTAACCTTTGCAGGCTCGTAATTGTCAATATAAAGTTCTGGAAGTCTGACCTCCGGATTCTTATCAATAGCATTTTTTCTATTAGAAAACCACTCGAACCGAACAGTTGGTAGAGGATAAGCAACTAAAAAATGGAAAATATATTTAATTATGGGCACAACTATTCATAATTTCTTTTTAGAGGAAACCTCACATGATTTAATTTGAAGCTCGCATGTCTGCTTATCTGGTCAAATTATAGTCTCGATAGTCTGATAAAAAACTAAAACATACCGTGTGGATATTTGCAAAGAACTAAATTGCATGCTGGTTTGAGCTTTATTCTGTAAAGATTAAACAATTAAAATTCGAATGATGAAGCCAATCCCTATTTAATTTCACCTTACTTAAAAATAAATACCTAGTTTCGTAAAGAACCAGCCCATCATTAAATATACGCATCAGGAAATTTAGAAAAGTAACTTCATGAAATTCAGCCTCCTTTACATCAAAGAATCTAATTCAAGTATTTAAAAATGGCTATTTTCCACACTCACGGATCTGGTCTCCATATTTTTTCCAAAATTTCCTCTTCTTTAACTAAAATTGTTGTCAAACTACTCACTAAACGCGGATCTCTCCATGACATCAAAAATTTATTTTTATTTGTTACAGGTAAAAATGCAAAAATCAAACCATTAAGTATATATCCATGTCATAATCCTTAAAAGTTTTTTAAAAAATATTTTTTTAAACTTTCACCATTGTACTTGTCTGGAAATTTGATATAGATTCTATGTATATTCCAAAACGAACTACTACAGCACTTCCTTGAAAGACAATTGGAGGGGAAAATGGATCATATTGGTTTTTGGTCAAGACCGAAAATTAGAAAAAAGAATCAAATAAATAGGTTAAAAATGAAATTAAATTCTTCAAGTCTAGATGAAATATTTATAAAGGTTCAGATTAAACCAAAACAAAATTCAACCCCACCGGAAGAATGAAGCTGCCCCCAACTTGTTTATCCATATCTTTTGTTCTAGAGAGAATATCATCCACCTACAATTTTCTCCAATACTTTAAGATTTTATCCAACACAAACCTCCGTGTCATTCCTCAATTTTTCGGCTAATTCTGTCAAATTTACACCAGCACTCTCAAGTGCACTTATATTTACCCCTATCGGCCCTTCAATTTCGATACCTTAATTAAAAAGATAAACAAAAATCCGCCTTTCACACCTTCAAATTCAGATGCATTGAATGCCTCTATCGCTGTCGGAACATAATCAGAACAAATTCCTTGCAAAGCAAGACCAACTCGTTGGTGGCGACTATATAACCTTGAAACAATTTTAAGTCCTAGGGCATTTGATACATCGGCCGAAGAGAACACCAATAATGGACTGAAAGCAACAAACTTTCATTGTTATGCACATATATTTAATCTAATTTCAAGACTGACCTTGACTCGTCCGAAATATCCAATTCTATCGGCTTTCTAGATATTCCATCTGTCGCAGATTCTGTCCGATTTCTGATTTCCTCCTCCATTTCTTCTTCAGTCTTAACAATTTTATCCTCCTTTTTCTCCACAACTTGTCTCGTTTTTACTTTCTTTTCTACATCATTCTTAGTATTATTTTCACTATAATATTTAAATTATAATCGTTTCGGATTATAACCTGTTTTTGCCTTCAAAGGTATAATTCCATCCGATAAGTTTGGTCATTCGCTTCTCGAGATTTATTAGCTTTAAATATGTATTTAGTTTAGTATTTATTTAATAATCCGTACAGTAGGTGTGTCTGGGTGGAGTTCTTTCTGAATTAAAAGAAATAAACAAAGTATCAGGAATTTCATACCCTGAATGGTTCGCAAATAATAGAATCATTGTCAACTCCTATCCCTTTGGCATCTTCTGGCGATGTATAGAAAAAATCGCGCTCGTGTTCACCACATATCTCTTGCCATAATATACCAATTGCCTCGAAGTTTTGATTATCAAAGAGTTCATCAGCTACAGAAGAAGGAATCAAACTCAAAAGTCGATCTCCTTTCTCCAAAACTTCATACTCAACCAATTCATTGATAGACCTTCCAGTCACCGTCTGATTCCCAATCTAATGTAAATTTCATTTTTTAGCACTTGCTTAGGCAGAAAATTTAATAAAAAATTTATTTTGAGATATGTATGAACAATAACTCCAAAATTTTGTTTCGGTCTTCATTAATTGCTTAATTCTTCACCTTTAACAATCGAAATTTCTCTATATTGCTTGAATTATCTTTCGCCTTCCAAAATCGTTGCCATGTGATACATTCAGGAACATTACTAATATTTAGATTCAAATCTACAGCTTTGAATGTTGCATCTACCCAAAATACTTTCTTCCCTTCGGCTTCTAATAAGGACGTTAGTAATTTATGGAAACAAAAAACCTGGCAATGCGGAAAGGTTTCTCGGCATTTCTTTATCATCAAAATATAGTTCCTGTGCATCTTCTGTAATATTCACAGCATTATCAAGTATTTTCATTGCCATATCTGAGAAATTTTATATCCAATACATCAACAGAGTAATTAGCTTATAAGCATACTAACCTTCTTCAAAGTTTTTCACTTGCATTATTTCAGTATTATCATTTAATGTTTCATAAGTAAGCTTTTTCATCTCTGCCGTGTCGTTTTTGATAGTTCCCTGAGAGAAAACAGGTTTCAATACTGATTCTTTAGCCACTTCTTTATCTTTATCTTCAGCAGCTTCTTCTAAAACCAAACCACCCATTCCAGGGCGCGCTTCAAACTGCCTATTTTTAGAACTAGTACGTCGTTTAGATGAAGTACTTGAGAATATAAGTAAAATCAAGAAAAATTGAAAAATAAATAACATTTTTTAGATGTATTTGATCATTTGGAATTAATGAAAAGCTGAAGGATGAAACCAAAAACTGGTTTCGTTGCTGTGTATGGTCGCTGTGATAAATTCAATCATATAACAACACGTTAGTTAACTCATGCGCATGCGCAAATGCTCAAATTAAATTGCGAACTCAAATTAAAAATTATAAAGTATTGAGCAACAAAATTATTGATAAACACTAATCCTAATTGTCCAAAGAAAAAATTCCTTGAAAATTTGCACGACAGAATCTATAAGAAATGTAATGGATAAGGCTCGAAACGCAGTACATGATTCCGCCGGTGCAGAATACTGAAAATGATATTTAATTTTCTTGGCAATAAAATCATATAAATAATCTTATTCTAATGAATTAAACAGAAACCCAAATGCCAAATTTTCTTTCAGTCTTTCATTCTTTAAAATATAAGCACATTACGTGTAAAAGATTCAAAAAATTCTTTTCGCAGTCGTTTGGGATAAATTGTCATTTTTAAACAATTTTGGCGTTTTGTATTTAAAAAGGTTTGCGAATATTTAAAGTCTATTATTTTTTGGCGCTCCGACTCGGGCACAGTGATCCATTTGCACAGTAAGTCAAATGCACAGAGGGCATCTGCACAATAGACAATTGCACAGTGATTTGTGGTTAAGTGGATTCGTGTTAGATTTTACTTATTGTTATTAGGGAATAAAATGTTTTTAATTATTAGAGATTGGACCGAACGATTTTTTTTCGATATTTTTGACACCGAAAAAATATTATCGAAAACTATCGACCGACCTCTTCGGCGATCTCTACCTTTTCCAAAAATAAGATTTCTGAGAAAAATCTTTAAAACACAAAAAGAATCAAACGAACAAATAATAATTGCCCCGAGTATTAACAACATTTTTTAAACAGGAAAGAGATTTTTGGATACCCCTTATAAAAAATCTGATTTCTGATGCACTGTACTTATTTAATAAAATCTAATAAAATGGGATTGGACTTATAAAATACCTATGGACTCATACCAAAACGCAGTCTCGCCCTTCAGTAAAGTGCCTGTCCCGTAAGAAATTTTTTAAAAATGCGAAAAGGTGTTTATCCGATAGAGCAGACTCAGAACTACAAGGCGGTACCTAACCAAAAATTCTCAAATGCGGAGATCCTTTAGAACATACTCTAACAGATGATTCGTAATAAAAATAAAAAATAATTTCAAAAACTTAATTTTAAAATCAAAGAAATCCAAATTAAAAAAGCGGCACTAATTATGACGACCTAATAATAATTAAAAACATTTTATTCCCTAATAACAATAAGTAAAATCTAACACGAATCCACTTAACCACAAATTACTGTGCAATTGTCTACTGTGCAGATGCCCTCTGTGCAATTGACTTACTGTGCAAATGGATCACTGTGCCCGAGTCGTGTCACCTATTTTTTAAACGACCTTTTTCTTAAGAAACGTGGATCTGATTTTCGTTGCATAGTTTTTTCTTACGTTATTGTTTTTTAATTCTATTCAAGGTTAGAAAAAAAGAAATGTCAACAGCAACTGAAGAAATTCAATCTTCTTCTGCTCAAAAACGAAAAGCTGAAGATTCTCCTGATTTATCTCCAAATTCAAACAAAAAACAAATTGAAGAATCTGATATTGTGCCGAAAACTCCAGAAGAATTAGATTCTTTGTTAATTCCAATAGATTATGCACGTCAACTTCTTTCCACACCAAAAGAAAGGTTGCCGTTAAAAAAGCTTCGATTAATTCTTGTTGGGTGTTGGATGCGTTATCAAGCAGTTAGGGATAGATCTAAGGTTTGTTTACGTCTTTTATCTTATTGTTTAGATTGAAAATATATATAGTATCTTATTGAGAATCTTTCAAAACTAGTATTAAAACAAAAATTCTTTAAATTATTTCTTACTTGATTTCAGCCTCCTATAATTAAGTCTTAAAAATTATTCACTTAACAAGCAATTAATTCAAAATATTTCTCAATTATTTTTTAGAATCCTCTAACAAGTTTCTTCATTGATAAAGTTATTCATGTAAATCGGGATGGATTGCGATTCAAAAATACTCGCGAAAACAGCTATAGAAGCATTATAAAGCTAAAGGAATGTGTAAATCCATTAGACGATGCTGCTTTCAAACTTTGGTTAGATGATTTGAGTAGCTGGGTTTGTTTTTTTTAATTATTTGGAGGAGTGTTTTGTATAGGGTGTTTAAATATTTGTGTAGGGAGTATGGGCTGAGGGATGTGGCAGGGCTAGGTGAAATCTAAAAATAAGATTCGAAATTAGCCCAGCCCTGGGATGAGGGCTAATGTAAGCAAAGGGTTTCTGACTGATCTCTAAATTTTTTTTCATCAATCTAATATTAATTTTCTCAGAATATTCCTGTCCCTTCCGTCCACGAATTAAAAACTAAAAAAGAAGAAATTGAAAAAGCAATTGAGGAGTATAAGTCGGATAACCTAAACAATTCAAATGAAGCATTGGAGTCTGCTAATTCTGAAAAAGTGGTTGAAACAAGAATTGAAATAAAAAATGAAAATGTTTCTCAAATAAATTCTTCTCTTCAACTTGATGATGGGAAACAAACAGAAACAAATGTTTTGAATGAAAATACTGCTAATTCTACTCTACAATCAACTTCTGAAGAACAAGAACTTCCTAATGGTTTAACAAAAGAAGATATTGCTAAAATGGTTTTTAATTTTTTATTTCTAAAATGATACATAATTGTCACGTTTCTTGGCATTTACTTTTAGCAATTAATTTATCGTTAACCCTCCTCGACTGGGTTTTTGTACCGTTTTGTTTTTTAACAAATTCTCGGGTCGTTTCATTTAATTTTCTTTTTATTTTCTGTTTTATTTAAGGGTAATTAACCACGTCAATGATACTTAATTAGCTCAGACATAACAATTTTATCTATTTTTACTAAAAAAAATTTTTTTTTTCTAGAAAATTTAAAAAATTTTTTATTTAAGGTAGTAACAATGGACGATCTAATTCGTTTACTCGATTATGGCAAAGATGTATTTGAACGTGTGGCCACCGGTTTCTTTGTTGAAATTCGTGCCCCACCTAATCCGAATAATAAAAAGGTTTTTTTTCACTTTAATTTAAATTAAATAAATTTTAAGGCAATTTCGCAAGGCAGAGGAAGATTAATAATTTATTTGGATCAAATTATTGGAGTTAATTGGATGGGAAAGCCGTATTTGGTTTTTTAAAAAAATTTCTAGTAGAATTTATCATTCCATTTTTATTTAGGTTTACGAAAAGCCAATGACTTTAAGTCTCAGATTTCGCCACTTTAGGGATGAAAAATTGAAGCTGTTACCTTTTAGAGATCGTAACACCTTAATTGATCAAAAAGCAATAGACCAATGGCTATACGATACTGTTGAATGGGTTTGTAAATTTCTAATCGATTTAGATATTTTCAAAAAGTGAAATTTTTTAGTCTAGGCAAAAATATTTCACATCTATAATTTTTACAATTTTTACATTCCTTCCCTTTCCTATTCACTTAAAATCTATAGTAAATTAAAATTGATTTTAACTACCTGTTTAAAACACTAATTCTTTGTTTTTTTCAAGTCTCTTATTAATTTTTTTTATTTTTAGGAAGAAGAATTTCCTACAAAAGAATTTATTGAACAAAAATGCGAAGAACTCAAAAATGTTTTTGCCGAACCACCAAAAGGACCGCCTATTGATTTAATGAAAATGGTTGATGGAGATAACTCGGCAAGGCAATTAAGGAAGATTATGGCTTGGCAGAGAGAACAACAGGTTTTTTTAAGTGCCTAATTTTTCATAAACCCCTAAGTGCCTAATTTTTAAGTGCCTAATTTTTCCTAAGTGCCTAATTTTTCATAAACGGGAAAGTCGATTTTCAGAAATGTCGAAATGTCGAATTCCGGGTTAGACCCAAGTTACAGACTTTATTCTTCGTATTTAGTCATAAATCATATATGTTATGTACAAAACCGTTTAGATCATCAAGATCGGATGATTTTACGCAAAGTTAGAAAAATTACTTTTTTGGGGGGATGTGTAACATAGTTTTCGACAACAACTTTTTAAAAGATTAGAACTCCCTGAATACCGAACCAAAAATTCTCAAATTTTGGGGTCTATTAGGAAACACTCGAATGAATAAATATGCAAAATTTCAAAGCTTTTGAACATATACAAAAAATTCTATAACCATTTTTGTAGAACGAACTTTTTTATGAACCGACCTAGTAAGAATATATTGAAATAGGAAAATTGAAATATTCCAAATTTTTTGTGTTTGTTGTCAACAAAGAATCTTCCTTTAGCTTTTTGTTACTGAATTTTCTTACATTTACGAAAAATTCTCTTTACTAATTTCTCATAATTATTTATTTTTAAGGATGTTAATCGCTCCAGACATTCATCATACAATCCTCCTCACAATCATTATTCTTCATATTCTGGACCGTACAATCAACCTCCTTATTCAATGCAAGGACCACATCGTTATCCGCAACCTTTAAATCAGGCATATCCACCAAGGCTGTCATATGGAATTCCTCCATTGGCTCATAATTATAATCAACCTAATTATCATCAATATGGCCATCCACCAATGGTTTGAGTTATTTAATTTTTAGGGATGTATCTCTGAAAGATTGAGATTATTTGGGATACAATTTGAATTTTTGAATAATAAGAACTTGAAATGTTTAAAAACTAATTTTTAATATTTTTATTCACTTTTCAGAACCGTCCTTATTATCCAAATTCAAATCAATACCCACCAGCTTATCCTAGACAACCCACATATGGACAGCGACAATATTATTGGTGAAAGAAAGGGAAGACAAGGGATTTTTTTGGTTATTTTTTAAATAATATTTGGAATTTTTTGATGGTTATTTTGAATGGTTTTGAAGAAATATTTTTCCAAAAAAATTTTGAGGGATGATACAAAACTGGAATATTATTTTTTAAATCTTTTCATTTTCTAATTATAATTGCATTTTTATTAAATGTATATTTATTTTTCTAATATGGTTAAAATTATTTTGTTTGAAGTTTGTATTTATTCCAAAATTAATTTTTTAGATTGAGCATTAGAATTATACCCTTAAATTGAGGGAAATTATTAAACTACCTATCCAGGGAAAGCCGTATTTGGTTTTTTAGAATTTTTCTAGAGGACTTTTTTATTCCATTTTTATGGCCTAAATACATATGCACTAAAATAAACAAAATTCTTTATCTTGATTTTTCTCTGAGCGAGGTCAAATGAAGTTGAAAGTGAAGTTGAAGTTTACTCGGCATATAAAGTTGAACTTTAGAAATGTTAGTTTAATAATCAAAGGCTGTATGGCTACGTAAGTTGGATTCCCTTCGACGTCCGAATTTCCAAAAATTTTGAACTACTTTCCGAAAATAGTGTAGAAAATCTTGACATATCGCTCTAATTCTTATTGGATTTTACAGAGAAAAAATACTTCCGGGCATCGTTAATAATAAAAAATACTAACATTTTTAATTGTAATGGAAGCTTTCCTATAATTTCAACATACAATATAGGTATACATGTTTTCCTTTATTAAATTAAACAATAACAAATTAATTACGTTCCAGACATCAAATAATATTTTTGCCGTATTTTGATGTTGTATTACATTTTATATTTTCTTAAAAAAATATTTAATGTTGTTAGCTAATCAAACAAAATTGTTTTAATTTTTGCTTGTTTTTATTAAATAACAATAGTATATATAAAAGATAAGATTTAATATTTTTATTTCAAAAAATATTAAATAATAATGAATAATAAAATAAAAATAATTATTATTTTATTTTCCTCTCTTTTTATTTTTAAATCTAATGCCATTTGGTATTGCTACTGTAAGTGCCGATCTTAATTTAGAATTTTTTGATTAATAGAAATATGATGGGAGGTCAATAGCAGGATCCCGCAAACCCCCATTACATTAAACTGATTAATCTATTTGGCATAACCGTCTTCTGCTTTTGCTATTTTTAATTTTTATATTATAGGGGAGTTAAATAATGTTAAGATGCCATTAGGGTTGTAAATGTATCCTAATCTTATAAATTTGTTTTACCAATACATGAATTTTTCAAAATAAACATTCAATTTTGGGTTTATGTTTAAATGTTTTAAGCACCAATTGGACTTAATACACAAGCAATACAAACAAATCCTCAATCTCAATGTATTTTCCCTACTTTTTGGGACGAAAGTGTTCAATTATGTTGTTCACAAACTCCAGTATCAGAAGAAAGCTCACTTTTTGTTCAACAATATCAGCAATTACCTGTTCCTTCTAATCAAGCAATACCTTCACGTTGTCGAAGTAATTTTTAGTTGAATTTTAAAGATTATCCTTCTCTCTCTCACTTTGGAGTTCCCAATCTCGCTTTGTTATATAAAATAACCAGGAAATTTTATTGTTTACTATTATGTATTATGTTCTGGATTGACCAAAAAGTGGAAAATTTTAATTAAATCTTTACTATCCTTTAACTAAATTATACCCCCTAACCTCCAAATAATTTTAAAAGGAGCCCCACATATCTTCTCTTCAAATCGTTACGAATGTCCACGTACTATGGTTCTTTGCGAGGCAACAACTCCAGAGGCTAACTACCATTTATGTTGCAATCGTGTAGAAGGTCAACCAGAATGTCCTAATTTAAGTGGGCAACATTCTTCTCAAAGCTATACAGGGGTTGGAATTGACTCTTTGGGAGTTCCTTGTACTGGTAGGGAAAATGTGGAAATATAAATAATTTAGAATTTATTTTCTTTCTAGCCCCAGACGATAACGGAAATTGCCCACCCGGAAAAGTTTATTTGCCAGGTCCAAAATGTTGTATTTTAAGAGGTTTTCGAATAATTTAAATTTATTTTTGTATTTTTAATAATTTAAAGGTTTGGGGTATTCAATGCATTCTTTTCCCTCGTCTGATAAAATTGATGAAGTAAACATTCCTTGTATTGATAGGGCTGTGCCTGGTCGAGAATCTGACTGTCCCGCAAATGAGAAACTTTGCAATGATAAAAATTATTTTGATTTGATGACTGTACAAGTAATGAGATTAAATTTTGGAGATTTTGAATTGAAAAATAAAATTTAAAAATTAATAAAAATAAAATTAATTAATAATTTAATTAGTGCCCTTTTACTTGTAAACGATGTGGCCAAATACCAGCAAATGCTGTTATATTCAATGCTAATATTCCACAATTACTTGGTTAATACATATTTTATAAATAAAATGTCTAAATGGCTCTAGAAGCAGCTTAATTAGAATTTAAAAATTTATTTTTAAAGGTTGTTTTGATCGAGTAGGATTAAACGGCCGTTCTGATTGTCCAGAAAGGAAAGCTTATTGTTTATTGCCTATTTGGGATGCCTTTCTACGTTTTGAATGTCCATTTACTTGTGGATTTTGTGGAGAGAATTTAATATTTAATAATGAAACTATTAGAAATAATAATTATTTTCCTTTTAAATTTCCAATTCTACCAAGTTTAGTAAATGTTAGAAATTAAAAGAAAAAATTTCAAAAAACTTTATTTTATTTATTATTGTTGTTGAATTAAAAGAAATAATAAATAAATAAAAATATATTAGTTTTTATTGGTAAAAAATGGGGAGCTTTTGCTGTCCTAGGGTGCCCTGTCCAAGGCTGGATCGGATTATTTGAACTCCAATACCCGTTAAAAGAAAATTTTAAAAATCTCGACCTGGCTTTTTCTCAACCCTATACAAGGTGCCGATAAAGACTGGTCGCTAATGACTGCCTATATGCTTAACAGCTTCAATATTAGCAGAATATTTTTTTAGTTATTTATGATAAGATTTGTATAGGAATTTCGATTCTCTAAGAAATCTTTTTTTAGTTCAAAATTCATTTTTGGCCTAATTCGAGTTAAAAATTCCTTTTTTTTTAGTTATATAATATTTACAATTAATTTAAAACAAATTTTCCCTTTTCTAAAATTAAAATGTTTGTTCTTTGGATCGTCAAAGAATTGTGTCCCCAAAAATAAATTAATTCTTTACATTAACAAAAAGCTTGATGGACATTAAAAATATTTTTTGGATTTTTATTGAGGTCAATTTTATTCTACTTTTGTTCAATTTGCGTGCTTCTTGCCAAAAGTTAATCCTTTTCTGTTATTTTTGTTCTTAAAAATCTGCGCCTTTATTTCAATTTATTGTTCATTTTACATTTACTTATAATATTGTTCAAATATTTTTAAATAATACACTCTGTCACAAAAGTATAAGCACCCCCAAAATTTCTATAAAAATACATGATCCCTAGGCATTTTTTGGTTAATTTTTTTCATACATTAGCAGCGATCCAATACATCAATAAAAATAAAGTTTTAGAAAATATTATCGATTTAAAAATTTTAAAATTGAATTTTCTTGAAAATCATGTGTCACAAAAGTATAAGCACCCCTGTAAAAATTTTATTTCTACTTATTGTAAAATTCTACAAAAAATACAGTAAATATCTCTATCGATATTATTGAAAATAAAAAAAGAATTAGACCGATATCTTATTCCATTGTCGAGATCTCGAAACCCTGAAAATCAACGTAAAACAGGGTTTTATAACTTCAAAAGAATTTTACGTTGATTTTCAGGGTTTCGAGATCTCGACAATGGAATAAGATATCGGTCTAATTCTTTTTTTATTTTCAATAATATCGATAGAGATATTTACTGTATTTTTTGTAGAATTTTACAATAAGTAGAAATAAAATTTTTACAGGGGTGCTTATACTTTTGTGACAGAGTGTATATATAAGGGTTTTTAAATATTTTTTTGAATTTTAATTGAAATTTTAAACTAAAGCGTGAATTAAAAAAAGGTCTGTGGATCAGTGAATAATTTTATCAAGAACTTCATTGGACCTTAAAATCAAGAAAAGTTCTAAGATCACTGTAGGTTTCTAGGTTCTAAAAACAAGTAATATAAATTTGTAATTGAATAAATCGGATGTATTTAGGAGAGATGTTGTGAATTAGATATTTAACGAGGTTTTACAGCTTGATAAAAGCCATTTTCTATAGAAGTTATTCTTTGAGGAAATCGAAGAGATGTTTTTTGAGTAATTAAAAACATTTAAGCCTTTTCTACTAATTATGGAAATTATGGAAAATAAATTATTATTATTATATTTGCAACAAAAGGGAAATAAATTCTCTCAAATTAATTTCTACATTTATTCCCTAATTAAAACTATTTTTCTATTTATTTATTTCTCAAATTCTTCACAATTTTTTGTTTCAGCCCAGGATGGTTCTAGCGAATTAATTTCAGAAAAAACTCCAGCTACTTCTGTACTAAGTTCTACTAGGCTTAGAGTGCGTTGCACTGATGATAGTTTACGTTTATATCCAGTTAAGAGAAATTAATTATTATATTTTTTTTATCAAAAATTTTGCTATAAGATACACCCTTGCTTTTTATAATGTAGGGATATCGTCTGGTCGGTTCCCCAACTAGTGGCTAATGAACCTTAAAAGAGATATCTTAGGTGTAACTAGCTAGTATTGGATTTGTTATTCGATCATATTTGTAAATCACAGTAAATTTTAATTATTCTGAACCTTATAATTCTTATAAGAATGTAAAGAAATAATATTCTAAAATATTTAAATATTAATTAAAAAATATCACAATTTTCCTAATTTTAAAAATATTATCTAAATTAATTTTCCACTAATTAGAATGCAACTTCTTGTCCAGATGAAAGAGATCCAGAGTCATGCAGGTTTGAGAACCTCTTTTAAAGAACTCTTTAAAAATACAAATTAAAGAATGATATTTACAACAACCGCTTCAAGTAATCCAGCAACTAGAGATCCTAAATGTGACAATCCTTTACTTAAAGATTTATCTGAACAATGTCGAAGGTATTTGAAAATTTTAAATTTTTTTAAAATTTAATTTGTAGAACTTGTGCTATTTGTTGTGAAGATTCTTCATATGCTTGTCAAAATGATGAAAGTAAAAAATAATATTTTTATTTTAAATTGAGTGGAGTTATTTTTAATCTAATGCTACCGGTTACATAAAAATCGCATGATTATGGTTAGATAAGATCATTATTATTGCCTTACAATTTCAATCTTAGCGGATGAGCGGCTGTCACACGCTTCTTGCGATTTTTATGTAGCCTTACAAAGGAGAGTGCCTGGAGTGTCCGTGGGACTTCAGGATGAAATATTGTAGACAGTACTATGTACTTTAGTTGTGAAATTTTCACCATTTTATCAAAATGGTATCGGGCAGGGTTGCCGCGGGTACAAAAAAAGGCCGGGTTTCGGGTTTCGGGCGGCAACCCTGGTATCGGGAACAATAAAAAAAGAACAATAATAAAATAAACAATCTAAAATAAAATTGTTGACAAAAATTTCAAAAGATTCCAAACATTTTTTGTGAATTTTAAGGTGGAATTGTAAATTGTAATCAAAATACTGAAAAGTGTGGAATGTCAGAATTTTCGGCTATGATGGTTAAATTCTGTCCAGCAACCTGTGGTTTATGCCTTACAAAACGTTGTAAAGATCAAATTGATGATTGTGAGGATATGAAAAGTTTATGTACAAATGGTGAATAAATTTTGAGTAAATTCTTTAAAAATCTCTTCAGAAATTTATGCAACATTTATGGAACATCAATGTGCCAAAACTTGTGGAAAATGTGGAAATGAAGAGGAAGATGGAGGAGATAAAGGGGAAGATTCTGGAGAAGAAGAGAATAATGGAGGAGGAGAATCAAAAGGGGTTATAAAAGATAGGGGAGGCTCTGTTGAGGAATTACCTGAAGAAGAAGTTGACGTTAGTAAAGAACAACAAACAGTACAAATTAGAGGGAAACCAAAAAATAAAAATGGTAAAATAATTAAGAAATCGAAGAAAAATTGAGAGAAATCTTTGGGGGTTTTTATGTACCTAACAATTTTAGTAATGCTTTGGACTCTGAATTAAGAGAGATATTTAATATTCTGAATGCTTATAGTCCATCGGAAAGTGGATTAAGAAATTGGAAAAATGAATAATTTTCTCCCAGCTTCTTGTGTTTTTTATCTCCAAGTTCCACAAGCTTGGAGTGGAGAATAGAAGAAATATTTAAAATGATGAGTGACTAAAATTTGGAAAATGGACTTTCGAAATTCAAAAACTTGGAAGACTAACTACCGTATATACTCTATTAATTATCCTCTCTCAAATAATTACCCCTCCTCTATCAGTTACCCTCTCCAGAGAAAGGTCGAAACAATAATCACCCAGGGTTAATAGAGTATATACGGTATTTGGCCTGAAAAAGACGAGAATTAAGCCTTCTCTTTTTAAGCCTTCCCTCAAAATAATTACTATTTTATTTTTTAAAGCAGTCAATGAAACCTGTTTTGATCATTGGAAAAATTGTAAAAGAAACAAAAAATTTTGTCATCACCCTTCCTATCGAGTTATGATGAAAAAGAATTGTGCTAGAACTTGTGGTTATTGTAAACCTTTAAATGAAAAAGAAAAAATAAATGAAAAACATTCTGGGAAAGAATTGAAACAGAGGGAGAAAAAAGATTGTAGAGATGCCCATCCTTTTTGTAAAGGTTGGGCAAAAAATGGTTATTGTGACAGTGATGAATATTCTGAGGTTATTTTTTAAAGATTAAAATATGTCTGGACAAGGGATTGGGCGGGGTTATCCGAAATTCGATACCTGATCCAAAAAATTTTCGAATTAACTTTTTCTTTACCCAGCCCGTCCCTGGTTCCCTTCTATCTAAAATACCCTTTACCCACTTCAGTAGAAGATAAAATTTTCAGTTTAATACGGGTATCTTGAAGTTTGTCCTTTAATTTTTAATTTTAAGGACGAGAAACGTGAAAAATGTTCACATACTTGCGGTCTTTGTTGATGTAAAAAATGAAAATTGAGACATAAAATCAATCTTGAAAAATATTAATTAAGAGTTTATTATTTGTAATCCAAAAAATATATTTCTGCATTTAATTTTAATATTATAATGAATGTGTAAATTAAAGAAGGAACTTTCTATTTTCCGAGGAAAGTGTAAAAGGGGTGTTTTCTAATTAACCGAAACCGAAACCGTGGGGTAAAACCGGCAATAACCAAAAACCGAGGAATACCGGTTAATAACCGGTAGTGACCGATCTTAACCGTTAATTCTTAATTTTTATTTATTTTAAATAATTATTTTAATTTTTAAATAATAAATTATATACTATACAATTTATTATTTTTATGATTTTTAAATAATTTTTTTTAATTTAATTATTTGATAAGAATATTTTTATCTTTTTATTTTCACTAAATTTAATCTATTAATTATATTACAATTAAATTTTGATTATTTACATTGTAATTTGTTGCGAAAGGACGAAAATATTTTTTAAATTATCTATTAATTTTATTTTGAAATTTCTTTAAAAAAGACTTTTATTATGGTTTACCTCTTAAAAATGAGGACCGTGAGTTTTAAAAAAGATTTTGAAGCTGAAAAGTTCGATGGATGAAACTGAGTTCCGAGACAATAAAATTAGGGGGAAATAGGGGGTCGAGAAATGTTATATTTAAATATTTTCAAGTTTTTATTAATAACTCTCATTTCAGTTTACACCCAATTTTGTATAAATTTTGGTATGATAATACAATATCTTCAGCTCTAGGAGGCTCGACTACTCTATTCTTATTTTTAAAGTTAATTGACGCTTTTTTAGGAAAAAATTTAAATATTTAATTCTTTTTTCTAATTTTATTTTTCTTTTTATTCTTTCAAAACCCAAAAAAAGATTTCCTTTTATTTCCTTTTCTCAAATTTTCTTAAAACAATAAAAAGCACCAAAGTTTCTGACTTGATTCTTTGCTTCCTTCCTTCCCTTCCTCCTTCCCTTCCTTTCCTCTATTCTCCAAACATCAATTCATTTTGTTGAGAGGCTGTCAATATATTCTTTACATATATACTCTCCTCTCCTCTTTTTCTCCCAATTTTCTCCTTTCCAAACCCCTTCTTTTTTCTTTTTATTTTTATTTAATTCTCGACCTTTTCCTATTCATATTATGGCCATTGAGAATAAATACAGTCGTGGAAAAAAGTATGGAAGCGCTAGAAATTTTTTTCTTAATTCTTAATTTTTCATTCAAAAAATACGTTCTATATACCAATCGAAAGCTCTATTCGTATCTCAGTTGACATGTTTCTGCATTTTTCATGAAAATGAAAATTGGCCGAGATAATCCGGATTTACCGGATATACCAAATCCCACTTTTTCGGAAAAATTTTTCGGAACAAATTTAACAAACCCATTTGATAAAGCATATTTTTCTGAGTATTTTCCACAAAACCGCTTAAAAATATCTTTTTCCGGAACAGAGATATGATTTTTTGAAAATCGTATTTTTCCCTTAAAAATCGAATTTTTTGCAAAAATTGACGAAAAATACGATTTTCAAAAAATCATATCTCTGTTCCGGAAAAAGATATTTTTAAGCGGTTTTGTGGAAAATACTCAGAAAAATATGCTTTATCAAATGGGTTTGTTAAATTTGTTCCGAAAAATTTTTCCGAAAAAGTGGGATTTGGTATATCCGGTAAATCCGGATTATCTCGGCCAATTTTCATTTTCATGAAAAATGCAGAAACATGTCAACTGAGATACGAATAGAGCTTTCGATTGGTATATAGAACGTATTTTTTGAATGAAAAATTAAGAATTAAGAAAAAAATTTCTAGCGCTTCCATACTTTTTTCCACGACTGTATACATGACTTTAAAGTTTTTTCGAAAAAAAAGCAAAAACTACCAAACACTTTCGTTGAGTGTTTGATAGTTTGCTGCAAAAAGCAAAATATAAAATATAGAGAAAGAAAAAGTTTTTTTTTCATTCAAAGAAAGTGTTTTTGTGTGTGTGACAGGGAAATGTGTTCATTTTTATTTTTAATTACATGAATTTTAAAAATCTTTTTTGGTTTAAAAACTTTTAACTTCTTTAAATCTTTTTTAAAAGATTTTTAAAAAAATTCTTAGATTAAAAAAACTTCCCGCTTTTCAATCCCCAACAGACCAATTTACCACATTGACAAATTTTAAAAAGAAAAATGGAAAGGTGGAAAGAAAAATAGAAAAAAATTTTTCGAAAAGTTGAAGGCAAGAAACACAAAAATATAAAATATATGTAAATGTTTATATTTTTAGTTTTAGGGGGGAAAAAAAAGTGAAGTGTAGTAGTAAATTTTTTTTTATTTTTTTTGGAAGGCCAACAACCACCCTATAACTTTTAAATATTTTCTCTCTAAAATAAACCCTATATTTTATAAAAAAATTTAATTAAATTTAATAATCTTTTTTTTAGAATAATTATTATTTTCTTTTTTTTTCTTTGGTCTTTTTCTATTGTTAATTTTTATGCAACAATTACCTAAATAATTTACTAAAAGAAATTATCCAAAAATAAATAAATATAATTTAATTAAATAAAATAAAGGGATTTATTTAATCCTGTTAAAAATTTTCTTTTCTTTTTTTATTAAGGAAATCTATTTATTTATTTAATTCTTTTATTTTCTAATTAAAATAATTTTTTGGTTATTATAAATTTAAAATTTTTTTTTCCTTGTAAATTTATATATTTTATAACATAATTCTCATTAAACAAAAATTTTGAATTGACTTTTTGTTAATAAAGTTTTATTATTATGTTTTTTACTTAAAAAAATTTTTAATCGCTTTTTATTTTTTAAATTTTATTATACTATTTATTTTTGTTTGTTAAAAATTCCCGCTGTTTAGTTTAATTCAAAAATGGAAAAATTTTTTTAATTTTTAGAAAAAAGTTTTTTCTATTTTTAAGTTAATTCTCGAGTTTTTAAAGGAATGTCTAGAGGAAATTATTGGTGAGGGGTGAGGGGGATTAGTTTCGAAATTCTGATTCCGGTTAGGTTGAATTTTTGATTCTGGCTAGATTTAGGGATAAATACTTTCTCTGTTATGTAATTTGAGGAAAATAAACGAGTGAGGAATACTGTAATGCAAGTGAGAGAATAATTATTTTTTAATTTTTATTAAGATAAAGCACTTTCATTCTGAATTATTTTTTTCTCCATTTTTTTATTTAAATATTTATTATTTTTTATCAACGTTTTTTTGTTAAAACCAATTCCGTCCAGCCTCTCGAGAAAAATTTTCCCAAACATTATTTAATATTAATCAATTCAAATAATGTGTGCATTGACACAAATTCAATTATTATGCCTGCAGAGCAAAAAGCATAAAATAAATAAAATAACAACACACTTTCCCGGCGAGAGGGAGAGGGGGGGGAGGGAAGGGGAATTGAAGGGATAATAAAAATATGGGGGAATTTAAAAAATAAAAACAACAATAGCATGCAAAGAGTGACAGAAAATGCGGTGGGCGATAATCACTTGAAGCCAATTGGCGCCTCGAGAATAGGTCAAAAGAGTAAAAAATCAATGGATTTGGTTATTATTTTTAAATAAAAAATAATTAAAGTAAAAAATGCGAGGGATTTTTTTGAATAATTTTTCTACCAGTACCTTCCCAATTCCCATACTATTTTTGATAGGAGAGAGTTTAAACTTCTTTAGGCTATATGTACTTCCTAACGTCTATTTACATTAGCTACCATCCATTCAATTTCCATTCGGGACCCCAGACAATCTTCAACCCTTAACACTTGTTACTCTAGTATGTGGCATTTTACCTTTAAGTGAAAAGCTCGTTTGTACCGTGCTTAGCCATTGATATAAAAAATTTATATCAATGCCCAGAGTACACCGCGAGGAGGTGCACAGTGGTAAACGGGCAAACCCTGTACTCCACCACTTCCGTAGGACTAGGTTGCCCAGGCCCGAAGCAGGCAGTGGCTAGCGACCTACTCAACCACGACAACAATTGCAACAATTGTGCCATTGGTTGTAAGAAGCGGGTTAGGTTCAACTAGGTTGCCCAAGCCCGAAGCAGGCAGTGGCTAGTCTAGCCTAACCTAGCCGGGTGATAGCTAGGTTGCCCAAGCCCGGAGCAGGCAGTGGCTAACCATACCCAGCCCTTTGGTTAAGGAAACACCGTCTGCACAATGTGTCGACTAATGAATACAACTTAACACAAAGGGGCCACGTAGCGCAATAGTTAACGTAGACATAGCTAGGTTGACCGAGCCCGGAGCAGCCAGTGGCTAGCTTGACCGTTGTCTGGCCGACTAGACTGACATTAGTAGGCGCTTTTATACTAATATTGTATTGCTTTTATAGTAACTCAAAGTAGCATTTTGAAAATTAGACGTTTCGTAATTTTTCTTTCGAAGAAAAATCATTTTGTAAAATGTCTGTCCCATTTATTTTTATCTTTCATTGTTTTTGTTATCTATTCTTTAAATTTCATTTTCGGAATTTTAGGAATTTAATAAAATTCCTTTATCGATGCTAAACGTATATATTTATTATTATTCATAATCAAATTCCGACGTGCTTTTTTTTTTTAAATAAAAATTGAAGTATAAAGAGGAGAATCCTTAAATGTTGCTAACTCAAATAAATTTTTGGCAATAAAAAAAAGAAGAATAACTCTTTTAATTTATTTAAATCTCTTCTTTTTAGGCCATATATTTTATTATTATTATTAATTTATTTGAGAGGCCTTTCACAATTAAAAGTCATCACTTGCCTGCTTTGTTTTGGTGCCATATTTTTATTTTTTTCTTTCGCTTCTAAAAATGGCGGAAAATGATGGAAATAATGTTGCAATTGTTGAGTCCCCCGCGAAGTCAGAATCTCCTTTATCTTCAAGGGAGGAATTTGGAAGAATACAGGTTAATTTAATTAATTTTTTTGAATAAAATATAATTTTTTTAGAAAGAATTAGCCAAAGAATTAAAAGCAAAGGATGGGCTTGAGAGATTCCTTTCACTTGCTTCTGGCAATTTACTCAACCCTCGGGCTTACACTCCCGATTTAATGGAATATTCAAGAGAACTTTATGAGGAAAGTAAAGCAAAGACAACTTTTTTAAGGATGCAATTGGAAAGGTATTTTTGGTTATTATTTTGGTTTCTGGGGCATTTATTCAAAATGTGGTTACATTGTTTTTTTCAGATTCGGGGGAATTTTTCGATTTGATGTTTACTCGAATTTTTAGATTAAAATTACAAGAACGATCAAACATTGCTGGGAATGGCCGTGAAAGTGATGGAGACAGTACTGAAAACAAAAATGAATCAAAAATTGCTGACTTAATGTATCGATTAAGAAAAGAAGCAGGTTTAAATATTTCTTAATTTAATAAAAATTTTATCCTAAATTTAGCTCTTATTGCTGGGGCTAATAGTATGCTTAAATTGTTTGGTGAACAAAAGAAACCTGACCAGAAAAGTTTGTTTTTTTAATTTTATTTGTAAATAATTGAATGAGCAATTATTATATGAAATACTATATGTTTTGGGATGTTTAAGTTATATCTTGAGCAAGGTGTAGGTAAACCCTTACACGGAGAGGTTGCGAGGTGTCCGAGCTAAAAACGGTCGAGACCGGGCTCATTCGATAGAGAATGTGCCCTTTCTAGCAAGGATTTTTTTAAATTTTAAAAAAATTAAAAAAAATTTTTTCAAACAAAAAAAATTTTTTTTGTTCAAAAAGGAATAAATAATGTATAAAACAGTTAGATAAAATAATAAAACCCAAAAAAGAATCGAACTTTTTAGAGAAAAAGGGTAGGTCAAGCACACTCACCACTACACCACAACGCCAACAAAATTAACACATTATTTAATGTTTATATTTGAGGGGGGAAATTATGGCAAATTTTGGGACTTTGGAGGGCCATATCTTGGCCAGATCAAAAAACGGGCAAAAACGGCAAAAAATCCTTGCTAGAAAGGGCACATTCTCTATCGAATGAGCCCGGTCTCGACCGTTTTTAGCTCGGACACCTCGCAACCTCTCCGTGTTAGCATGATCTATGATTCCTCTAACGTTTTTTAAAATACCAGAAAATATTATCAGGAAACTATACCGTCCCGTTTTAATTTTTTTATTTCCCTATATAGTATTAACCTCTTTTTAGGTGTTATGAACGCTCATGAAACCTGTGCTCTAGCAAATGAGAAACTTGACCTAATTCGCCTTGCGCTTAAAAAATATTCGTTAGTTTTTTTCTGCTTTTTTGATGCAAATTTAATTTTAAAATTCATTTTTCTTCTTTCATTTTAAGCGAACAATTGCCCCATGAATCACCAAAACGTGAACATGTTTGTCGAGAAATAAACGAATTCTCTGCTTTAGGTCAACGACAATCTTCTTGCGATTCTCCAACTCATGGAAATGCTAATACATTCAATTCTGATCGAAAAAATTCTGTGGATATTGACAATCACCAACAACATTCCTGGTTAGATCAGAGACCACAACTTTACACTCAGACTCAATATTTGTTGGCTGTTAGTGGAAAACTTGAATTGAGGTTTTTGTTAATTTTTAGAAAAATTAAATTTTTAAAAAACTTTTTTAGGTTAATTGGTTGCCAAGATCTGCTTAACAAAATTGATCTTCAAGTGGGGAAAAGCAAATCAATTGGGAAATTATTTCGACAACAAAGGTATTTTTTAAATATTTTAATAAATTTATTTTAATTTTTAGTAACAGTAAAATGATCCAAGCAGAAGAAGTTTATGCCTCTATTCGAATAGACAACAAATTAATTTCGTCAACAAAGTCAAAATTGATGGGGCCAAGTTGTTGGGATCAAAGTTTTTCTATTGAATTGGATCGAGCTAAAGAATTGGAAATTGAATTATTTTATAAAGATAAACGACAAATGTGTGCATTTGCTGTGCTTAAACTTGGTTTGTTTTTTTAGATTATTTTTTTGATTCTATTTTGAATTGGCTTTGGGTGTAGTATGTATATCCGAATTTTTTGGATTTGTCACCCATCAGTCCCTTTCACTTTAAAAAATTTTTTCGATTACCGCCATTTTCACATAGTTTATTTATTGTTAATAAACTTACTGGCTACAATTTTATTTTTTTAATTGATTATTTTAAAAATTTAGGTGATTTAATCGACAAAAGCCAAAACGCTGGCAAACACATCCTTCTTGAACCACAAGGAATTCTCTTTTTAGAACATTTTTATTTGGATCCAACAGTTAGTAGAAAACCTAATTTACAACGACAGAAAAAGATTTTTATGGTTAAAGGTTTTTTTTAATTTTTAATTATTTTTATAAGATTTTTATTTTTAGAATTAAAAACAAAAGCAGATACACGCAAACAATTAGGGCCTTCAGTCTTAGGACGTTTAGTTAATAAAAGTAATTCTGCTGCTCAACAATTTGAACCAGTCGTTTCTATAGGACCAAATGATAATGAGACGTCGAGTAAAGGTATTTCTTTCTTAAATAAAAGGTCCTCAAAGATTCACAAAATTTTTGCCTCCATAAACGAAAAAATTTCACTATTTTGCTCAATCCCCTCCTAAAAATTTTCCGTTTTCCCCATTTCGGGGGGGGGGCTTTAGCCCCAGAAGCCCCCCTCCTGGCTACGCCCTTGCCCTCTTCCCGAAAATTTTACCTGTCTACAGTCTTGTAATATGTATAAGGGAATAGTCAAATGAGAGAATTTTAATTTAAATGATTTCTCTTTCCTTTTATCTTTTTAATTTTTGGACAAAACTTAGTTTAATTCTAATTATTTTTCAGAAGTAGAATCAACAAAAAGATTTGGAGGAAATCATCAAAACAAAAAACATTCTTATACTCCATTAAATCTTCGCGACCATACAAAACAATTAGAAATAATACCTCCACAATCACTTTCAATTGACCAATTTCGTTTAATTTCTGTTTTGGGGAGAGGTTTTTATATTCAAAATTATCTTCAAACATTTTTTTTTAATTTTAGGACATTTTGGAAAAGTTATCCTCTCTCAATATAAACCTACCAGTGATTATTATGCAATCAAAATTTTAAAGAAAGGAGATATTTTGGCTCGTTATGAAGTTGAGTCTTTAATGGTTGAAAAAAGAATTCTTGAAATTGCTAGTTCAAGTAAACATCCATTCCTTGTAAATTTATTTGCTGGTTTCCAAAGTCGTGAACACGTTTTCTTTGTTATGGAGGTTTTTTACAAAAAAAAATTTTTTTTAAATAAATTCACATTTTTAGTATGCAATGGGGGGTGATTTAATGAGGTAATAATTTAACAAAAAATTTTTAATAAAAAAAAATTTAGGCATATTCATGATGATATTTTTACTGAAGAAAGGGCTTGTTTCTATGCTGCATGTGTTCTTCTTGGTTTGGTAAGAAATGAGAAAATTAAATATTTAAAATCATCAAATTTTTTTTCTAGGAATTTCTTCATACAAATAAAATTGTGTATAGAGACTTGAAATTGGATAATTTAATTTTGGATAAAGAGGGTTATGTAAAGGTTTTAAAAAAAAGATTTAATTAAAGAATAAAATTTAATTTTGTTTAGTTGGCTGATTTTGGACTTTGTAAAGAAGGAATGGGCCCAACTGACCGAACTTCTACTTTCTGTGGTACTCCTGAATTTTTAGCACCTGAAGTGTTAACTGAAAATAGTTATACTCGAGCAATAGATTGGTGGGGTCTTGGAGTTTTGATTTTTGAAATGCTTGTTGGAGAGGTTAGATAAAATTTTATTAGATAGAATTTTTGGACGATCCCACAATTTTTACTAATAGGTAATTTTTTAATCTTTAGCCTCCATTTTCTGGTGCAGATGAAGAGGAAATTTTTGATTCAATTGTTAATGATGAAGTTCACTATCCACAATTTTTGTCAATTGAATCTATTGCAATTATGCGAAGGGTAAAATATTATTTTCAATTTTAATTTAATTTTTTTAGTTAATGCGAAAGAAACCAGAAAAAAGACTTGGTGCTAGTGAGGAAGACGCAAAGGAAATTAAAAAGCAACGCTTCTTTGTGGTTTGTATTTTTTAAAAATGTAATAGAAAAAAAATATTTTTATTTTAGCATATTCAATGGGAATGGGAAAAATTATTGAGTAAACAAATTAGACCTAAATTTGTGCCAAGTATTGCTCATCCAGAGGATGTCTCTAATTTTGATGAAGAGTAAGCTTTGATTAATTTTTAAAAAGTTTGGTCGGAAACATGAAAATGTTTTCTATGTTAGAAAATGTGGAGAAGTGCTTTAGATGTAAGGGGTGTTTTAACGATTTTTTTATTGTAAAGGGGATAAAGTCAATCCTTTTGTCCTAATCTCAAAATCATTTTTAAAATTAATTTAAAATTTTAAAGGTTTACCAATGAACATGCTCGCTTCTCTAGTGCAAAATCAAAACGAGAAATTACAGATGCAGATAATGAATTATTCCGAGAATTTGATTTCTGCAATTTGCGTTGTTGACAAATGGTAAAAAACATGGACAAATAAAAAAATATTGGAGGAATGTATGTAATAGTTTGTTTTGTTCAATAATCGACCTCATTCATTCCTAAAATTATGTCCTTCAAGAAAAGGTTGAATGTAGCACAAAGACGTTGAAATAAAATTTTTTATCAAGTTTATGTTAATCCCCTCTCTCTATTTTCTAAAAGAACGTCTTTGGCTATTTTTATTTTTGTCCTCTCTCTCTCTCTCTCGCTAATTTCTACTTACTAAAAATTGCAGTATCTAAAAATGTTAAATATGTATAAGATTTGGTCTGGGGACATTATCGTGTAAAAAATATCGGTGTTGGAAGCTGCTAGGGTTATTTGCATGTTTTAGAGTCACCTTTATATTTACTGCAATTTTCCCAATTAAAAAATGTCTTGTGCCTTCACAGATATTGTGGTATTTTTACTAACTAGACATTAATTCTAAATGACAAACTTTTGTTTATTTTTCATTATGTGCTCTCTTTTTCATCTCATTTTTAAGTTGATTTTTAAAAAATAAATTCAGCAAATGGAAAAATAATTTCTCCTAACAATGTCAAATTAAAACAAGATTTTATTTTCTAAAAAAACAACTGTGTGAAGAAATCAAAATATAACAATTAACGGTCTCGAATATTTCCCCCCATAGCATTCCGAATCTGAAAACCAAAAATAGAATATTTTGATTAAATAATTTAACTAACCGTAATAGCCTCCTTTAATTTCTCTGAGAAAATGCTGGCGTTGCCAGATTGGTTTGGACGGGTATAACTTCGTTCAGGAGTTTGTTGCTTTAAAGGAAATAAATTCTGAATACTTTAAAAAATACCGGGATAGGACGGTTAATTTTTTGATAAAATATTTTTGGTGTTTTATCCAATTCTTTTTCCATTTTTGGCCTATCAAGCCTTTGATCAACAGTTGAAGGGCGATGAATGATTTCCTTAACCACACGGGGTGTATCAAGTGGCGTAGCAAAATAAGAGATTGGATTTTCTTTGTTTAAATTAAAGCGGGGTTTTGGAGGAACTAAAAAATTGTTTTTAATAGTTGGGAAAAGCTAATTTTACCTAATTTCTCTTTTGCTTGTTCAGCCTTTTCATGCTTTAAAACCTCATTTGAACCCGACAAAAGTGCATCAATCTTACAAGCCAATTCAAAAATTTTCTTAATTGGCACTTCAATTACAAAAACACCTTGATCCCAAAGATGGTAAATATTTGGTTTAAGAGAATGTTGTGAAATATAAATGAATGGTTTTTTAGTTAATTCTTGCTCGAAAGTGATTGATTCTTTTGAATTTTTGTTGAGTGATGTTTCATCTTCTGAATGGCGAAGAGCCTAGGAAAATTAAAAAAGTGAGGATAGAGCCAATTTTTTGCTTTTCTTATTTAATTTAAAGAAACCCCTTACTTCCCTGAACCTTCAAATTTAGTCAAAAAATTAAAAAAAAAAACCTTAAACTGTAAAACACTCAAATAAAACGTTTGCTGAAAATCTCCAAAGAGCATTCCAGGTATTTTATATGTATATAATTGTTGTAATAATCCATTCTCTAATGGAGTTTCTGTCCAACGATCCATTGAAAGTAATGTTACTAAAAACGAAAATTAAACAAATTTTCTTCAAAAAAACTTACAAGATTTGTCTATCTGAAATTTTATTTCTGATAATTTGTAAATACGTTGAATAAGTAAACGAGCTTGTTTAATTGGCATATGAATAAATCCAAGCCTTTTTTGAAATACAGATTTTTCATGAGGATCGTCACTAATTGAGGGCTTCTTAAAAGAATAAACATTGAATTATTTCCCCGGCATTTTTTTGCATTTCTTTTTTCTCAATAAAAATTAGTCGAAAATTTTAATAGAAAAGTAAATTAAGGGTGAGATAATGTGATTTCATTAAAAAAATTTTAAATGTCATTTAAATATTGCCTCAATTTTTACCATAAATTTAACAAGGATTTAAGAATTAATTTTATTAGTACAACCTTTAATACATTCCCTCGCCCCTCTTTCATATCCCTTTACTGCATATAAGCTAAATCCAGTCTCAATAATTTAAAATATTTTACCAAATTATATTCATCAATATTCAATAATGGTTCTTCAAATCTATTGCCTATTGTCAACTCCAACATTCGGTCATCTAAATAAATAGTAGATTTGTTGCTAGATTGTGGCTGCTGAAAAAAATAAAGAAAATCAAAAATTAAATTTAAAAAATTACAATTTGTTGAACTTCCAATTGTTGGCGTTTGTCAATATTCCAAAACGATAAAGTCGGTGGCTTTGACTGCTAAAAAAGAATGAATTTTTTTGTAATTTATTTTTTAAATTAGCTTGAAAATTAAAAAAATGATTAATACCTGTCGGGCTTCATACGGTTGTTTATTTGCATTCAGATAAATTGGTGGTCTCTGCTGCTGAAAATTAATAGAATTTTTAGTGAAATGATAAACCTAAATTCCTTGACAGAAAAATATTCAAAAAAATTACCAATACTTGTCGACGATCAATTGACTGCTGATCCTGTCTGCCTAAATTACGAAAAGATTGTGGATTTGATGCCAAAGCTGCATTCCTATTCGGAAGATCAGACTGGAGTCTAATTGAAAAAATAATTCGATTGAATTGAAACAACTTGTAAGATAACATAAAATATAATAAATTTCTTAAAAGATAATTAAAATTTAAATAATTATTATAAAAATAAAAAAATATGTGAATAAATAATCAAATAAAAATTAAAAAAAACTTTCAAAAATTACAATTTATTCAAAATAAATTAAAAATGTTAAAAAATAAAAATAAATTAATTATTCAAAATCAACCGTTGCCTCACTAGTTGTCGAAAAATTTCTTTCAATTTCCTTAATTTTTAATTTTTCTTGTTCCAAAAGTACTTTACGTTCATCACACATTGCTACACGAATATATTTAGTTGATTTACAATTCTAAAAAAATTAAAGAAGTTTTACCAAACAATTCATTTTTATTAATTACCAAACAAGGCTTTAATGGCATTTTTTCGTAACAAATTACTCGACGTTTACAGTCCATACATTTAAAGAATCTTTTATCAGCCACATGTCGTTTTATTTGATGTCCCGAAAGTTTGCAATAAGTACTTTGATTAACACTGGTATAATCACACTAAAAGAAGTTTTTACTAAAAGAGATGGAAAGATTTTAGTGGGGAAGGACAGATAATTAGAAAACAAAAAATGATGCTTGTCTGATAAAAAGGAGTAAAAAAGTTCTGGTCTATAGAGAACGAGTGTTAAAAAATTTTGTGATTTAGCTAGGACAAATAATAATTTGATGACCCAACGATTTTCCGAAAAACAACAAGATTTTTAAAAACATTTCCAAAGCAAAATTTTCTATAACCAAAAATCCAATAAATTTTCTTACAATTTAGGGTTAAATTAATTAATATTCTTCATTAAATTTACTTGTGTACACGTAACCACTTTACAACCACGAATTTCCATTAAAGAAGTTGCATTTGTTTCAATTTGTTCTTCGACTTCACGACGATCAAAATAAAGATTTTGGCGATTTAATTGTTCCTTTAAAAAAGAAAAATTAAAAAATATTCTTTAAAATAAAAATCTTAACCTGATCAGCTTCATGTTCATAACTAGATTTTTTATTTAACAAAGAATTTAATTGTTCATCTGTAAAAGTTCCACCCAAAAGAGACCCTCCTTTTTTCTTTATTTGTTGACAAGATTGTTCGGCTGTTGTCTCTACTAAAAAATCAAAAAATATTTTTGATTTAAAAACACAAAATTTCCCAAACATTTTTGACGTTTATTTCCATTATAACTTGCTCCTCCATTTCCCGCTTTAAATATTTCTGCTGCTCTTTTCTTTAAAAATTATTAAATTTATTTAACAAAAAAATCTTCATACCAATTTATTTAATTCATTGGAATTCAAAACATTTTTTGAGTCCGCCAATAAAATTGATTGTTTGTCTCGAGTATTTGACGAACTATTTGTAAGATGAATTGAATTTTGCTAAAAAGGGAAATTAATTTTAACTTAGAAAAATAATTTAAAATTAGAATAACGAGGGAAAAAATTCTATAATAGGATAAAATTTGAGAAAACAAAATTATTTCCCTCAAAGGGAACCGAACCCTTTAAAATGCAATTGAATAAAAATAAAATTTCTCCTATCAAACAAGAATTTTCCCACTAAACCAAAGTGTTTGTTCGACAAAATTTTCTAAAAGCCTATATCAATTTAAAATGCAATTGAATAAAAATAAAATCTTTAATTACTTGAGTTTGAATAAAATCGCGCATTGAAGAAAGTGAACGATTACTGGCAGACTCCGATGGTTTTGCAGCATTTGCTTTTGGGTCAATATTTTCTTTATTTGAAGACTGGGACAATCTTTGTCTCATTATTCGAAGATTTTTTGAGCCAAGATGGAAGGGCTTTAAAAGGAGAAATTTAAAAAGATTAAATTAAAAAAAGAAAAAAACATTTTCAGAAATAAGCTTTTCAATTTGTTTGTTTTGCTTTTCAAGTTCTGGATCAATTTTTGTTAAAGATTCATTTAACGACGTGTTCCTAAGGGAAGCTCTTCTACTTGCTGACATAGGCATTATAAATCTGTTGAAATAAAAGTATCAGAAATTTGTAAATAATTTTGATAATTGGAACAAATTAACCAAAAAATTTACTTACTTTTTGCCCTTTTCTTCAGCCAAAGATTTTCGACGTTTTATCAAAACAAGCTCTGGAGGTGGTCGTTCTTCTTGTGGTGATTGCCCCTTTGATTGAAGTCGATACTCTTTTGTAGGTAAATTGGCAGTACGATTCAATGTCCCGCGTTTGGCAGCAACTTGACGAGCACGTTGTTGTATATGGAAAGGGCAATAAAGTGAACGAGAAATATTGACAAAATTGGAACATTGATCTCCATCAGATGCTTTTCGGCCCTAAAAATTAAAAGAAAAAGTTTTAAAAATATTCACAAATAACCTGACACCTGCCAAGATCTGGACAAAAACCAACTTCAATTAATTGACCAGGCTTGAAGAGTTTTAGCGTCACTAAAAATTGAAAAGATTAAAAAAACTAGAAAACAACTACATTCAGTCTGTCGATTAGAATTGTTGTTATTATTTGCAGAAGGTTCACATACTTGAAGATTATTTAAGAAAAATGTATTGCCCGGTTGTAACTTCCAATATTGTCGAAAACAATCACCAAAAAGCAGAACCTAAATAGAAAAGGTTAAAATAACGGAAAAGCTTAACGCAATAAAGGGATACCCGAAGTAAGGGAAGGTATCAGAAAAATACCAAATAAATTGCTCACCTTAACACAAACAGCATTCAAATCCTTAAAAATTAATTTATTAAAATTGTCAACTCAATTATGATAAAAGATGTTTTTTGATGGAAAAGTCCGAAAAATCAAAATGAAGCTTAAAAATTTTTTGATTCAAAGCTAAGCTAAAAACATTCTTTTGCGAGTTTCAGACCTCCTTTCAATTCAAAAACAGCCCAAATTAAACGAAAAAAAACCTTAAGATCTGACATTCTCCAAATAATATATTCATTTCCATTTCCACTCTTTTTACATCCACTACGTTCAACCATTACAGCCATTGTTGCCCATCCTTCTTCATTCTCATTTTTTTGCATAGACAAAAGTCGATTTGCTGAGAGTTGACTAAGGCGAAGTTTTTGCATTCCAGAGAAGAATGTATTGGAAGTTTCGAGTGTTAATTTTGGATTACTTAAAATGGTAATTTTCAATTTCGTTCCCCCCTCTTTTTTTCCTTCCTCAAAGTATTACACAATGGTCAGTCAATCTTAAGTTATAGAACTCGTCGAGCTGTGTCGAATGACACCAAAATCGAAAAAATCGGACTTGATTGGACCGAAATACAGACCCCGGAAAATTGAACAACCACAGGGGCGAAAAACCAAAAGGACGAAAAAGTATACAAATGATAGCTCGTTCGAAAGAGCTCGTCGAGCTGAGTCGAATGACACTAAAATCGACGTGATCCGACTTGATTTGACAAAGATATGACATAAATCATCGACTCCGGTAGGTCTAAATAATGTCGTAACTTTGCCAAATCTTGTCCAATTACGTTGATTTTGATGTCATTCGACTCAGCTCGAAGAGCTCTTTCGAATGAGCTACCATTTGCTTAAATTTTTTTAATTTCAAAAAATCGCCCCTGTGGTTGTTCAATTTTCCGGGGTCTGTATTTCGGTCCAATCAAGTCCGATTTTTTCGATTTTGGTGTCATTCGACACAGCTCGACGAGTTCTATAACTTAAGATTGACTGACCATTGTGTAATACTTTGAGGAAGGAAAAAAAGAGGGGGGGAACGAAATTGAAAATTACCCTTAAAATTGAAGAAAAAATAAGAATAATTTAAAAAAACCTTATGCGAATTCCAAATAGAGGATCGAAAATTTCTGCTGTTTGTAATTTGGAAGTGTCTTCTTGACATTCTTCTGATGATGTATTTGTAAACATAATAAAAAGATTATTCTAAAATAATTTTAAAAAGAATTAAAAGATTCGAGAAGATTGCCCGCTTTGCGCCAGCCGACCCGCGCCAAACCGGTTGCGCCCAACGGCTCGCACCAAAGTGGGCTGTTCCCTGTAAAATTATTGCGGGAATTATTCATTTAATTTTATTGAATTTTTCTACGGTCAAATGTTTCAATTTTTGCATATTTTCCCGGCAATTCCCTTTAATTATAATCAATAGGGATTTGCAATTTTTTATAAAAGAGGAACTTATATGGTTTAGGCACTCTTTTTAGCCACAACCCTCTTTTCCTTTTCCATCATTATTTTTAACTCTTTTTCCTTCTAATCATCAATCAATTCAGCTAGGTCAATTTTTTAAATGTTACTACAATTTCTTAAGGGAAAATTGAGTGAAATTAGGAAGGCTAACCATCCCGAATCCCGGTTAACCATCCCGAATCCCGAAATCCCGGATTTTTTTGATTTTCGGGATCCGGGATGGATATTTTCGGGATTTATCCCTCGGGATCCCGTCCCGGCATCGGTTAAGAAAAAAAAATCCCGACACGGGATCCCGGAAGTTCGATTTTGCCGGTCTCTACTTTCCATATTAAGGTTACTTGTTAAGGAAAAGGAAAAAAGGGGCGTGGCTAAAAAAGAGTAATTAAACTATATAAGTTCCATAAAAGGCATGAAAAACTTCATTTAATGAGTTTAGATGTTTGTTATTTCATCTTTTCTTTCCCTTAATAATTTTTGTTTTAAAATTTTAGAAACTTTTTTAAATTTGTTAAAGTTTTTAAAAAAATGTCATCAAAAGATTCTGCGGAATTTGACGAGTCTAATCCTGAAGAAATTAAAGAAGAACTTCGTCGACTTAAAAACCTTCTAAAAAGTGAAGCGTCAAAGAATACCAAACTTGCAACAGACTTGGAGCAATTTCGAGCGCTGTTTGTTTTTTTTGGAGTTTTTGTTGAAATTTGTATAAAATTTTTAGTTATGAACGTGAACACCGCAAATATCAGCAAGTCACTCGCGACTATGAACAGGAGATGGAGAAGCGCGACAGGGAGCTGGAAAAGAGGGAGCAAGAAATTTTCGAGCTTGAAGAACATCGTCAGCGTCTCTTGACCAACAATGAGAATGTTAAGGTTTTGTTTGTTGAATAAATTGAATATCTTTTGCTGAACCTGACAGACCCCATAATTTTCTCCCAAGTTTCTTCCTATGCGTTTGCAGAATGTTCCGACGTTTTCCTTCTTTACTTCCATCTAAATGAATTGTTTTGGGTGTTTGGAAGCAAAACATAGAAGGGAAATTGGGATGGAAGAAAGAAACGCCTGACCATTCTGTAGATATATAGGAGTTAACTTGGCGAGGAATAAATGGGGTCTATCAGGTTCAAACCTATTTTTTAAGAGTGAGGTGGCTGCTTTGAATCAACAGAATCGCTCTTTGACTGAGAAGCTCTGTACTGTTCAAAAGCAATTGCTCGAGGAAAGGAACAAATCTCTTCCAAATCCTGCTGGAAATGAGACTGCATTGTTTGAAGCGGAGTCTAAAGTGGACGAGCTTAAGGCAACAATTGTTTGTTTTTGGTTGTTTAAACTTTAAAAAGGAAAATTTTTAGGCGAGTATGAAAGCTGAGGTTAGCCGTCTTTTGACTACAAATTTTGAATTGGATGACCGTGCAAAGCAATTGGAAGCCGAATTGACTCAAGCAGCTACGGATCAAGAATCAATGCGTGCTCTCATTAAATGTCAGCAAACTGATCTGGAAAATTCGCGCGAGAAGATTCAGGATTTGGAGGTTGAAGTTCATCAATTGAATTCTCAAATTGCTGGTGATATGCCTGTTGCTGCTAAAGGGAATTCGCTTTTTGCTGAGGTTGTTTTGAATTGTTTTAAAGATTTTGGGATTTGCTGCCTTCAGCCTTTCACAGAATTATGCTTTTTGGCCCTTTCACTCATATTCTGCTTTTGTATAAATAATTTTTATACAAAATTTTTTAAAGGTCATTGATGGTAAGGACCGAGTTGAAAAGGATTTGGCTCTGCTTCATAAAAAGCATGCCCAACTTCAAAAGGAATACAATCGAGTTTCAAAGATTGCTTACACCAATTCAATGAGTAATTCAATTTCTCGTGATGGTTATAAATTGCAAGGACCAACACTTTGTTTGTTTTTCTTTTGTTTTTTTAAATAATTTTTTAAAATCATTTAAGCTGTCTTCAAAATGGTTAACAGCGAACTTTCTATGCGATTGGACGAGAAAATGCGCTTAATTGAGAAATGCCATGTTTTGGAAGATGCTGAACGAAAAAATATGATTAAATTTGCTAAGGAGAATCCAGCTGATTTTGACATTTTCCAAGAGCATATGAATTCTATGGTTTTGTAAGTTTTTTTGTTTAGTTTTTAAGTTTAAAAAAATATTTTTAGACGTGACAAGCAACGTTTGGAACGTCGTGTTATCAACTTGGAATTGCGCGAGAGGGATTTTCTGGATGCAATAAATTATGAAAAATCTCGTTCTTCATCTGTTCCTCAATTGGAGCATAAGTTACAACAATGTGAACGTTTATTGGCTAATTATGAGACTGCACAGTTGCGTTTGGATGATGATGAGGGAATTTGAAGTGGAAGAATAGAGAAGTATAATTTATATTTTGACAGGCTTTAATTTAAAAAAAATTTCGCAAATTATTTATTGACTTTTTAATTGTTGTTATTTGTTTAGGTTGATATTAAAATAAATATTTTTTACTGCTCTTTTATAGACAAAATTTTTTTAGTTTTAGGGCGAAAGCCTCTAGGGTTGAAAATCCCACAGTTATTTCTCGCAATTATACTTCTAGTTGATCTAAATAGTTTTTGTTATCACAAGATGTTGTCCAACTACATTTGTTATTTTTTGTTCCTATCCGAGCTTAAACTGTCCATTACTTAACAAAAGCCATTTTGGGAAATTTTTGCGCCGTTTTGGCCTTGCGCCTTTATGGACGTGTCCCTGATTTTTGGTTTTCGATTTTCTCGTTCTTTCCGATTTTTGATATTTTAGAGGATTTAAATGTATTTTTATTAAATTTTTATTATTTTTATTAAATGTATTTTTATTCGACATTTTAATAATTGTCTAGAAATTCTTTTAAAAAGTTGACAAATTTTTTTCTATTAAAATATTGTTATTTTTATCAAAATGCTTTCATTTCGAGTTATTCAGGTCAATTTAAAATTAATTTTTAAGAATTTCTTTTAATTTTAGTCAATTTCAAGGCGTTGTTTATCCACTTGTTTGCCTTTTTCTTCAACAAATTTAAATCCAAAATTTAAAGAAGCTTTTGTTGATAAAAATGATGACAACAATTTTGTAATAAAATTAGACAATAATTATTTAAAAAGTCCTGCTGGGAATGTTCTTTTAATTAAATCTGAACTTTTGGCTTTATTAATTTCAAATGAATGGAATTTAAAAAATAAAAAAGGTTTTGGAAGTATGCATTTTACAGGTTTATTTTTTCGATTAAAAGTTTATTTAATTTTTAAATTAATTTATTAGGATTGGCTTTTACTGGTAAGTAGTTTTTTTTTATTTAAATATGGAAGTATTGGGTTATTTCTGGTATATTTTTGTTGAGAACCCCATAAATGTTTTACTTTTGGGGGGTTTTTTAGACTTTCCTTTTTTGGGTGGTCTTAGCTTTTGTCTTTAATTAAGACTATAAAACTTTTGAAAAGCTTCCAATGATAAATTTTGGGGAATATTTAAAGTTATAGTCAGAAAACATTGTTGGTTAATGTATAGAACAAATATTACTTCTGTCTTTTTTTTTATTTTGATTTCCTCAATTAATTTTTTACTTTTATTGGTAGGCGTTATAACCTAACTAAATTTTGTAATTTTTTTAATTTTCCAAAAATTTTTTGTTTTAACATTAAAAATATTTCTTTTTAAATTTAAAGCTCTAGACAATCCTCATGGAGAAACTAGTGATTCTGTGATAGAAAAATTGATTGGTTATTTAGACACAGACACTTTACTTTATTTTTCCAATTGCCAAACATCATTATTTGATCAACAACAAAAACATTGGTTGCCAATAATTAATTGGATAAATTTTAAATTAAAATTAAATTTACAACAAACAACAGAATTTTTTGAGCCTCCAAAAATTTCAAAAAATTGCAAACAAAATTTAAAACAATTTTTGTCTTTTTATAAATTTCCTTCACTTTGTGCAATTAATTATGGATGTGAATCTCTAAAAAGTTTAATTTTAACAATTTCGGCAATTGAAAATTATTTGAGTATTGAAGAAGCTGTAAATGCTTCTAATTTGGAAAAAATATTTCAAAGCAAAGTTTGGGGAAGTTTTGAATGGCATCATGAAGTTGAACGATTGGAAGTCTGTTCGAGAATATCTGCGGCTATTTTGTTTGTTTATTTGAATTCTAATTGAATTTTTGTTTTTTTGAAATTAGAAGACTTGACAGGTTTTTCTTTTAAAAAAAATAATTTTTTGGGGAGGGTTAAAACAATCTGTTAAATTTTTAGAAAATTTTTTATAAAATTTATTTCTCTTCTTTTCAAATCGGGTTAGTCTTCTAAATTTGTATTTTTTGTTATTTTTTCATTAAATTTTATATAAAATAAAATTTTAAAATATTTTCGACATATTTTGGTTCTAGCATCTAAATTTTGTTTATTTATCTTTCAAAAAATTTTTTTTTAATTTTTTAAATTTATTTTTTATTTGATGGAACAACAATTTGTTAAATTAAAATTAATTCATTCAGCAGATGAATGTTTTGAATTTGTTAGTTTTATTTTAAATAATTTCCTCATTTTTTTTATTTTTTAGTGTCCCAAACTTGTTCCAGGCATCAAAATCGGAGATATTATTAAAATCAAATCTTTAATTTCTGATGATTTTGTTGTCTTTCAGTACACACAAAAATGTGCAAATGATTCGAGACTTAAAGATAAAAGTATTGTTGCCTGTTCTAAAGCTTTTGAAAATAAAAAGAAGCAATTTCCAAATCGGTCAAATGTTTTGGTTGGAATTGTGGATAAAAAAGAGGTTTTTTATAAATTTTTATGAAGAAATTCTTTTTGTTTAGATTACACTTGACAGTTTGGAATTGACATTTAAGGTTTTATTTTTATAGAGTAAAGATATTTTTTTCTATTTATCCGATTCTAACATGAATTATATTTGAATTTTTAATTTTATTTAAAAATTTTTATTAATCTGTTATGTTTCCCTTTTTCGTAACTCCTTTTACGTTTTTGAATTTTCAACTAAAATTGTTTCATGAAAAACAATTAACCCTCGAAAATATTTTTATTTTTAGGAATATTATGTCTCTCGAGCTGATATGTGGCGAATTCGAAATTGTTTGGTTGATTCTTGTGTTTATGTCGGCAAAAGAGAAGAATGGCTTGGGATTTTATTTACTGTTAGCGATTTGTGGCGATTAGGGGAAATGGCTTGGAGTGGTTATGTTTCAGATGAAACTAGGTTTTTTGGGGTCTTTAAATTATTAAAAAAAATCATTTGTAGAATTGTTTTTCGATCATCAAGCTCACAAGTATGTTTATTTTTTGATTATAAAGCTCGATTCAATAATTATTGGGGTTTTAATCTACAAAAGATTTGAAATATTTTTAAGCTTTCCCAAACTTGGTTCCAATTTCCTTTAAGAATTTTGTTCCTTTGACCTTTTTTTCATTTTTTTAAATATTTAATCCAATTTAGGTATTAATTTTCATTCAATTTGGAACAGAAATGTGTGATATAGATCCCCATGGCTATTTATATTTTGAAAAATGTGTTAATGGATTTTTACCCGAATTATTTACAAAATGGAAAGATCAATTTTGTGCTCATTTGGTTTTTTTTAATTTTTATTTTTAAAATTAAATTAACAGGTTACATTAATTATTTTTTCTCGTTGGTATTACAAAGAAGAATTACTTGATGAAGAAATGAAAGAAAAATTGAAAGGATGTAGAGATCATCGAGGAAGACATTACCAAGTTTTTTTTGAATAAATTGGATAAAATATTTTTTTTAATTGTAGGATTTTTATTGGCTTTTGGTACAAAATGAACATTATTCTGATTGGACACATGTTTTGTCTAAGGTTATTTTTAAATTTTTTTCTACAGATTTGGCATTAAATTTAATTTTAGATTTTTGTCCGTGAGTCTTATAATTTCTCTGTCAATCTTTATTTCCCTAAATTAATTAAAAGTTTTGATTGATTAAGGTTCTAACTAGAGATCGGATCGAGATTAGACCTTGAAAAAAATCTCGGTTATCAAGATTTTTCGAGATCTCGATTCTCGTATGACCTTTCCAGTCCGGTCTTTAGTTCTAATTTTTGAATATTTTGAACAAATTTCCATTCCTATTTAGCTACTTCTTTTATATCGGTAATTTTAAATGCTTCTCCAAGTTTTTTGGAACTTCTTACCATACCTCAATTAATTAGAACCTAGACTTGATACAAAAAATCTTAATTTTTTTACAAAAAATTTAAAAAAATCAGTTCCTGTTTTTGATAATTTTTTATTTTAGTTGAAATTGGCCTTTTACAAATACAAAGATTCTATTGATAGATACAATTCAGAAACATTTCCAGTATTTTTTTATTATTTTCATTTAATATTCTTTTAATAAAAGTCTTACAAAAAATCAGAACCAGTAAGTATTTGGTCAACTTCAATGGATGGAAACTTTTTGGAGGTTCTAAATATTTCAATGAATAGTTTTGTTGCTTACCATTCGGATAGACGTTTTGAAACTTCTGGACAGCAGGTTTTTATTGAAATTACAACCCCAATTTGTGGTTGTAATTTTTAAAATTTTTTATTTTATTTCGGTTCCCTCTCACTTTTATTACTTTACGACTTTCTAAAAAATTATTACTCCCTCAGGATTTAAACCTCAAAATTTTTCGCTATTCGTCGGTTAAATCCTACATTATTCACAGTTTTCAGTCCCACTTTTTTTAAATTTGGCCATTAATCTGAAATTCATATTTTAATTTTTTTTCTTTTTTTTCAGATTATTTTTGTTACTCCTGGTGGCGGTGTGTTTAATGTGGATAGAGAAATGGTTAATTTAACAAAGTAAATTGAAACTTTTTTAAAATTAATTCTTCTTCTTAAGGCAACGTATAATAGATATGGGAATTTCTTTGGATATTGTTTGTTTGGGAGAACAACCTTTACATGCTGTTCCACTTTTTGTTTTTAAAAGTAATAATCCGCAATGTTCAGATGATTATTTTATTCCACATTGGATGAATTATAGTTATTACCAAATGTCCAAACGCTCTGTTTTTCCAATTAAATTTAAGACGAGAATTAGTTTTCCTGAAGATTTATTGAAGGTTTTTAATTTTTCTTTTGGTGATTTTTAATTTTAGGAATTAAAATTATTAATTCAATACGTTTGAATTAATTAGGTCTCCATTAGAATTATTTTTGTATTTTCTGCCTTAAAATTATGATAACCTAATCCTTAAATTTTTCACAAATTTATCCGCGGACTAACAATAAACTTGAAAATTCTCCTACTACAGTATTTATAAATATTTTTTAGAACACAGAAGAAAGCCTTTATATGGAAAAAAGCATCCAAGGCGTGGAGGACACTCATGCTTATGATGAACAAGCATTTAATAACTTTGCTCAAACAAATTTTGGTGCTGCTAATAATTTATTAAATGAATTATATAATGAATTGGCAATAAATAATGATGTTGTTGGTGGATTCTCAGGAAATTTGGAGGTTTGGGAATTGAAGAATTTCTGACTTCCAGTTAGGATGATTCCCTCCTATGAATAAAAATTATTATTGATCTTTTATTTCCAGACCTCAGTCCCATTTCTCATTTTCCTTTTAATTTACTTTCATTTTAAAGTTTGGCCGTCCTTCAGTTCTCTCCTCTTCTGGAGAACGAAAAATTACAGGTTCATTTGAATCCCGCCATGGAAGTTATGAACGAAATAGATTAGAAACTACAAATACACTTCAATTCAGAAGCGGTTAAACTTTCAAACTTTAATTTAAAAAAACATTATTTTAGTATCTCAACGTGTTCCCAAACAAAGTTATCAATTTTTTGATCCAGTCCAAAGAGGATTTTTAAATCCTTTTCGGCCAGAGGATTTTATTGTCAGAATAACTGCTAATAGAAGGAGATGGATTCATGGTTTACTTTTTTTTGGTGTTACGACAATTGCGGATACGCACGTGCGGATGCGACAATTTCGGATTAAATTTTTTTTTTTAATTTTAAAAATGATTGAAATGATATTCCGTTTTTCTGTCCTGGCTGTCAGCTTCCGACTTCTGACGGTTTCCGAACCATTTTTAGACAGATGTGGCACTGAAAACTTTAAAAAATCTTAAACTTTTTAAAAATTTTATATCCGCAATTGTCGTACCACCTTTTTTTAAATAATTTTAAAATAATACCTGATATATTTTCAAGTTTTCCCTGTTGATCGACTTGGAAGAGCAAAATTAGCTCATCATTATGTTGTTGGGACAAGTACAATGAGTGTATTACAAACTATTGAACCTGTAAAATTTAATGAGATGGTTTTTATTTAATTTTATTTCTAGGAACCAACAATTACCAGACAGGCCAATTCTGTTCATGATTCTTCCACAACAAGACAAGAATCTTCTCCACAAAATCATTTTATTGAGAATAAAGTTACCGGATTAGGTGCTAAAGGAAAAACAATGGTTTGGGCTTGGGGATCTACTGGAGAGGAAAAGTGGAATCCGGATATGGAAGTAGGTTAATTTTGTGAAAAAATATTGTTGGGAGGGGAGGGGGTATCTACATTATTCGGGCTTCTAAATTTTTTAAAATAATTAAAATTATTTTTAATTTTAAAGATTGGTTGTGATTGGAAATCACTTATTCGTTCAGGCCTTCTACCAATTACAACAGATTTTTTCCCTGACGGATCTTCTTTAAATGATTATATAATTCAAGAACATCATGTTTATTTTGATTATGAAGAAATGAAAAAATTAGTTTCTGAAGAAAATTTTCCAAATCCAACATCTCAACATTTATATAATCTTTTACTCGACCAACTAATTTATCAAAGGTTACAGAGAGGATATCAAATTGTTGTTTTGCCTAAAGAATATATTCATTCAGCTATCAGGTTTGTGCGTAATTTTATTAATTTTGGATTGAAGCGCTCTGTAAAACCGTTGGTTATTTATGGTTTAGTCGATAAACTAAGTTTTGAAAGACGTTCAAAAATTTAGATTATGGTCTCCTGGACTGTCCTTTTCGTTTTAATTTTTTTGGTTTAGTAAAAATTTAAAAAAGTACCGCGGGTTGAATTATACATCTAACGCAAAAGGATCTTTCAAAGCCACTGAGCTATCAACCCGCTATAATAAATGTTTATAAATTCATTTATAAACTATAAACATTCAAAATTTCGGCCTTTAATCCTAATACAAATAATATTTTTCCATTGATAAGAATTATTCTACTTTCCTAAAATTGTAAAATTTTTTAAGAAAAATTATTGGAGATAGAGCTCGTCAACCTGTCCAAAGAGAAGTTTGTCTATCTTTCAATCACATTTACCACAGAATTTCTTTAATTATTGAAGATATGGAAGATTTAGTAAATACAAAAGAGGCAATTATTTTAGTTCAACAATTTATTCCAAAACATATGGTTAATCAAGAATTATATAATCCTTCAAAAGTTAATATTTATAATTATTTATTTCAAGTACCTGATGATACTCGTTATATGGCTAGTACTACTTGGTAATTTTAAATATTATTTGGATATAAGTATTTAAGGGTTTAATTTTATAAGCAAATTTAAAAACGGGCAAAGATGGAATTATTTAAGTTGTCTGTTCTTTTTCCTTATTTTTAAATTTTACCTAAAACTAAAATTTATTTGCAACAAATATTTTCTAATTTTTGACTTGGCCTATTTATTTTTTTAAAATTTTGTATGAAAATTTGAGCTGCCTAAAATTATGTGTAGCTTAGAAAATAATTAGAATATGGTAAATACAAAAAACCTCTCAAAATTTAGAATTTTTGTCAGTCCACAGTCTCTGTTATTTTACACATCCATCTTCCCTTTTAATTTTTAATGGGGGTTTTTGCTAATTTATTCCCCTTTATTTTATCTTTAATATTTTTTAAAAAATACTTAAGTTTTAAACATCACAATTTGGATAGATTAAATTGGAGTAGATTAGATTCAGAATTACAAACAGCAAATAGATGTCCTCATTTATTTACCGAAAAAATGAAATGTTTTTCTGCTAGGTATTCTTTGTTAAATTTAAAAACAAAATTTATTTAAAGATATATTGTACTTCCTGATACAAGTAGAATAGCAAAAGAAGTTTTGAGTATTAGAAAGGCTGATATTTATCGTCCGTTTGCTTATCCTGAAGAATTGGAAAACAATTTTATTCGCTTTATTGAATGTAAAGTTTTTTGTTTTATTGGGGCTGACTTTTTTAATATTAAAAATTATTCCTCATTTATTATATCGAATTTATGGATATACATATAGGAGCCTGAAAATAACTGGATTAGGTTGTCGGATTTTTCCAGACCTTGAATTTTTTAGGTTAGGTTTCCTGCGGACTTATAGCCTATCTTTGAGTATCCTTTTATTATTTGGAGGCTTTTTTTTAAATCTACGTGGATATATTCCAGCAACAGCAATAATTCCGCACATTTACCTTAATGAACTTTTTGCAAATAAATTCTCTTAAGCGTTAAAACAAACTCAAAATATTTTATAATTTTTTATATTTTCCCTCTTTTAGGTGTAAATCGTGTTCGTAGCAATACTTTTCATTCTCAATGGAGTGATGGAATGTCTTCAAGACCAGAAACCCCATTAAAATACCATTTATCAGATCATCCAGGAAAAAGTTCTCCAACAGTTTTTGTTTTACCTCCAATAGAATTATTAGAATTAGATGTAGATATAGTTTTAAATGCTTGGTTAGAACAAATGGAACGTTTTCCAATATCAATACAACCAAAAAATACACAAACATTTCCTCCATCAATTTTTATTTCTTATGATTTTATTTGTTGGCTTTTACGTTTTGTTAGTGGAATGGAATGTTTGGATGATGCTATTGGATTTGCTAGTAAATTGGTTAATGAAGGGCGGATTAAATTGTTACAAACACCTTCAGATTCTGAAAATTTTGGTAGGAAGCCAAAATTAATAAGATTAATGGGGGTTGATAACATGTTTGCAAAATGAGATTTTAGGATTGAGCCTTCTGCTTTTAGTTGACTTTCTTATGTCTTAAGAAGTCTAATGGTTTTTTCGGAAGTTTAACTAGATTTCAAAAATTTGTTTGCGAAATGAGATTTGAGAATTGAGATTTCTCGTGTTTTTGAGTCATCTATTTACACAAAAAATATCTAGAACAGAATTTAAGTTTTTGTTAGTTGATCTTCGAAAATTTACCCGTCCTCTTTAAATCGAAGTTGGCCTTATCTGGGTATATTTTAAAGTTGTTCACTGACGGTTAACCGAACTGAAAACCGTCGGTCGAAACAGTCCATAAGCGAAAACCTTTGGTACCGGGTAGTTACCAACTCTAGTATATTTTTGTGAATATTCTATGAAAAAATTTTAAATAATATTTTTTCAGATCAAGAACCTAAAAGAGTTTCTTCTTCAACGTCTCATTTAACAGATTCTTATTCATTTCGTTATGGATTTTTCTTTTATTATATAATTAACACCAATTTAAATATCGATATTTCAAATATAGATTTACGCGGAAAAATTTATTTATCAATAGAAAAGCCCTGTTTATTAAATTTAATTGATAAAGAATGCCGTTTTAAACAAAAATCTATTACAATGGAATTTTTGCCTTCATCTTCTTTTGTCATTAAAAATTTGGAGAATCATTTTGTTGAATGGGGAAAAGTTTTTGTTGATAGAGCATATACACATTCACAGGCTTTTGAAATTAATGTAAGGGAAGAATACAGACATATGTACCTTTTAAATAATAATTTTAAAAAAAAAGGTTAAATGGTTTATGGCAACAGGGCAATCTGTAGCTGATTTAGTAAATAAACAATGGGCTAGACATGCACAAAAATATTTGATGCATTTCTTTCCGGCACCAGAAGATGCTTTTGCTGAACCTACAAATGTTTTATCAAGTCCTTTAAGATGCCCAATTTTTGTTGCTATAAAAAGTGGTTTAATACCTGGAGGTTATGTAAGTTTTTCTTGAAGAGAAATTTAAAATAAAATTATATGTATACACTGCGTTTCAAAAAGATGGCACACCATGTTTTTTCGACATAAGTCAACGGAAAAGTGTCCATTTCGTTTGAAATTTTTTCTGTAATTAGGTTTGATCAATATAATGCTATTAAAAAGATCCGAGCAAAAAAACATTTTTTAAAAATTTTTTATAAAATAATTTTCAATTTTTTACTGTTTCAAAAAGATGGCACACCTTAAATTTTCGACATTAGGAGTGGTCTGAAAAATCTACAAAAATTCCTATAAACATATTTATTGATGTCGATAGAAAATACAAAAGAAACGAAGTTCTAATATGTCTCCTTCATTGAGATCTGGAAACCCAAAAATCAACGGAAAACGGGGGGTAAGCGTCTTTAAAAAATATTTTCGACCCCTTAAAGACTAAATTAAATTTTTATTTTATAATTTTCTGAAAGCCCTTTAAATTTGCTATAATACCAGAAATTTTCATTTTATAGAAAATTTTTTCCATCAAGTTGTACTTCATTAAATTTCTAATGTGCTAAGAATGGGGTAGATTTAATTATTTTCATGTTCATTGAATTTAACACTCAATATCTCACATGTAAAATTTTTTGCTTAATTGACAATAAGGGTTTCTTATACCAAATTTAAAGGGCTTTCAGAAAATTATAAAATAAAAATTTAATTTAGTCTTTAAGGGGTCGAAAATATTTTTTAAAGACGCTTACCCCCCGTTTTCCGTTGATTTTTGGGTTTCCAGATCTCAATGAAGGAGACATATTAGAACTTCGTTTCTTTTGTATTTTCTATCGACATCAATAAATATGTTTATAGGAATTTTTGTAGATTTTTCAGACCACTCCTAATGTCGAAAATTTAAGGTGTGCCATCTTTTTGAAACAGTAAAAAATTGAAAATTATTTTATAAAAAATTTTTAAAAAATGTTTTTTTTGCTCGGATCTTTTTAATAGCATTATATTGATCAAACCTAATTACAGAAAAAATTTCAAACGAAATGGACACTTTTCCGTTGACTTATGTCGAAAAAACATGGTGTGCCATCTTTTTGAAACGCAGTGTATTGTTTTTGGATTTTGTCTTGTTCCGCTTTCTCCTTACTGAACTTCTCCAAAATATTTTGAAGATGTGAGTAATTTGAATGAGAATTTCTATTTGTCGTTAAGAAATTGAAACATTTTTATTTAAAGAATCAAGACATATTTTTGGTTAAATTTAGGGTTCCCTTATACCTCCTTAAATTACCTATTTATTTTTTATTTTTAGTTTGATTCAGTTTTGAGGGCAATATTAGCCTCTTTTGGTTTTATTCATTTAAAATGTCCAATACATTATAAAGAATATAAGGGAAAAACCTTAACAACAAATATTTCAACAATTAATTTAAATTCCACAACATTCCCACCTATTTTTATTCAACAATTTGTTCATTTATCTGGTGGAATGTTTGTTAAATATGAGCCAGAACAATCTGCTTTTATGTGGGCCTGGAATCAAATGTTAACACAAAAATATAGAACTTCGTAAGAAAGAAAAAATTTTAAATAAAAAAAATATTTGGGGTATTTTTATACTGATATTTTTGAGAATTTCCCCAAAAGTTGTCAGTTCAGAGTCAATGAATTGAGAATTTTCCAGGTCGATTCTTGGTAAATTTTGGATAGTCGAAATTTTTTTAAAACTGACACCCACTATACCTAATACTTGGTCTGTGCACACAAATATGAAAGTCGCCCCTGACGGTACGGGAATTTCTGAATAATTTTTCTTCACGGACATTTCTTCCCTACATATTTATTTGAGATTTTCTCATTCATTTTTTTGTGTGAATGTTTTTGACCTCTCAGAAAATTAAAAAATAAAATTAGTATTTAAATAATATTTTTTTTAATTTTTAGTTGTTTTTCCGAAGAATTTCTGGATTTTACACTCGAAGATTTTCGTAATTTTTGTGCAGATAAAAGCAATAGATTAAAAAATTTTATTAGTAATTTTATTAAAAATCATCCTTTAGATTAATATTTTGTTATTTTTTTTTTAATTATTTAACCCCCAAATAATTAACAAAATTAGTTTGGGTTTAATAATTTTGTTAATTTTTTGGGGGGTTTTTTGTATATTAAAGTATTTATTTATTTCTAATATATTTTTTATTTTGTCAATTTTTGTTTAATATTTCTTCTATTAAATATCTATTATATTTTGCTTAATATATTTAACAAAATATTTAGGATTTTTTTATCACTTCTTTTAAAAATAAAAATGAAATATGCCCAATTAGTTATTGGCCCAGCAGGAAGTGGAAAAGTATTTACAAAAATTTGAATATTTTTATATATTTTTTTGAAATTTAGTCAACTTATTGTGCAACAATTCAAGACCATTGCAAAACTATTGGAAGAAATATTTTTGTTTTTAATTTAGACCCTGCTGCAGAGAATTTTGCCTATAATTGTGACATTGGTGAGTTTTGTTTTTAAATTAAATAGGTTGTTAATAGAGTTTGTTTGTATGTGTGTGTGGTGTAGTTGGATAGTTGTGTGTTTATAGGGCAAGAGATGTGGGTTCGACACCGCTTTCTGTAATTCATTTTTTAAAAGAAAGTTGTCTATAAATTATATCAATTTTGCCTTTAAAGATTCTCGAAAAAATTTAAAATTTTATAAAAAAATTTTTTTTCACTAGATATAAGAGAATTAATAAGTGTTGAGGATGTATTGGACGATAAAGAAATTAAAATGGGTCCAAACGGAGCTTTAATATTTTGTATGGAATATTTTGTTAAAAATTTGGAGTGGTTAAAAGAACAATTACAAGAAGGGGAAGATGATTATTTTCTTTTTGACTGTCCAGGCCAAATAGAATTATATAGCCATTTAGATTTAATTCAACAAATTATAATTAAATTACAAGAATGGGAATTTAGTATTTGTAATGTTTTCATTTTGGATTCTAATTTTTGTTTGGATTCAAATAAATTTATTTCTGCAAGTTTTACAGGTAATTAAGAAGGGGAGAGAGTTTATATATTTTGATAATTTTATGTCTAGTGTCACGTCTTTGGGATAAACAAAAATAAATCTTTAATAATAGTGACGTCCAAAGAGGATTCGAGGCTTTCTTGGGGTTCTTTCGGGTTGAGACTGTTTTTAGTTTATTTCTTAAAAAATGGCTGTTATTTCTTGTCTTTTACCACGAATAAAAGGTCCCCATTAGTTTATCTGTGAAAAGTACCAGACGGTGAATTTTCTAAAAAAATAATTTTTTAGCCTTATCTACAATTGTATCATTTACAACTCCATCAATTAATGTTTTGAGTAAATTGGATTTATTAAATAAAGAAGAAAAAAGTTTTGTTAAAAATTTTTTGGAGGATGAGGAATTACAAAACAATTTAATTAATATTGATGATGGACAAGTAAAGAAATTATTTTTTTTTTGAATTTTTAAAAAAATCTCAAATAAACTCGTTGTGACCTGAGTCAGGGGAAACTCTCGGAAATTGATCTAAACCGTGAAATGCCTTAATATTTTATATGTTTCTCCATTAGGTAGGGGCTGATTCAATTATTTTTTATTATGAGGACGAGGGGGGGTTCAAATAATAGGTAATATAAAACGAATCGTTTTCAAAAACTACCTAGGTTTTTATCATACCCAGAAGCAAAAAAATAATTTAGTAAATATAATTAAAAAACTGCATTTTCAATTAATATTTTACAGAAAATGTTTTTTATAATAAAATTTATTTTTTTTAATTTTTAAAGGAACAAAAAGATAAATGGACAGAAAAATATTCAAAATTAACCCAATCATTATTAATTGTTTTGAATGATTATAGTTTAGTTAAATTTTTACCTTTGGATATTTCTGATGAAGATTCTATTCAAGGTGTTTTTAATTAATTTTTAAAAGAAAATAAAATAATTATTTTTTTAGAACTTTTATCAGTTATTGATGTAACAATTCAATATGGAGAAGATGCTGATGTTAAAGATAGATTTCCACAATTTGCTGATAATTTGGATGATTATTCTTAAATATATTTTTTTGTTTTGATAAAAATATTTTTATTTAAAGTTTATCTATTTTTTAAAAACTTTTATCATTTCTAAATATCAGCTGTTAAACCACAACTTTTCGAGTTATAATTAAGTTTAGTTATTATTGGAGTTGGTGAACAAGTTTTAGTAATGTAGGGGGAAAAGGAATTTTTTTTAAAAAGAAAAGTTAATAAATTACAATAAATTATTTTATAGAAATTCTAAAAAAACAATTGTTGAGCATGTGTTATTATGTATCGGGGTTATTATCTCGAATTTCTAAAAACTAAAATGCGTAGAGATAATTTTCGCACATAAAAAATTTCGATTCGCCTCACTGAACAAAAGCATTAATATAAACGAAAATCTTAGCGGGCGTTGTAGCTCAATGGTAGTCTGTTTGACTACGACAAAACCACTAGGTGTTAGATGTGAAAGTTCGAACCCGCTAATCTTTTTTATTTTTTTTTAATTTAATATGTATATGTGTAAAACAATATTTAATTTTTTAAAATATAAAAATTAAAAAAATTAATGAGATATCTATATTAAATTTATTAATATTCTCCTCCAATTTGTTGTGTATGGGCGTCAGCCCTTAAAGTGTTTAGTATAAAAGCCCAGCCAATAGTTAGTTCTCGGTCTCAGTTTTAGTTCTTCTTCCTACAACCTTCGCCTGCTTTGTATTTCTTTGTGCAATAAACGTTTCTGTTAGCTTCTCTACGTAAGCGGGGTCGTAACAGATTTGGTGCGGTTGTGTTCAAAAGAACCTGGTCTCGACAACAGTTTCGTCAACTTCAGTGAGTGTTCGTCAACGTAAGCTGTGTGCAGTTCAAGGAAAGTAAAAAGTGTGGACAAGTGCAGTGTTGTAAAACCGAAAAGGTTAGTGAAATTGTAGTGTTTAGTGAAAAGTGTAGTGATAAAGTTTATTTTAGTGAGTGCACAATGGATGCAAAGACAGTGGAAAAATTGTTGAAGGCTCAGCAAGAGCATTTTGAGAAAATGTTAGTGAGGCTTTTGAAGCCGAGTGAGTGGAACGACACAGAATTGTACAGCAAATTAGTTGGAATGATTAGTGAGTTCGTTTTTGATTTGTCGAGTGGTATGACCTTTCAGTCATGGTTGGGCAGGCATCGGTCCTATTTTGAGGTGGAGGGTAAAACCCTGCCAGAATCCTCTAAAGTGAGATTGTTGTTGAGTAAATTGGGGCCAGAAGAGTATGCCCAAATTGAAAGGAAGATGCTGCCAACCAAGTTGAGTGAAATGAAGTTTGACGAACTGTGTAGTGAATTAGTGAAAGAGTTTAGTGACCATCGGTCTAAATTGTTGAAAAAGTTCGAGGCCTTAAATGTTAAGTGTAGTGCCCTTCAAGATATTGTCGAGTTTGGGAATGTAGTGAATGCTCAATGTGAGAGAGCAGAAATGGCCTTGTCGATTGAGGAATTGAAAATCCTGATTTTTATTTCAGGTATGCCAAGTGATGCAACGGCAGTGCGACAAGTGGCAATGAAAAGTGTTGAAAGTAAAAGTGAAAAAGGGCAAGCAGTGACATTGAAGGAAATTATTGAAGTGTCGGGCATATATGGCCAATAAAAGTGAGGCACTGTACCTGGTCAAAGAGAAAATTAGTGAAGTGAAGAAAGAAGTGCCCGAAGTCAACACAGTGGAAAAAGTAAAGTGTTGGGAAAATAGTGAAAATGAAAGTGAATGCAAAAAAGTGTGGACCAAACCAAACGTCAAGTATCAGCAAAATGTCATTCAGAAAAAGTGTAGTGATTGCGGACGTTTTGGTCACTGGCGTATGCATTGTAAGTTCTTGAATGATAAACAGTATCAGCCCAAAAGGCAGTGGAGTAATGATAATAATCATTCAGGTTCTCCATATTGTGCAATTTTGGATATCTTCGATCCAATGCAAAGTGTAGAAAAAGAAGAGTGGATAAAGCAAAAAGTGAAGTTTGGATAACAGTGTGGAAATGATTGTAGATACTGCGTCGCAGATCAATGTTGTCACCAGTGAAGTGTGGTGAAGAAAAAGTGTCTAGTGAAAGTAGTGTAACTTCATCGAGTGATAGCAGTGTGGACAACGCAAAAAGGATCAATTCAAAAATGAAGGACAAAAGTGGGAACAAGCCAAAGATGAAAGATGTTTAGGACGAGAATAATATGGGGACGTAGATGTGTAAAATAAAAAATTTTTTTTGTGATAATATTGTTGTATTTTTTTGTTTTGTTGTAATGTTGTATGTATTTTTTGTTCCCATTGTCCTTATTCCCCCAAAATTGTGTATGTATTTTTTGTTTTGTTTGGCTGGAAAGTGTAAGTATATTGTAAAGCTTTGGCTTTAAGTGAAGCCGAACCTTTTTTTTAAAGGGGGGAGGTGTTGTGTATGGGCGTCAGCCCTTAAAGTGTTAGTATAAAAGCCCAGCCAATAGTTAGTTCTCGGTCTCAGTTTTAGTTCTTCTTCCTACAACCTTCGCCTGCTTTGTATTTCTTTGTGCAATAAACGTTTCTGTTAGCTTCTCTACGTAAGCGGGGTCGTAACACAATTAATTCCTTATTCAACTATATAATAGGGTTATCAGTTCGGAATCGGACTGATTTTTTCGACTCTTCAGTTTTACTACTTATACATTAGTGATGTTCGGGTATCCCGACTCCCGACACCCGACTCGGGAAATTTCCCGAGTTTTTGGCCTCCCGATCCCGACCCCGACTCCCGATGCCAATTCCCGACTAAGTCGGGAAATTTTTACACCCCTAAGAATGGCTTTTTCTCATAAAATTTTATTTTTGAAAGGAAAAAATAAAGAAAAAAAATAAAAAAAGAGAAAAGAAAAATAAATTATTTAAATTTTTTCCAACTTAACTATTGTTGAGACGTGGTTGAGTGGTTAAGTTGAGTGACTTCAGTTGCTTTGTTGGGGCTGGGTTCGAATCCAGGGCTGGTAAATGTTTTTAAATAATTTTTCCACCCAAAAATAAATGGTTTTAACATTGATTTTGATTTTAAAATTTTAAAGTTATTTTTTTCAATACTATAAACGTCAAAAAATTCCAGAAATATTGAGTTAGTCATGGATTTTCAAAAATTTTCGGCTGCGGCGCAGAAAATGAAAAATATCTGACTTCTTAGCAGTGATGGGCAAAGTTTCAGTTCCAGTTTCGGAACTAATTAGTTTTAGTTCCAGAACTGGAACTACGGAACTAACGATTATCTGGAACTAGTTTGGAACTAGAACGACGGAACTAGTAAATGTCTGGAACTAGCTTTGGAACTAGTTCTGGAACTAGTTCTTGGGGGTTATTTTTGACAAGATTCCCTCGATGAAGTTTCTTAAATTCTCAGAATGTTCGCTTGCGGCGCAGAAAAAGTGGATTTTTTGGCCTACGACCTTAGAAATTCTCAAAAATAAAGGACGAAGTCTGGTTCTTAGCCTTCGACTTAAAAAAATTTTCGCCTGCGGCGCGGACAAAGGATTTTAGATTGTCGAGAGTGATCATAACATCAATGGCGTATCCAGGAGGTTAGATGTCTGGCTTCTTGACCTTCCAAAATTCTCAAAATTTTCGCCTGCATAGCAAAAAATTGGTATTTTTGGCGCCGAAGGCGCCAAAAAATTTTTTGTTGTAAATTCCCGACTCCCGATCCCGACTCCCGAGGTCATTTCCCGACCCGACTCCCGTTTCCCGATTCCCGAGTTTTTTCTTCTCCCGAACATCACTATTATACATCTCTCATATTAATTTTTTAATAAATATTTTTAAATTTTTATATTTAAAAAATTAAATATTGCTTTACAAATATAAATAGTATAAATTAAAGCTTTTAAAATTAATTAAAATTTAAACAAAAAAATTAAAAAAATTTGCGGGATCGAACTTTCATGCCTAAGCTACTGCAGTTTCTGCTAGCTCAAAAGCCTACCGCTGAGCTATAGGCCCTCAAAACTGTTTCAAAATAAATTGATATATACCGTATTTCCTAAAATAAAGCCCCATGGGGCTCTATTTTTCAACTATCCTCCAAAGTGGGGCTCTATTTTAGGGTGGGGCTCTAATTTAGAATGGGGCTGTATATTTCAACCTATTTCTCAAATTAAAAAATGAAGAATAGATTCTTTTTATTTACGAAATTTAGGAAAAATTTCCGATTTTTAATAATTTTTGCATACTTAAGTTTTGTCTATTTTTCCAAAAGTATTTTTCCAAAGTATTTTTCCAAAATCTGACTCCTTGGCCTTCTAAGGTTCTCAAAAATTTCGCCCTAAAATACCCTAATTTCCAATAATACTTTATTCCCTCAAATCCCTTTATCTCCCCTAACCCAATGCGTATAGGACAGAGGCAAGCACTGGATATAAGGGAGTTTCGGATCGGGAGACGTCTTCCCTCCAAATCAGACATTACTAGGACTGACTGACATCCTTTTTCGGATGACATCCCTTTTACTCACCCAAATATTACAATATCACTTTTAATCCCTTTCTCATTCAATATCCTCCGAATGGACTCTTAAATTCCTTCACCGGCTTTTCTCAGAATGGCAGTCGTGATAAACTTCGGATTGCTCTGGGAACTTCCTTATTTAGCGCAAAGTTTAGAGCGCAATCATTCTTCAATTGATTTCAGATGATCTCAGCCTTACAATATTAAGGAAGGTTCAGCTCCCCCAACCCTCTTAATTTTAATCCCGATATCCCGTTTAATCCCCAAATTCACTAACATCCATTTACACATCCAACCCCTCTCCCCTTTTACTCACTTCTTAACAATTTTGTTTACCAATTTGATATAAAAGTAAATTTAAAAAAGTGGGGTGGGGCTCTATTTTAGAGTGGGGCTCTAATTTAGCATGGGGCTCTAAATTTCAACTATCCTCCAAAGTGGGGCTCTATTTTAGGGTGGGGCACTAATTTAGCATGGGGCTTTATTTTAGGAAATACGGTAAATTCATTTCTTTGGTTGTAAAAAATGTTTTTTTAAAGAATAGAGGTTAATCAAGATAATTGATGTTTTAATAGTCTTAAGAATGATTTACATATAGTATGTATTTTTGACAATATTTTAATTAAAAACCTTTTATTTTTCTAAATTGTTCTCTTTAAACCTAATTTTTATTAAACACTAATTTAAATTTTTTTAAATATGTCACGTCCCGAACTTTTACCACCGTTACACACTACACTACTGCCTAATTTATCTCAAATTTGTTACTGTAGTTTTAGCTAAAAAATTCTTCAATAATTTATATTAAATTTCATTTTTATTTACATTTATTTACATCAATTTTTATAAAGAAAAAACTCCTTTAATAGTTATATTTATAAATACATTTATAAACAACATTCTCGGTGGGCCTTGTAGTTCAATGGTAGTCTCTTTGACTACAAAAAACTGGCTATTAGATGGAAAAGTTTGAACCCGCTAAATTTTTTATATTTTTTTGAAATTTTAATTGATTAATTTTTAAATTAAAATTTCACTTCTAAATGTACCTAAAATAGGGGTTAAAAGTTTAAGTTTTAAAAGTTTTTGACTTAACTTTAATATTAAAAAGAGGGTACATATTGAAATAATTATTTTCATAATAAATAACGAAAATATGTATTTGTTTATATTTTAATTTAATTTTTTTATTTTACTTTTAAAAAAATTAATTTAATAATTTTTAAATTAAAAAAAAGTAGCAAATAATTGTTTTTTTTTATTAAATAAGGGAAAATTGGAAAAAGACTAAAAACTTGGGCATTTTTATTTAAAAAATATTTTTTTAATTATTGTATTTAATTAATTGATGTCATTTAAATTAAATTAAAATTTAAAAAATTAATTTTCAAAATTTAATTTAATTAATTTATAAATATTTGTTTGGAGTAATCGGAATTTTTAAAATTTCTGATTTCCGTACTAATTCCGATTTTCAACCGACTTTTCGGAAGCATTTCTATTTAATTAATTTATTTTTAAATTAAATTAAATTTTAAATTAGGTAAACTTTCTGAAATGAATAGTGTTTAGTGCCTTAGACATTAGGACCTTAATTTTAAAGTATTTATAGGAGAAAACGTCGGAAATCGGAATCCCGATGACCTCTAGATCCTATCTTCTTTTAAGGAGATCAATTAATATTTTAAATAAATTTTTAGATAATTCCCATAATTATTTAAAAAATTGTTTTTTACAATACAAAATTTTACTGTATTTCTAACAAAAACAACTTTCCCTTTCCAATGCCAATAATTTATAAATGAATTTATAAATTATTATTATGGCGGGCTCTATAGCTCAGTGGTAGTCTCATTGACTAACAAATAAGAAAGATCCTCTTGAGTTAGATGATATAACACAAAACCACCTAACAATAATTTTAACCCGCGATAATTTTTTATTTTTTTTTCAAATTATTTATTAAAAAATTTTTTAAATTTACATATTTCTATTTGTAAAACAATATTAAATTTTTTAAAATATAAAAATAGAAATTAAAAAATTAATAAATTCTCTCTATTTATACATATACCCCTGAAGGGGTTGAAATTTTTTAGTTACAAATGTACCTAGAATTTAAATTTTACTTTAACAAAATTTATTTGTTAAAAAAAGAGGGAGTATTCAAATAATTGTTTTGCATAATATTAATTATTTTATTTAATTTAAATAACGGAAATGTTGTTTACTTTTAAAAATTTAATTTAATAATTTTTAAATTAAATAAAAGTAAACAAATAATTGTTGTTTGTGGAGCAGTGAAAAAGACTGAAAAACGTGGGCATTTAACAAAAATATTTTTCAGAATTTTAATTAATTGATGTCATTTTATTTAAATTAAATTTTAAATTAAAAATAGTTATTTTACTTTCAAAAAATAATTTAATTAATTTATAACTGTTTGTTTGGAGTATTTAATGGAACTGAAAAAGCTTCTAGAGATTATTTACATATTCATAAATTTTTTAAAAGAAAAAATTAAGAAATTTTGAAAGAATTCTACTAAAAAATATTTTAAAATTTAATTTTTTTTCGAAAATTAAAAAGAATTTATTTCTAAATATTAATTTTAGTTTTAAATAATGAACAGAACTGAGGTAACTTTTAAAACCCCTTTATTTTTAATTTTATTATTTTTATACGTTTAAATCAGAATTATTATTTATTTTCTTTTATTTCTCAAAAAGTTCTCAAATTTAAGACTAACAAAAAAATTTTTACTTTTTCGATTTCGGCTAAGACTAATTCCAATTTCCGTCCGACTTTCGGAAGCATTTTTCTGTTTTAATTAACTTACTTTTTTAAATAAAATTAAAAAAAATTCAATTAAAGATATACAAAAACGGCTTCAGTTGGCCTCTTTTATTTAGTACAATTCCAATTATTATTATTTCAATTCCTGGTATTTTAACTAATATTGTTCTTATTTGTGTTACTATTAAAAATAAGTAAATAAATAAATATTTTTTAAATAAATTTTTTTTTCAAATTTAAAAATGAATCTAATTAAAATTTTGATTTTTGATGCTTGAGACTATTTAATAATAATATTTCTGATTACGGTTGTTGGTTCTGGAAAATCTTTGGATATCTTAACCAAAATTTTTGAATATCCAAGACATTTATCGGATCAGGATATCCGAATCCCTCACCTATTCCTAAATTTGTTACCAAAATTTGTAAGTAACAAAAGACGAAATAAATTTAAATAGAAAGAAAATAAAATTAACAAAATTATTTTATCAATTAAAAAAATTATAATTTAAATTAAATCTGTGCAGATTATCACAAATAAAGAATAAATAGATAGATAAATAAATAGGTAGTTTTTAATTTTTTAGAGCTTTACACGGAACAACAAATTTCCTTCTAGCCCAATTAGCATTTTATGAAATAATCCACGAGACTGGTTATTTTGTTGTTCTTTATTGTAATTTAATTGGACTAAATTCTTTAACTTATTCAAAAGCTTCCCATTTATTTTCTGTTCCTTTATTTACTGTTTTTGGAATTTCTCCTTTAATGGCATTTACAGGGATTGACAGATTACTTTATGTTGTATTCCCTATATCTTTGTAAGTTTATTGAAATATATTTTTATGGAAATAAAAAACATAATAATTAAATTAACCTCCCTAATTTTCAAAAAATATCCAAAGAAATGTCAATTTTCCCAATTACCTCCTTAATAATTTTTATAATTTCAATTCCCATATTATTTTTAAATTTAACAGTCCAAAGAAAATTAATCCAACGATTTATTTGGGTGTTTATACTTTTATTTGTGTTATTTATTGTGGATTGATGACTGCCGGATTGATTTGGTTTAATGATGTAAATCCTGATTTGGTGGTATCTGCTTTACTTAGTGACGTTTTAACAGTTGAGAGTTTTTATTTTAAAAATTAATATAATTGAACCTCAATATAGGACCGAGAAATCCTAATTTATAGTGAGAGGTACCGCCCTAATTTCATTTAAGAAAGATTCTCTTAAAAACTTTCTCCACTAAGGTTTACTGTTCCTGAGAAATCTTCAAATATCCAAAACTGATAACTGAACCAAAAAAGTTCACTTAAAAAAGATTCACTTAGAAACTCTCTCTACTAAGTTTACGGTTTCTGGTATATCTCTGGATATCCAAAACTGATGATTGAACCGAAAAGTCCAGATACTCTGACTTTTTTCGATTCCGGAACTGCCAACCCTACCCCCACCCAATGGTCAACCAACATCTAGTATTGGGTGTACCTTAAGGCCTTTTCCCTTCAATATATTCTTCATTTAATAGGGATATGTTGGCACAACTTTATATTACAATATAAGCTTTATTTTAAACAATACTACAATAGCTTTGTATATTGCTGTTGGTATTATTGTTAAAATGAGAAAAAGTAATTTTTTTAAATTTATTTTATAAAAATTTATCCCCTCATTTATTAGCTTCAATTCAACAAAAAAATCGTCGATTAATTCGAGCATTAATTATTATTGTTATATTTAATGTTGGAGGGTTTTATATTGTTAGAATATTTAAATATTTTATATTGTCTTATAAACTTTCTGAAATGAATAGTTTATTTATTCGAAAGGCTGTCTGCACTTTATTGTATGTAAGCATTACAGCAAATGCTCCTGTTCTTTATTTTATAAGGTAAAGGAAAAAGAAGATTCAAACATCCAGAATGTTTGGAGTCAAAAAAAGGAAAATACAAAAATCAAGATACAAACGACGATCCTAAAAAAGCTTAATTGGGGAGTTAATATCTATAAAGGCTTAGTTCGATTTTCCTTTTTATGTTAGCTCAATTTCTGGATATCTAAAATGATGAGCGATGCATCTAGCATTAGCTGTCCGGAGGCAATAACTGTCCCGGCTTCCAAACCTTTTTAATTACTAGTATTACATATCTATTAATTGCATAATCTCCCTCATAAAAGCAAAATTATACTTAATTAAAATTCTTGGAAACAATCCAAAATATATTATTTAATTTCAGCAAAGAATACAAAGCATCGTTTCGACGCTTTTTTGGACTTTCAACAAATCAGACCTCACCAATTATAATTATCAATAAACCTCCACTAAAGAACAATTTTGTATTAAATAACCCCCATTAGAAGGAGCTAACATTAAAATATAAATTGAAAATTAAATGAGAAAGTTAATTAAAAACACCTTTCCACTAATCACTGTTTCAAATAATTTTAACAAAAAAAAATTATTAAAATGAAAATTTTTAAAAAATATCAAAGTGATTTAATTTTAAATTATTCCCTCATCCTCCCCTCTCCCTTCAATTATTTAAAAATCCATTTCCGATGTCGTCTTTTTATTTTGTGCCTCATACCAACTTTTACGAATTGTACGCTTCATTTCATCATCCCCTTCATCATACATTTGTTTCATCATATTCATTAAACTTGCTTGAGGGTCCTCATCTTTGTCGAATTTTGGAGTTCTTTTTAAAAGAAAAAATTTAAAGAAATTTTTTAAATTTAATTTTGGGGAGTTTTTTCAAGTTTATTTCCTTCTTTACCCCCACTCCCTCCCCCCTTTTAATTTTTAAAAATTTTTACTTTTGTTCCTTCTTGTCAATTTTAAGCAAAGATCCCCAATTTTCATTCTCTCTAACTTTCTTTAACATAACAAGCAATTGATCCCCACTTTTTTGTTTAAAATAACACTTTTCTGGATCAACAACTAAAATAAAATTAAAAAATCATTTTTTGTAAAATATTTAAACAAAACCTTTAGACAATCCACGCACATTTATTTCATAATCCGTCCCTTTAACATCAGTAATAAAAATGTCAAAAGAACTGAAAATAAATTAATTTAAATATAAAAACACTTCTTAGGGTTGTTGGCTGATCAGGATTAGAAAAAGGTTCGGATATCGGTTCCCGAATATCCGAAAATTTCCCGGGGTCCGCCAACTGTATATGAATTTTTTAAAAAAATATTCTATTTTAAATGGGTCCTATTCGGAAATCTCATCAAAAGTATTAAATTTTACAAAAATCTATAAAACTCTTATTTCAAAAACGAATAGTTAAAAAATAAACTTAATTGTCTCTTAGCTACAATTAAATCTCACAAGGGAATGACAGTTCGTGAGATTCCCTTGTCAAATAAATTAATATTTAAAAAACAAACTTTTCATTAAACTTTTCTTTAATTGCTGTAACTGGTGTAGAGGAAATACCAGGGATTGAATAATAAATTTTAACAAATTTGTCACTTTCATCAAATCCTTAAAAATAAATAAAAATAAAAAAATATAAAAACAAATAACCATAAGTTGTCAATTTTTTGTAAGGACGAGCAGCAACTCCAATTGTTTTAGGCGCATCAGAGGTTATTAGATCACGACGATTTAACTAAAAAAATATTATATTTTTATTATAAAACATCTTTCATTATTACTACACGGATGGTAAAATTTTAAAAAAATTCTGGTGCGGAAGGGTTACTTGTCAGGTACGTAATCAGGAGGAGGTTAGTGGGGTTAAAAAATGATTACACTCCACGAGAATTTTCCCTGGCTACGTGCCTAATAAAATTATCTACGTCAATCCAAAATAATTTGAATTGTTTCAGTTTTTTTAAAATTTACAATAATAAAAACCTCATCCAAATTAGCCAACCATTTCTTCAATTGCTCATCCAAAAACAACTGGACATTGCTTCGTTTCGCCTGCTTTCGCAAAGCCTGTAACTCATCAATATCGCTTTTTAAATCTGAGGCAGAAATTGGCATTTTAACTAAAAAAATTTCCAAAAAAATGAAAAAAAATAAAAATATATTTAATTTATAATTTAAAAATAAAATAGTTAAAATTCTTTTAATATTAATCATATTTATCTGAAGCAAATAAAACTTGTAAATGTCAAATAAAAATGTAAAATACACAAGGAAAGACACTCAACATGGCTACTTAAAAAATAAAACAAAAAATTAAAAGTAATTTTGTCCTTTCCCGGCACTTTAAAATAAAATCGTTGAGGTAATAAATCTATAAAAGATAAATTTAAAGGCAAGATTTAGTTGTAAAAATGATTGAAATGTACTTGTAATTATAATATTTTTTAGTTACAGGAACATAGAAGCTAAAATGAACCTCTCTAATAGAAAATATTTCTCAGAAAAATTACAAAACCTTTTTTAGAAATATTTTGCCATTTAAAAAGATTAATGAAAGAATACAATGTCAAATAGAAAAAATAGAGGGACTAAGGGAAAGTGAATTAAAAAATATAGAATTCTAGCGTATCCTTTAATTTTAATAAAAATTTCTTAAATTTAACATATCTTTTTTAGCAATCCATTAATTCCCCATTTTCCCGTCAAACAAGAAAATCATTTTGTACCCACTCAATAACTGTATCATCTGGCTGAGATATTGAACTTCGCTTAATTTGAGGAAATTTCATTTCTGAAGCTACCAATCTTAAATGCATTTTTCCAACATGGACAACCCAACGATCTTCTTTAGTAGAACTTTCAGTATTCATTGAATCTGGTTGTAAATAGCGATGAATTTCTATATCAGCTCTAAAATTATAAAAAAAAATTAAAAAATAATCAAAATATCAACTAAACCCGCCATCATTCACAAATAGTTAAATAACCTGTTCCCAATCAAAACTTCATCACTCGAAAATTTAATTCCAGTCGTGTCAATCTCAATTTTTGGAGTACTCTTTTGAACAATTCCTTCCTCGTGTACAAGTTTTATGATAACATCTTTTATATAAAATTTATCACCAGTTTCATCATCCACAACTGTTATTTGTACTTTCTTGTCTGTTGAATTCTCCACATCTAATTGTAAATAAGGTTTTAAAAAAATTAAAGAAGGAACCTGATGCAGGTGTTCCACAAATTGCAAACGTAGAACCGCTGTCATTTGTTAATAGTCCCTAGAAATTAAAATGTTAAACTGAAATACAAAATACGGGAATAGGTCGAGAAAATTTTGAACAAAAAAAAACTAAAATTGGAACACAAAACCAACAAAATGCTTAGAAAATTAAACCTTTAACCTATAAGCCTCATAAAATTTAAATTAGAACATTCAATAGAGAACAAGATAAATAAAATTTCCCAGACAAAAACATGAAGGATTACCCAATATCCTACACAAACCCAAAATATGTTTAAAAAATCAATCAAACCTTTAAACTATACGAAGCTTCATGAAAAGCAAGTCTAGCAATTCCATGCTCAACAATAGAAGTATTAATACTGTCCATATTTCTATTAAAAAATTAATTAAAAAAAAGAACGAATAAAAATTAATGAATATTATTATTGAAAAAATTAACAAATTTTAGAACTTATAATAGAAAATTTTAATAAAAAAATAATTTATATCCAAATTTATAAAAAAAAACTTTTAATTTATTTTTGTCTCAAATTCTTCCTTTAATTGTCTCTGCATTCTTTCATCAATTCTCGATTTATCCAAATATTCAAACTTTTTATCCTTCTTCAAATATTTAGTCTCTACAAAATAACCACAAGTACCAACAACACAGGCAATTGGAAAAACAATCCATCGAACGACTGTAGCACCTAAAAATAATTTTAATAATTGAAAATATTTTTAGAGTTAACCTGGACCAAAATAACGAGAAGTTAATTGTAATAATTGTCCTAACATTTAAGTAATAATTTGGTAAATCTAAAAAAAAGAATAGGGGACATTATGGCGCGACTGGTCTGGCGCCATCAAACAAAAAATAAATTAAAAAAATTTTTTGAAAGATAAATCCACAAAATTTAAACCATGCTAGAACAAAAATATGTAGAAAATATTTTAAAATTTAATTTTAAATATAATTTAATAAAAAAATAACAAAAAATACAAATGTAGAAGACCAACCCGATTTAAAAGAAATGATGAAAAATAAATTCTGTAAAATGCTCTAAAAATTTGAGAGATTTTCTACCCTCAACAAAGCCCCAAAAAATTATTTTTTTAAAAGAAAAACCTGTCAAGTCTTCTTATTTCAAAAAAAAACAAACAAAAAAATCAATTAGAATTAGGGTTGCCGTTTTCGAGTCGGGCCGACGGTCGAGGCATTTTTTTTCGGGCTTGTTTTTATCGAGTCGGGCCGGTACGAGTCTTTTTCGGGCCTTACTTTATCGAGTCGGGCCGATACGAGTCTTTTTCGGGCCTAACTTTATCGAGTCGGGCCGGAACGAGTCACTTTCGGGCCTGACTTTATCGAGTCGGGCATCGAGACATTTTCGAGTCTTTTTTTAAAAGATTTATTTAAAAATAATTAGTGGATTTGGAGGGATATCTGTGAATTATAAGGTATATCGATGGATCTGGAGGGTAAAGGAAGGGTTGAAGAGAATTGAAATGGATATCAGTGGATTTGAGGGATTAAGGTGATTTAAATTATCGGAGGATTGGTGTGAGATATTGCTAGATTTGGTTTTATTAAAGGAGATCAGATGATTAAGGGGATCAGGATCGCATATCAGATAATTAAGGTGCTATATTGTAATGGGATTTAAAAGGATTGAAGAGATTTGAATGGATATCGGAGATTTGAAGGATAACGCAAGATTTAAGTGATATTGTGCGTTAATCACCAAATCCCTTAATAAAATCCCAGTGTACCATGATTGAACTATTCGTATTTAAATAAGGGCTTACTGGAAAGTCAGGAAACCAGATTTCTTCTATTTTTAGCGCCGCAGGCGAAAATTTTGAGAATTTTGACCCCCTGGAAAATTGTGGACTCTCAAAACTGATTGAGTTTAAAAAGTTCAAATGATGATGGGATCCCGCGGAATATATCCTATAAATCCCAGTAATCCAGCTTATCGATTAAAGCCAGTAAGTTCGAGATGTGAAGCAAAGTATGGAGCTAAAAATTCTTCATTTCAGCGCCGCAGGCAAAAATTTTGAGATATTCGGAAGGCTAAGGACCAAATTTCTGTCTTTTTCTGCGCCGCAGGCGAAAATTTTTCGAATTTTGGAAGGCCAAGGAGCCAGATTTCTCCCATTTTTGTCCACAAATCTGGTAAAAATATTATCGAGTCTTGTTCGAGTCGGGCCGACTTTTTCCGAGACAATTTTTTTCGGGCCTCTTTTTATCAAGTCGGGCCGGTACGAGTCACTTTCGGGCCTAACTTTATCGAGTCGGGCCGTTACGAGTCTTTTTCGGGCCCAACTTTATCGAGTCGGGCAGGTACGAGACTTTTTCGGGCCAAACATCGAGGCATGACTCGATCTTTCGGTCCGAGTCGGTCCATTTTGGCAACCCTAATTAGAATTCAAATAAACAAACAAAATAGCCGCAGATATTCTCGAACAGACTTCCAATCGTTCAACTTCATGATGCCATTCAAAACTTCCCCAAACTTTGCTTTGAAATATTTTTTCCAAATTAGAAGCATTTACAGCTTCTTCAATACTCAAATAATTTTCAATTGCCGAAATTGTTAAAATTAAACTTTTTAGAGATTCACATCCATAATTAATTGCACAAAGTGAAGGAAATTTATAAAAAGACAAAAATTGTTTTAAATTTTGTTTGCAATTTTTTGAAATTTTTGGAGGCTCAAAAAATTCTGTTGTTTGTTGTAAATTTAATTTTAATTTAAAATTTATCCAATTAATTATTGGCAACCATTGTTTTTGTTGTTGATCAAATAATGATGTTTGGGAATTGGAAAAATAAAGTAAAGTGTCCGTGTCTAAATAACCAATCAATTTTTCTATCAGAGAATCACTAGTTTCTCCATGAGGATTGTCTAGAGCTTTAAATTTAAAAAGAAATATTTTTAACTTTAAAACAAAAAATTTTTTGAAAATTAAAAAAATTTTAAAAATTCTGTTGGAATATAACGTATATTAATTATAGTAAAAAAATTAATTGAGGAAATCAAAATAAAAAAAAGACATATTAAGTGATATTTGTTCTAAATTAACCAAAAATATTTTCTGAATATAATTTTAAATCTTCACCAAAATTTATTGTTGGAAGCTTTTATTTAACTTTCGAAAGTTTTATAGTCTTTTATTAAAGACGAAAGCTAAAACCCCCACAAAAAAGGAAAAAAAGAGTTCTGAAAACCCACCAAAAGCAGAACATTTTCAAGTTTTTCTACAAAAATATACCAAAAATAACCCAATACTTCCTTTTTATTAAATCAAAAAACTCCTTACCAGTAAAAGCCAATCCTAGAAATTTTAAAATTAAACAAAAATTTAATCAAAAATTAAACCTGTAAAATGCATACTTCCAAAACCTTCTTTATTTTTTAAATTCCATTCATTTGAAATTAATAAAGCCAAAAGTTCAGATTTAATTAAAAGAATATTCCCAGCAGGACTTTTTAAATAATTATTGTCTAATTTTATTACAAAATTGTTGTCATCATTTTTATCAACAAAAGCTTCTTTAAATTTTGGATTTAAATTTGTTGAAGAAAAAGGCAAAGAAGTGGATAAACACCTTGAAATTGACTGAAAATTTATAAAATTAGAATTTAATTTTAAATTAACCTGAATAACTCGAAATGAAAGCATTCAGTAAATATTTAAAAAAATTCGTTAACTTTCTAAAAATTTTTTAAAAATTATTAAAATGTACATTTTATCGAAATGTACATTTAAATCCTCTAAAATATCAGAAATCAGAAAGAATGAGGAAATCGTAAACCGAAAATCAGGGACACGTCCATAAAGGCGCAAGGCTAAACGGCGCAAAAATGTCCCAGAATGGCTGTTACGTGATGGACAGGCTAAACTCGGATGGTGATCGTATCTTTTGGATTTGTGAACAGAAAAAATAACAGATGAATTTGGGCATACTATTGTAATAACAAAAACTAAGAGTGATAACAAAACTATTCAGGGATTCAGATAAGCGGGATTTTCAACCCTAGGGGCTTGAGCCCCAAAATTCAAAAAAATCTTCGCCTATAAAAAATCAGTAAAAAATATTTATTTTAACATCAACCTAATCACATAACAATTAAAAAGTCAATAAATAATTTGCGAAATTTTTTTAAATTAAAGCCTGTCAAAATATAAATTATACTTCTCTATTCTTCCAATTCAAATCCCCTCATCATCATCCAAACGCAACTGTGCAGTCTCATAATTAGCCAATAAACGTTCACATTGTTGTAACTTATGCTCCAATTGAGGAACAGACGAAGAACGAGATTTCTCATAATTTATTGCATCCAGAAATTCCCTCTCGCGCAATTCCAAGTTGATAACACGACGTTCCAAACGTTGCTTGTCACGTCTAAAAATATTTTTTAAACTTAAAAGTTAAACAAAAAAACTTACAAAACCATAGAATTCATATGCTCTTGGAAAATGTCAAAGTCAGCAGGATTCTCCTTAGCAAATTTAATCATATTTTTGCGTTCAGCATCTTCCAAAACATGGCATTTCTCAATTAAACGCATTTTCTCGTCCAATCGCATAGAGAGTTCGCTGTTAACCATTTTGAAGACAGCTTAAATGATTTTAAAAATTTATTCAAAAAACAAAAGAAAAACAAACAAAGTGTTGGTCCTTGCAATTTATAACCATCACGAGAAATTGAATTACTCATTGAATTGTTGTAAGCAATCTTTGAAACTCGATTGTATTCCTTTTGAAGTTGGGCATGCTTTTTGTGAAGCAAAGCCAAATCCTTCTCAACACGGTCCTTACCATCAATGACCTTTAAAAATTTTTGTATAAAAATTATTGTGTTCGAAAGGAGTAATTCTGAAAAAGAGAGGAAAACCCATAAGAAAACAATCCACCCCTATTTGACCATTCATTCCCAAAATTGGATATCTTATCAGAGAATGGGCACTGCCGCACGTTAAAAAGCGAAAAAAGAACAAAAGTAGAACATAAAAAAGCAAAAAGATCAAACAGCAGAATTTCTGTGGAAGACAGCCCACCCCACTACTTAAAATCTTTAAAACAATTCAAAACAACCTCAGCAAAAAGCGAATTCCCTTTAGCAGCAACAGGCATATCACCAGCAATTTGAGAATTCAATTGATGAATCTCAACCTCCAAATCCTGAATCTTCTCGCGAGAATTTTCCAGATCAGTTTGTTGACATTTAATCAAAGCACGCATTGATTCTTGATCCGTAGCTGCTTGAGTCAATTCGGCTTCCAATTGCTTTGCACGGTCATCCAATTCAAAATTAAAAGTCAAAAGGCGGTTGACCTCAGTTTTCATACTCGCCTAAAAATTTTCTATTTAAAAAGTTTAAACAACCAAAAACAAACAATTGTTGCCTTAAGTTCGTCCACTTTAGACTCCGCTTCAAACAATGCAGTCTCATTTCCAGCAGGATTTGGAAGAGATTTGTTCCTTTCCTCGAGCAATTGCTTTTGAACAGTACAGAGCTTCTCAGTCAAAGAGCGATTCTGTTGATTCAAAGCAGCCACCTCACTCTTAAAAAATAGGTTTGAACCTGATAGACCCCATTTATTCCTCGCCAAGTTAACTCCTATATATCTACAGAATGGTCAGGCGTTTCTTTCTTCCATCCCAATTTCCCTTCTATGTTTTGCTTCCAAACACCCAAAACAATTCATTTAGATGGAAGTAAAGAAGGAAAACGTCGGAACATTCTGCAAACGCATAGGAAGAAACTTGTAGAGGAAATTAAGGGGTCTGTCAGGTTCAGCAAAAAATTATTCAATTTATTAAACAAAAGAAAACCTTAACATTCTCATTGTTAGTCAAAAGACGCTGACAATGTTCTTCAAGCTCGAAAATTTCTTGCTCCCTCTTTTCCAGCTCCCTGTCACGCTTCTCCATCTCCTGTTCATAGTCGCGAGTGACTTGTTGATATTTGCGGTGTTCACGTTCATAACTAAAAATTTTATTTAAATTTTAACAAAAACTCCAAAAAAAAAAACAAACAGCGCTCGAAATTGCTCCAAGTCTGTTGCAAGTTTGGTATTCTTTGACGCTTCACTTTTGAGAAGGTTTTTAAGTCGCCTAAGCTCCTCTTTAATTTCTTCCGGATTGGACTCGTCAAATTCCGTTGAATCTTTACTAGACATATTTAGAATAATATAAATCTAAAAAATAATTCTTAATAAAATTTTAGAACAAATTCTTAGGGAAGAAAGGGTGAAATGTAAAAAACAACTCTGCACAATCAATAAAAGTTTTTTACTTTTCATAAACTTTTAACCTAAAATTAATCCTATCGATTAATAATTAAAGGGAATTGTAAGAAAATATGTATGTAAAAATGAAAAAATTTGACATAAGAAAAAATTCAATAAAATTAAATGAATAATTCCCGCAATAATTTTAAAGGGAACGGCCACTTTGGTGCGGGCCGTTGGGCGCAACTGGTTTGGCGCGGATCGTGTGGCGCGAAGCCGACAATTTTCCGAAACCAATCAACCTATAACTGATAATTCGGTAATCTTCTACTTCATTGGTCTCTAGAAAAAAAATCAAAAAATTGTGTTGCCATGCTTTATCGCAGCACCGTCTTCGATAGTCTTGTCAGAAGCCTGTCTCTTTAGAGGCCTTCTTTCTCAGTGATCAGTCTCGTTAATAATTTTTTAAAATTTAATTAAAAATCACAATAAAATTTTAATCGAGATTTAAAGATATTTTTGAGGGTTACCTTTTATTGACATCAACAACATATACTGTAGTAATTTAAAAATTATTTTGTCTACTTCGAAAACCCCTTCAAATGACAAATTATTGTGCCCAGAGAGAGATAAATTATTAAAAAAAGAATTATAAAGCCTAGCACCACCTGGGAATTTAAAAAAATATAAAAAAAGAAAAGAAGATATATAAAGAAAAAAAGATTTAGAGAAAGCTATGAGAGGGATATTTGACGTGATCTTTTTTTTTAATCAAATAAAAGGTTAAATAACTAAAGTTTAGTCATCATTATTTTCCTTCTTTTCATTTTAAATTTAAGTTTAAAACCTTTTTTATTTAATATTTTTAAATGTTTTTTATGTTACTCAAATATTTTTTAGACAATTCTTGACTAAAAATTTCTTTAAAAATATTTTTAGATAATATTGTATTTACTTAAATAATTATCCAAGGTAGGGAGGGGATAATTAATTAAAGTTATTTTAGAAACGGTAATTATAACTTTGAGGGGGTTATTATTTATTTTACCCTCTCTTGATGGAAGGGGTAATTACATAATACGTGTCCCCACATTTCGCAACAACCATATTTTGCAACAAAGGCACTAAACCCACGTTTTGCAACAAGGGCAAAAACGCATATACATAATTATCTGAGCGAGGGGAATTTGTTGGTACAATTGAGTAAGTACAATACAGAAGTACAATATCCCTCTCTTCAATATTAGATTTTATTTGAGAGTTTTTGAAATATCCGGTCCCTTCTAATAAGGGATATCCTGATCTGTCATTGGCATTTTCATGTTCCCTATGTGCTAAAATAATCTTCTTATGAATACTTTAAATTAGAGTTGCACGAGATCGAGATTTTAGAAAAAATCCGAGACCGAGATTGACCGAGACTCGCATGACCGAGACCGAGACCGAGATGCAAAATTTGACCCGAGACCGATATCGAGATCCGAGATAAACCGAGATTTTTCAAAACTTTTCTTATCCACCAAAACCCATTTTAAATTAATTAAATATCATCTAAATCATCATCAAAATCATCTGTTTCATCATTATCAATTTCAGTTGGTGGACCAAGCAACAGTTTATCCATATTTGCCTTTACAACTAGATTTTTTTCCACCATTTCTCCAGAAAGTTAAGTATAAAGGGACACTTGTGTACGGGAGACTTGTTTATTAGAAGTGTCTGATAGAGACAGTCGGTTTATTTTTCAACCTTTCTCTACGGGGTCGGTTTATTAGAAGGGGCCGGTCTATTAGAGACAGTCGCACTATTAGAAGAAATACGGTTTATATATGTCACCGTCCAAATTACATTCTTGTACAAATTGAATTTGGCCTTCCAATTGGGGACTGAAGCCCCAAATTTTGGATTTTTCTTCGTGTTCAAGGTTGGGGTTGGGTTCTTTAACATTTATTCATGTTCGGGACCTACGTCCACTTGATCTGGGACAATTCCTTACCCTATTCCTCAAAATTTCTGAAAGTTTTAGCCAACTTTTAAAAATTTCAGAAAAACGATTATAACCTTAAGAAATTTCGAAGAATAGGGTAAGGAATGGTCCTAGGTAAGGAATGGTCGCGGCGACCATTCCTTACCTAGGACGTCGTTCCGATCGACATACCCGACTTCCTCCGCAGCGGCAAAAACTTTTTTCCGCGAAGGTTGATGTGTATTCGGCCGCGCCTATTTGTCCTGCTCCGCTCTCTAGTCAACTAAATTAAAGTGAGCACAACAATATAATAAGAGCGAAATTTTAAATATTTTGTCAAAATAAATCTCAAGAAGGTCAATCTTTAGGGGTGTATACTGATCTCGGATCTCGGCGAGATTAAGTGCCGAGAATCTCGTCTCGGTTAGGTGGTCTCGTCTCGGCAAAACCGAGACCGAGATTGGAAAATGACCGAGATTCTCGTCTCGGTCTCGGTCGAGATATCGATCTCGTGCAACTCTACTTTAAATCCTTTATTGGAAAATACTTTTTTTAGTACTTTAAATATTTTTAATGATTTTTTTTTTGATTTTTTAAAAATAAAATTCTCAGATTATCTAAAAATCAAAAAAAAAAATTAAATTAATTAATATCCTCTATCAATCAGTAATTGATCACCACAAATAACCAATCAACACAAATCGTTGTAATCATCCCTTTTTTTCTCTTTAGGAGAGCTTTTCATCGTTATTTAGCTGTTCCCATTACTCTCGACGACGTAAAATAAAATAGCGTTCCCATTACTTTTAACTGACGTTTTTTGTCCTTCGCCTCGTCAAATATTTTTGTTTAATGCAAAAAAGGAAGAAAGCGATATATTTTAGTAAATTACTCTAAATCGACTTTTAATTCTTTAAATTAAAATTATTTTTAACGGAAAACGAAATTTCGTTTTTTGATTTTCGAATATTTTGGACTAGGGTTGTTTTTGATTCGTATCGGTTATCCGAAGAATTAGGTGAGCCGACAAATCCTAATTTGGACTGATATAATACGAAATAATTAACAAAAAATAAAAACAGAAAAAAACAAAATTTTAACTCTAAACCAAATAGTTTTTATCTTCTTTTTAATATTAAGTAGAGGTTGGAGGTGATGGGTGGAGGGGAGGGGGTAGGGATGCTGTTCTAATATTTAAAATATTTTCGAAATTTTTTTAGGTTTATCCAAGTTTGAAGAGAGAGATTTTTTCATTTTAATTTTCAATCAAGTAAATGTAACAAAAAAACCAAAACAAACAAACAAAAAAACATTACCGCAATACTAAAAACTTTCCCCCCTCCACCTCCCCCTTCCACCTCCCCAATTCTCTCATTCAATTTGCCTACCTATAAACCAGTATATTCCTCTTATTCAAACATAAAGGTACTTCCCGTTAACGCGCAATTTTCTTCAATTTTCATCTTCACTCCTCTTTTTTCCTTTTCTTCAATTCTCTCCTTTTTTGTCCTCCACCTCTGTCAAATTAATTATTTTTATTTTTTATTTAATTAATTTTTCTCGAAAATTTATATAGCTATAATGTATATTTGCATTAGATAATTCTTCTTTAGTCTTTTTTAATTTTTGAAGATTTTTTGTAAATTATTACAAAAAATATTTCCTGGCCAAATTATTTTTTTTATTAATTTCCACATTAATTAATCAAACTTTAAATGCAAGAAAAATATGTGGACATAAATAATTTAAATATATCCCTCCCTGTTTTACTTTCAATGGGATATGTGCAACCTGCCAATTCCTATTGAAGGATATCTTAAAAACATCAATGCTTCTATGTTTCTATGTCTTCTTGGACATATTGTAAAGTTGAAGCCTTCCAATTTTTTGTGAATACTCAAAAATTTTCATACCAAAAAATGAACATTAATTATTGTTTTCCTTTTGTGAATTTTTAAATTAGTATTTTTACAAATTTTTTAAAAGGCCTTTTAAAAGACTCCGAAATTTCAACATTTCTTGTACTCTTTACAAATCACCCCACAATTATTTTAAAATAAATTTTTTAATAATTTATTAGAAAAATGTTTGTACTTTCGTTGGGTAAATGGTTTGGCCATTTTGCTGTTAAACGGAGAGAAGAAGCGGCAAATCGAGAAAAACAAGCTTTATTAGAAAAAGAGGAAAATTTAAATAAAAATAATCAACAATTTTCTCCCGTTAATTTTGAATTTAATTCGAGAAAAGTTTTAAAAGAAAATTTTGATAAAGAAATTAAGGAAGAGGAAAATGTGGAAGATGAATCAGAATATGAAGAAGTGACAGATAACGATGAAGAGGAGGGGGAAGAGGAAGTAACAGATGAGGAAAGTTCAATTTCCTCAGCTTTTGCCGAATTTAAAATTGGAGGGAATGGAAGTATTTTAAATGAAAATGGAATGAATGGGGAAGATACTGATGATGATGAATATGAGACTAGTGTAGAAGAAATAATACAGTTGAGGGTTGAAAGTAGGTTTATAATAGTTCGGAATTAAAGTGGGTAGTTCCGGATATTCAGAAGTTTTTGGTTAGGATATCAAATCCGGATATCCAGGGAGTTCCCAAGATCTCTGTCAACCCTAATTGGAATTAATAAATTGATATTAATTTTTGTTAAAAATTAATGGATGGGGACAAACTTCTCAAGGATAAAACTTCTCAATATCTACTAGTAGATGTTGAAGTATTAATTAATTTTTTTAAGTATTTTTATAATGAATATATTAGCTATTGGATCTCGATCAAAAATCTTGGTTATCTGTTCTCCTCTATAGTTCGGTCCCCACTATAATGTGATATACCAAAAACAATTCAATTGTGTTTATATCGAGCTTCAGATAAATATTTTATTATTCTCCTTCCTCTTAAAATTTAAAATTTTTGGTTTACCTCTCCCATTATTTAAATAGTAATTTTTTAAAATAATTAATTAATCACTTAAAATAAAATAGAGTATCCTGTCAAATCGCCAATAGAAGAGGCTAATAATAACAATAACAACAAGAAAAATATATCCTCCACTTCAAATTCACCATTAGACCACACTCAGCCACAAGCAGTTGGTGCTACCGTCAAAGCGGTCATTCGTACCATTCTACGGAGTGGGACTGAATTGGCAAGAATTAAACTAAATAATCTGGCTGAGTTTAGAAAAAATGAGGTAAATTTAATTAATATAGGAAATGATTGAGGAATTGAAGATAATAAATTACTGTAGTATTTACTGAGTTAATTAATTTTGTTTTTTTTTAAAATTCCTATCTGTGGGAAAGGAGTAAATAATGATGAAACAATTTTTGTTGAGGGATTTCTGCGGATCCCCTATATTTTCTAAATAACTAAATAATTATTAATCTCCTCCCAGGGACTCTAATAAGCCGAGATTTTATTAGCTAAAGCGGTCAGTGTAAAATCCTCCAAAGCTTTTTCTTTAACCATAAGAAGTTAGTTAAAAGTAATATATAGCTTATTTCCAATCAATTGCTATTTTCCTTGATCAGTTTATTTTTATTTTTAAAAATTTCCTTTTAACATTTAGGAAAATAAAATAATTGAAGAATTAAAGCCAGTAAATTCTTCTGTCCTTTTATCACCAATGGAAAGTGAAGAAGAATTTAGTGAAGAAGAATGGGAAGAAGAAGAGGAAATTAAAGAGGATGAAGAATCTTTAAATAAAGGTTAATAAAGGGAAAATATTAAAATTTTATTGAAACAAAATTGGCTTAGTTAGTTTAATTTGATTGTTAAAAAATTTTTAAGCAAAACATTGAGGGAATTCGAGTAATTAAAAATTATTTTTAAGCAAAAATGCACTTTAAAATATTCACAAATAAATAAAAAATTAATACTTAGGTTGTCAACTAAGTTTTGAGCCCCCACTTTAGTTAAGCTGATTAAATAATTATTAAAATCTAACAAAATGTTACTAAAATTTGTAATATTTTTCCTTATGATTCTAAGGTTGTTGCCTATTTTCTGGCCTAGGGGGCAACAAAAATATATTATAATTTAAAAATCAAAAATTTCAGTGAATGAAATATCCAAAATGGCAATTAACAAGCAAATTGATGAAGATTCTATTTCGATTTATAGCGATGCACTTGAAGGGCCGCCAGATTTAATTACAATAATTTCAGTTAAAAATGAAGAGAAAAGAGAAATTATTGAAATTAATTCAATATTAGAGGATAATAAAAAGAAGGATTATTCCTCTCCTTTGCCGATATTGAGGAGGGAAATTAAAATGCCGGTTGAAAGATCTTTAGAGGTAAAATTGAGAAGTGGAAGTGTAAAGGAAGAGAAGAATGGGAAGGAAATAAAAGAGGAGGCTGATGAAGAAGAAGAGATGATGGTAGAGAAAGAGGAAGAGTGGAAGAAGGAGAAGAGCTTTGAAGAAAAGGAGAGAAGGAAGAATTTGGAAGAGAATGAAGGAAGGAAATTGGAGGAGGTGGAGGAGAAAGAAGAAGAAGAGACAATAAAATTGGAAGACAAGGAAATGATAGTAGAAAATGGGTGGAATGAAAGAAGAAAGGAAAAGGAATTTAAAAGTGAAGATGAAGAAGAGGAGACAATTATTGTAGAATGTACGGAGAAGGAAGACAAAATAACAAGTTCTGGTGGGGAAATTTGCAGCATGGCAAATAGTGAAACAACAGACGATGAGGAATTTGAATATGAATATATTACAGATGAAGAAGGGGAAATAATACAAGTTGAGGGAGAAAATTTAAAAGGAGAAAAGTTGGAAGAAAAGGAAGAATTGGTAGAAGAAGAAATTGAAGAAGAATATGAAGAGGAGGAGGAAGAGGAAGAAGAAGATTGGGATACTAGATCAGAAATCTCTCAAGTGGAAAAAGAGATCGAGCGAATGAGAAGGTTTAGTGTAGCCTCTTCCATTTCGAGAACCCCTGGCTATCCAGAGATTGGAGGTACATAAACAAATTAATTACCTTATTTACTAGTGTTATTCACGGTGCCGTATTACCGCGGTATTTTTCGGTAATACCGCGGTATTTTTACCAAAATACCGATACCGAATACGGTACCGCACAATTTTTAAAAAATCGGCATTTTTCGGTATCGGTATTTTACCGAAATACCGATACCGAAACCGATACCGCCTCAATCAAGAATACCGCGGTATTTTGCGGTATCGGTATTTTACCGGAAATAAAAATACCGATACCGATACCGCAAAATCGCGTTTGAATAACACTATTATTTACTCGATTCTAGATTTTTAAGAAATTCAGGCTCTCAAAAATACTGTTCGGCACAGTTCTGTACTACCACCTTACTAAACGATAGTTCCTAATCGGCAATTTTCGGTACTAATGAGGCCCGTAAAACCCATTTATCAAACACTACTCAAAATATCAATTGACTAATTAAATTTTATTTTCACTAAATTCTTCACAAAAGCAATGTGAAGTAACAGAAAATGATGATAATTCACGAGAGAAAACACCAATAGCTTTGGGACAGGAAAGGCAATCTGAATATAATATTGTAGCACACGAACTTGTAAAAAATGTTCAGTGGCCGTCAGTTCAGCGACGTACTGCTTTAGATGAAGTGAGAAAATTTATTAAATCATTAAATCTCTTTATGAGGGCAAATCGGTTTATTATAAGGGTAAAAAGAAAGAATACTTCTCTTATAAATAGTTTTGCATTACTTTAAATTAAAAATAAATTTAAGCATTACTCACTCATTTAAAATTAATCTTTGAAGTTTAATAGCTAAATAGCATTACTAAATCCCTTTTCGTAAAGAAAAAGAGGTCAGTTTAAGGATGACCTCTGATCATCTCTCATTAATTAACGTTCAAAACATAATTTTAAAGCTGCTTTATTTATTTTTTTCTGTATTCTATTAATCACGGAAAATAAAAGAAAATAAATTTGTTACCCAAAAATTAACTGTCAATAATTAATTTATTTGTTAATATATTGTTTATTCAAGTCTTTTTAATATCCAAAAGAATTTAGATAATTAAGGGGTAAACGAAAATACTAGATAAAATGCCAACTAATAATCCTCTAATATTTCCAAAATTATATTTAATTTGATAAAAAATCTAATTATTATTTTAGTCTCGAGCTTCATCATCTTCCCTTCTCCAAAATTCATTCCAGTCATCAAAAGATCAAGAAGAAACTACCGAATCTTCCCAATTAAATTCAAAAATTAATCAAAATACCCCTAAAATACCTACAACAACAACTAAAATATTATTACCCCCTTTACATCCTTCTACATCCAAAAATTCTTCACCTTCTTTTACTTTCGATCCCCCCTTAAATAAAGAGGATTGTCAAAATAATATATCAAAAAAAGAAATAAAAGAAGACTCGGTAATAAAATCACCAATGATGGATGAAGCTGCTTTTACGCGTTTAACTTCGCCTTTGAGCAAAGAGATAAATTTGGATGTATTTTTTAAAAATAAATTATTATTAAGTGAAAATTAGGAGAAGAACCTAGTAAAAATATTTATTAAACAGAAAAATATTTTAATCAAATAATCAAAAGTTAATCTTAGGGCACGAGGTAAAAAATAGCAGAAAAATTAGTGAAGTCATTAAACTCTTTCATAATAATTTTGAACAATATTTAATCCCATTCACCGTAGACAAGCAGATTAAAATCTTTTGGATAGGTTTCAGGGTCGGAAAAATCCGGGTTCGGGAAACCCGTGACATTCCTGATAATTCAATTTGGTATAATCTGTTGCAAAAAAAATTAGTTAACTCAAAACAATGCCAAAATTGTTTAGATCTGACTTTCACAAAGCTCTGTAGTTGATCGGGGAGTATCAGATGTTTATTATTTCTTAAAAATTACTTAATAATTCCTTCCCCTAATTTTTTAAAGGTAAATAAACTATCAAGATCAAAAATTGAGGTATTCGAAAATAGCAATAATAATTCATCTTTAACGTATAATAAACAAAAACAGCAACAATTGCCATTTACAAATAAAAGATTTCCTCCCTTACCAAGACATCCATTAATTGCTAAATATTGCCCCGAATTAACAACAAAAAATGAAAATAAAAAAATAAATAAAATTGAAATAGTAAAAGATTTGGAAGAAGAAGCAACAAAAAAACAAAAGAAAAAAATTGAAGAAGAAAATAAACAAAAACTTTTATTGCCCCAACAACCAAAGAATTTTTTAAAAATGGAGACGAGTATTGCAAGTGGTGGGGCTAATTATTTACGTGATCCCTGCTCTCATATGGTAAAAATAAAAATATTTTAAAAATGGAGATAAGACTTTTTTCGGGATATAACCCCAAATTGGCCATTACCTAGAGATCAGAAAATTAATTTTTAAAAAATCAGACTGACCTTTTGTTTATAACTGGAGTTACTGTAATGCTGTAATAATGTTTGAAAAAGTTTCCAAAACACCAAAAAATTAATTTAAACTATGAATAAAATAGAGGAATTATTAAAAATCTCTTGCTAAAACACTCACAATTCACACTAGTATTTTCTAAATTTTCACATGGATACGGATACATCTGCAAATATCCGCGGACGGATATGACTCAAAAGTTAACGTGTTGTATCAAGAGACCAAAATCCGTGTCCATTTGCAAGTTTGGTATTTTCTGGTTTTATTTTACTTGAATAGATATTTTAGGTTACCTTACTTAGAAACAATAAAATTTTTTAAATAAAAAGCCAAAAAATCTTTCCAGGTCCTCACAGATGTTAATGGTGACCATGAAGGTAAAAAACAAAAATTATTATCAAATATTTTTTAAAAATTTATTAGATCCTCGTGATTATAGAAGAGGAGGTTATCATCCTGTCCGTTTAGGAGAATTATTTAATCGCCGGTCAGATAATTTTGTTTTATTTTTTATTTTTTTTTCTATAAAATTTAGTTATTTGGTACTAAGAAAACTTGGGTGGGGACAGTTTTCAACTGTTTGGATGTGTTCAGATGCTGGAACTACAATCGAAACTGAGCGTTATGTAGCTCTAAAAATTGTTAAATCACATAGGGATTTTACTGAAGTAATTGAAAATAAAAAAGAAAAAATTCTTTGTTTTTTAAAGGCAGCAATGGATGAAATAAAATTACTTAAAGCTGTTAGAGAAACTGATCCAACTGATGAAGGGAGGCAAAGAGTTATTCAATTATTGGATACTTTTAAAATTATTGGGGTTAATGGAACTCATATTTGTATGATTTTTGAGGTGAATATTTTATAAAAATATTTCAAGAAGGGACGAGGGAATAAATAGAGTTGAATTGAGTGCTTTCTTGGTTCCGAAAATCGAACGATTCAGCGAGTTCTGTTCCATAATGTTTAAAGGAACTGAGAAAACACTTGAGTTAGCCATATAATAATTATTGTTCTGGGTATGTCCGAGATTTGCCAGGGTCTGCGATCACAAGCATAACACTATTTAAAGTAGAAAATTATAATGTAGGCAATAAAACGAAGGAGATTAGGGAATAGTAGATTGACAATGACAATGGTCTTTACACCTTTCATATGTAAAGTGTACTGTGTAATAGTAAACAAAAATAATTATTAAAAGTTCCTCAAAATTTTTATCTACATAAATTTAGCCTTCAGACTTATAATTTGAATTTATTTTAAGGTATCAGGTTGCAATTTACTCAAACTAATAATTGACAGCAACTATCAAGGACTTCCCTTACGTCAAGTAAAAAGAATTACCAGACAGATATTGCAAGTAAAAGAATTTTTAAACTTTAAAAATCAAAGCCCAAAAAATTAATTTCCAAAGAAAATCGGGAATTTATTTGGCTAGATCCCTGGTATCCATTGCCAAATAAAAGAACATCCTTAACTTTATATAATAATTTTATTTAATTTTTTAGGGAATGGCATATTTACATGATCGTTGTAAAATTATCCATACAGATATAAAACCAGAGAATGTATTAGTAGCATTAAATTCCCGAGATGTCGCTAAAATGGTTAATAGAATAAAAAATAATGAAAGAAATAATTATGACGAAAATTTGGAATTAAATGAATTAAATGTTAAAATTGCTGATTTGGGAAATGCTTGTTGGACTGTAATAATTAAATTAAAATTTTTTTTGAAATAAAAAAATAATTTGTAGTTCCATCACTATACAGAGAATATCCAAACTAGACAATATCGAGCACCAGAGGTTTTGCTCGGGACTGGCTTTGATACTCCTGCCGATATTTGGAGTGTGGCTTGTATGGTGGGTGTTAATAATTATTGAGTTGGCTCAAGATATGTATATAAACTCTCCCCTAAAGTTGTGGGTAGATAGGTGTTGGTTTTGAGTTTGCTGTGGGGGTGGAAAGCAGGCCCGTAACCAGGGGGGGGGTGAGGGGGGAATTCCCCCCCCCCCCGAAATGGGAAAAAGGAAAAAATTTGGGGAAGGGCTGGGGCAAAAAAGTGAATTTTTTTGGCCTACGGCCTTCGAAATTTTCAAAATTTTCGCCTGCGGCGCTAAAAAAGGACGAAATCTGGCTTCTTGAGGTCCAAAATTCAAAAAATTTTCGCCTGCGGCGCTGAAAATCAAATTTTTGGCGCCTGCGGCGCCGAAAAAGTGAATTTTTTGGCCTACGGCCTTCTAAAATTAAAAAAATTTTCGCCTGCGGCGCTAAAAATAAAAATTTTTGGCGCCTTCGGCGCCAAAAATTTGGCGCAATAAAATTTCCCCCCCCCCCGAAAAAAAATCCTAGTTACGGGCCTGGTGGAAAGTTAGCAGGACTGTCCACAATTAAAAAATTCAATTTGCGATTCGTAAAAGCAAAAACCGCAAAATTCACACAATCCACAGTCTGCAAACGGGACTTAAAACCATCATTTTATAACTAGAGTCAATTCCAATTTTTAAAATTTTTATTACTCAAATAACTACTTTTTATTAGACATTCGAATTAGCAACAGGAGATTATCTATTCGAACCACACAGCCATCCCTTATGGAGTAGAGATGAAGACCATTTAGCCCATATTATTGAACTTCTCGGGCCTTTGCCTACAGAAGTGTTTAAACGTGGAAGATTTTGGAAAGATTTTTTCCATAGAGTAAGGATTTGTTGAAAACTTATTAATTACAAAATTTCTTTAGTCTGGCCGTCTATTACGTATCCCAACTTTAAGACCTTGGCCATTAATTGAAGTACTTGCAGATAAATATTCTTTTAAACCAAAAGAAGCTTTTTCATTTTGTAACTTTTTATTACCTTTGCTGGAATTGGAACCTGAAAGAAGGGCAAAAGCTGCAATTGCTCAAAATAATGAATGGCTTTTATCATAAAAAAATAATGGCAATAAATTTGTATTGTGTAAATGATATATGTATTTATTTTTTTTGAGAGAGATCTCTTCTAATGAAAATTAAAAATAAATTTTGTTGTTTTTGTGTGTTTAAATTATTTTATAAACAATCTAGGCGCGGAAGCGTAAATTTAAAAATCAGTAAAAGCAAGGGAGTATCGGTAATATTTTCAGTTTAACCCGAAATATTTTTAAAACGAGGTTCGAATAATTACTCTCTCTCAAATAATTACCCTTTTTAATAATTACCTCTTACTTTTCCTACACTAATTTATAAAAAATTTTTTTTGACAATTTTAATAATAGAACATCTTAAGGATCAATATTTATAAAAATAAGATTATGTGAATTAAGAGAGTTGTCGAGGGATTAAGAAGATTTGGGTATATCATCCATGTATACATGGGAGATTAGGAAATTTTAAAAGAACCCTCTGATACTATTCCCTACTAGGGTTGGACACGACCGGTTTTAATGCCGGAATTTCTGAGAATTATCCGTTTTGGCTAATAAAAAAACGATAACATAAGCAATGATCGGACGAGTCAAAAAATTTGGTTTACATATGAAATAAATTATTGCGATTATTGTGTTTTCTCGAAAGGAGTTGTTGTCTAAAAAGGTGTAGTTTAGAATATCTCTTGAGAAAATACCTGACCTTTGCTTATGGTCAGAGCTGCGTCGAAATTTCGATTTCCGAATTTCGAAGATATTTTTATTTCGACGCAGCTCTGCTTATGGTTTACAAATAAAATGTCGAATGAAAACTCTGAATAAATTTTCTAAATAAAAATTTAATACAAAGAATCTAAACATTAAAATTTTTTTGTCATTCTTTTTCTGATTTTTGTTTTGATACAATTTTAGTAAATTCTGCAGGTTGGTCTGTTACAAAAAACCAAAAGAAAGTATTTGCCTTTAAAAAATTAAAAATATTATTTTAGATAATTCTGATTAGGCTTGGCGGTTCCTGACAAATCTCCTGATATCCGGAACCGATAATCGAACCAAAACATTTAGAATACCCGTAACTCCTCCCTCCCTCAATTCTAATTTACCACAAAAAGTATTATAGCCATTCCAATAAAAATAATTCTCCATTGTTCTCGATTACTTTCATCTTGAACAAATAAAAGGAATAATAATGGGGAAATAAAAAGTGTGAAAGATTTTTCGAATTTATACCAGCTACAACAAAATGGGCATATTGCCTAGAATTTTTTTTGAAATTTTCTTAAAAATATTTTTTATAACCGGCTAATTAATGTTGCACATTTATAAAATCCCCCACAATTTGCAGAAACAAAAACATAATTTATAGTCATTAAAATAACTGCTAAAAAACGTTTGTCATCTGGAACAAAACCAACTAATGCAAAAGCAACGGCTGAGCCTACGAGAGATATTGAATTAAAAAGGCGCATTCGAACAATTTCATTCATAAATCTGAGAGAAAAATTACTACCGTATTTTCTCGATTAATCCCCCCCCCTCGAATAATTCCCCTCTCGAAACAATAATTCCCCAACACCAAATACCCTACTGTACGTTCAAATGCCAAAACTCGAATAATTTCCCTCCCTCGATTAATTCCCCATACCAAGGAAGGGTTGAAAAAATAATTCCCCAGGGGAATTAATCAAAAAAAATACGGTATATTATTTTAGTAGCTATATTAAACTTCAAATCATGTAGAGATCGGACCCAAAGGGTTATATGAGAATTGAGATCGATAACTCTGAAAATAACGATCTCGCTATGCTAGATTTTATTTCGATAGCTCGTTTCAGTCCGGCTCCAGTAAAATAAAACTTTAATACATATAACATTTCATTCATTACCTCATATTGTCTGATAAATATCCAGAACAAAATCTAAACGGAATAAATAAGAGTGCCGGTAAAGCACTCCAAATACCAGCTTCTCTAACATCATAATGAAGAACTTTAGAAATATAAGTAGGTAAATAGGTCATTGAAAATACGGCCGTGATAATATCCGCAAATGAATTAAGCCAAATAACGAGCACAATTTTATTTGTTAGAATTGCTCTAGAATATTTAAAGGGGAAGGTTTGGGAGTTTTCTTAATTTTTTACCGATAAGGCATAAATCCACTAAGTCCAATTTCTGCCTCAGTTTTGCCTGATAAAATTTGATCCTTTTCACTTTGACTAACACACGAATGAGTATCAGGATGGTCAGTGTAAAGAAATAGCCACAATCCAAAAAGTATTGGAGAAATTAAAGCTTGAACTAAAAATTAAAGAGAAAGTATAGTTTATCTAGATTTAGACTAGAGTTGGGCGGGATCGGGATCCCGGTCGGGATCGGGCGGGATTATCCCGGTTTTTTTGAATCCCGATCCCGATTTTTCTGATCCCGAACCCGAAAGACAAATCCCGATCCCGGTTTTGGCCGATCCAGATCCCGAGCCGGGATCGGGACCGGGATCGGGATTAGCAATCGGATCCCGATGAAATCGGGATTTTATAAATTAATGAAAATATATATTAATGAGCTGAAAAGAAAGCAATTTGGCTTCTACGCCATCCAAAATTTTCAAAATTTTCGCCTGCGGCGCTAAAAATGAAGATTTTGGCTTGAGAATCTTTGAAATTTTTCAAAATTTTTGCCTCCGGCGGTGAATAAGAAGAGACTCATTTATAAACTATCGACGGAATGGATTTGAACGGATATAATGGATATCCTAGATGTCCATCTAGATCCCAATATCTCATTAATCAACGATATCCCTCTTAATCCATCAGAATCACCTTATCGTTAATACTTTATCCCTCCTCCTTAATCCCTGATACGCCAAGAACAAATGCGCGCTGGGACTTAAAATCAATATTTCAGCACAGCAGATGAAAATTATGGAATTATATTGAGGTATATGCAATGTAAATAAAAATTTAAATTTTGAAAATTTTTTTTAACTAAATCCCGATCCCGATTTTTCAATCCCGATCCCGAGTCGGGATCGGGACCGGGATCGGGATCATTATTCCGAATCCCGATCCCGATTTCGTCCAATCCCGATCCCGCAGTCGGGATCGGGACCGGGATCGGGATCATCATTCCAAAATCCCGATCCCGATTTTACGTCGGGATCCCGATCCCGCCCAACTCTAATTTAGACACCAAAAATTACAGTAATAGACATAAGGCCATCCCAATGAAGGAGCAGAACTTATCTATTAATTTTTACAATTAGTATATTATTTAGGTTTTACAATTTGTATTCAAGTCAAATTTTATATGCACGAGCGCGACGATTTTAGATAATAATAATTTGATAAAATAAATTGTGAGAGAATCAATAAATTTATGTACTATATATCTTAAGAGCGGTTATGAGTCAACTAAAATGATCAGGGACTGAAGATATACTGTATTACGTCCGTATCCGCGGATACCCGCGGATATCCGGATATTATCCGTATCCGTGTGCATGCCTGATACTAAGTACATGTTTTGAAAGCCCCTTCCTTATATTGGATTTACTAAGAATTATTGTTTTTAATTTTTTAAAGAAAATTACAAATGCAGCAACTGGATTAGTCAAAGTGACAGAAAGACTGCTAAATGCAGTCATACAAGCTCTGATTTATAGTGAATTAAAAAATATTTTTTTTAATTTACAAAAAAAATCCATGTTGCTGTAAAGTAGCCCAACGTTGACAAACAAACCCAATAGCTGCAAAATTAGCCCCATAAGCAAAACCCTGAATTAATCTAATCAATGTAAATTCAATCATTCCTTTAGAAGCAGCAAAAGGTAATAATCCCGTAGATATTGTTGAAAGTATTCCAGCTGACAAAAATACAAAACGGGCACCAAATTTTGTATATAACATTGAAAAGGGGAATGTTGATATTATACTTGCTATTCCAACCTTTTTATTATTAAAAACAGAATTTTAAATAAAGTTTTTGTAAAAATATTATGTTGTGAAAAAAAGTTTTGATGATTACAAAATGTTATTCTGGTTGATCAAAGAAAAAATCTTAAAATTTGCTTTAGGCATAGGGTTTGGTTCAAATTCAGTTGTGGGAATATGATCGGGTATATCAAGGATCTAAAGAGATACATGGGAGATCAGGGGATTTAGAGAGATACCGCGGATATGAGAGATCCCGGGAGATTTGGAGAGATATATTTTCCAAGAAAAACTCCCCGACCCTTAGTAATGAAGAACAATTCCTTCTACCTATATCATTTAAAAAAAGATTAATTTTTAAAAGTTTTAAATCATTAAAAATTTTTCCGTTCCATTCCCTCCCTCTGTAAAGCTACTTCCCCATAAAAATTTTGGCAGTATATGAAAGTAAGGGCGGCATCCAATTTTTTCCATATTCCTAAAAATATTTATTTTTCTTATATTTTTCTCTCTATTTTGATTTGTGCCGTAAGGTTATAAACGCAAAAGGATTATTTTTCTTATAACTTGTGTGTGTGTGTGACCGATGTGTGTTCGTGTTGTCCGGGACCGATGTGTGTCCGTGTTGTCCGGGACCGTGTGTGTCCGTGTTGTCCGGGACCAATGTGTGTCCGTGTTGTCCGGGACCGTGTGTCCGTGTTGTCCGGGACCGATGTGTTCGTGTTGTCCGGGACCGATGTGTTCGTGTGTGTTTGTGTCCGTGTTGTGCGGGACCGATTTAATGTGTGTCCGTGTTGTGCGGGACCGATGTGTGTCCGTGTAGGTCCGGCAACACGGACACAAACGGTCCACATCGGTCACACACACACGGACACACATCGGTCACGGACAACACTTACAAATACACACACACGGACACATATCGTTCCCTGACAACACGGAAAAATAATCCTTTTGCGTTTATAACCTTACGGCACAAATCAAAAATAGAGAGAAAAATATAAGAAAATATATTTTTTTTTCTTATAACTTGTGTGTGTTCTTATAACTTGTGTGTGTGTGTGTGACCGATGTGTGTTCGTGTTGTCCGGGACCGATGTGTGTCCGTGTTGTCCGGGACCGTGTGTGTCCGTGTTGTCCGGGACCAATGTGTGTCCGTGTTGTCCGGGACCAATGTGTGTCCGTGTTGTCCGGGACCGTGTGTCCGTGTTGTCCGGGACCGATGTGTTCGTGTTGTCCGGGACCGATGTGTTCGTGTGTGTTTGTGTCCGTGTTGTGCGGGACCGATTTAATGTGTGTCCGTGTTGTGCGGGACCGATGTGTGTCCGTGTAGGTCCGGCAACACGGACACAAACGGTCCACATCGGTCACACACACACGGACACACATCGGTCACGGACAACACTTACAAATACACACACACGGACACATATCGTTCCCTGACAACACGGAAAAATAATCCTTTTGCGTTTATAACCTTACGGCACAAATCAAAAATAGAGAGAAAAATATAAGAAAAATAAATATTTTTAGAAATATGGAAAAAATTGGATGCCGCCCTTACTTTCAGATAGGGTCAAAATTTTTTTCGAAATTCACCTCCCTAGAAATTTTATTTTCGAAAAAATGTTGGCTAATTGTTAGAAAGGGGTCAACCCTGAAGACCTACACCCCCAATACCTACACCCTGAGGACCTACACCCTGAAGACTTACTGACCCTGAAGACCTACACCCTGAAGACCTATTTACCCCGAAGACCTACAACTTTTTGCTCAACTCAAATTATTTATAGTAGGGAATATCGAGAGTATCAGAAGATTCTCTTTATCCCGATAAATCCCTCTATCCACTTTAAAACCTCAAAGTCCTCGATATCCCCTTTATCCCCATTAAAACTTCCAAATCCATCAATATCCCTCTTAATCCCTCCTAGCTCCTCTTTACCTCCTTTAAATCCCCCGATTAGACTTGTAAAGAAATAAATAGTAAAAAATTGTGTTGATCAAAAAGTTGCAGGTCTTCAGGGTAAATAGGTCTTTAGGGTGTAGGTCTTCAGGGTCAGTAGGTCTTCAGGGTGTAGGTCCTCAGGGTGTAGGTCTTGGGGGTGTAGGTCTTCAGGGGTGGACTCGTTAGAAATATTAGAGGTCTGAAACTCAATTAATTTTTGTATAATTATTAATTTTATAATAAAAAATTATTTTTAAATTAATTTTAAAAAAATAACAAAATAAACTTGTATATACATTTTTACAAAAATAATTGTTTAAAAAAATGTTATATTTATACATAGTTATAATCGAGCCAAAAAAATGTTGGCTCGATTACAACTATATAAACATATAAAAATTATTTAAATTTATTTTCTCCTCTGTTAAATTATTAGAAAAGATAATCTGAAAACCCCTAATAAAGTTTGTGATGGGCGAATGAAAAGGTTGTTGGAAACACATTTAAAACACAAAACAGAAGTAAAGACTATATTGACAGTCGATTATTCCTTTTTCACAGTTGATTATACTCGACTGTGGATTTGTTGTGCTGAGGATTAACTTTTCCCTAGCAAAACAAATAGGTAGGTAGTACATAGAACAATTGAATTTTATTTATTGCAGCCAAATAAATATGTAGAGAAATAGTATATTATTGGAGGGAGCAAGTTGGTTAAAAAGGTTTAAATTAATCTGGACGGACGTAAAAACATGCGAGACATACTATCATATTTATTATGCCTAATAATATTTGTGATTATATGTATGTAGCATATGCGTAAAATAAATTTATCCGTGCATGTTTGATATCGGTGCATATTTTGGTGCATATTTTTAACAAATATTTAATTTCAAATTATTGAGGGAAGTATTTCAAATTAATATTTAAAATGTTTTTTTTTTATTATTAGAACGGAACTACAATTTATTTTTTGTTTTTTTTTCTTTAAAAGGAAAGAAAGCATTTTATTAATTGCGACGTGAAAGAAAATAAAAAAAAACTTTTTTATAAAACAAAAAATATTAAAAGGATATATTAAATTAAATAAAACTTGAAAGAATTGGAAAAACAATAAAAATGCTCGAATGAAAAAAAGAAAACGGATTAATTTTCAGAAAAGCAATTAAAAGATTTTTGACCTTGTAAGCGGTCAATTATAAGAAGAGGGAAAAATTTATTTTTGTTTTCAATTTGTAAAAATGCTTCCTCGAAAAATTTAATATTAAGAATTAATACAATAATATACTGAAAACTATATTAAAATAAATCTCTCGATTAGAATGACATTGGCAGGAGGATGAAATTTAGCCAGAGGGCATTGAATGTCTTATATAACTTTAAACCTTAAAGCCTGAACGATACCTTACTATCGAAGTATTTCTGTGTATTATGGTGCGATAGGAAATTAGGTTTTAGTAAAATAAAAGTTTAATTACAAAATTTGAAAGCTCTATATTGAAGCTTTTTTTGGGATTAGTTATATTCCAGAAATTTGGGCTCTCAAAAGCAAAGGAATTGGGCTCGTATTTATTGTAATAATATATTATGTAATAATTTATTGTAATAAATAATGTAGTATATTATTGTGATAATATATAAAAGCAAAACTTGTAGTTCCATAAACACATATTCCAAAAACTTTTGATAATTTAATGGGGAGACTGATTATTTGTTTATAAATCTTATTAGCAAGAAAAGAATGTTAACAAAAAATTATTTACTATTAATTTATTTAATTAAAATTATTCAAATAATTCCCATATTAACTACAAATATTAACGAAAATATTAAATGTCGAAAAGCTGGAGATTTATTTATACAAGATTTAATACAATATGAATGTTCAATTAATAATGGATTAAATTCTAATAATATACAAATACCTGACGGGGGTGGAGATGTTAGCTTTGAAAATGGAATTTCTTTGTTTAATAATAATAATTATTTAGTTGGACGTCCTGTTGGTAAAGTTTTACAAAGATACCCCTATTATTTAAAAAAATTACTTCTTATAATGAGGAGTTCATAAAAGGGGTAACATTTAGAAAGCTTCTATTACCCAGCGGGCAATCAAATTTTTAAAAATGTATTGTAAATTGAGGCGTTTCTATTTACTGAGGGTTTACGATGTAACCGTCAGTAAACTTACGGGACCTGGGTCTTGGTCATTTTTTAAATTCTTTTAATGAAAAGAAATGTGAAAGTAAATTATAAGACGAAAATGCAATTTCCTTTATTGTTCCGTTATTTTACTTTAAATTTTAAAGGTTGCGTTCCTTCAAATAAAACAGACGGAACAGTTATACGTCCCGGGATTGCCCACATATCTCAACATTTCCGTTATGAATGTACAAATGATAGTCCGAATGGAATCTCTTTAAAAGTTACACGTATTCTAATTTAAATAAAAAATTTTCAAAAAAAATTTTTCTATAGATTGTATAGATAATGAAGGAAAATTAGTTAAAATAGGCGAATTCTTTACTCAAACAACACCAGAAAATTCTGAAGGGAAATTTACATCTGTGGAGTGTGTTGGAAATGAATTTTTGGCTAAGAAAGTAGTACACGAATGTATGGGGATTTTAGAAAAAATTAAAAGAATTTTTGAATTTATTTAAGGGGCAAATTGTGAATTACCTAAAGGTGGAAGGTTGGTAGAAGGAGATTTTGTTTGGCAAGATATACCTGTAAATTCAAAGCGGTCTTTACTTCAAAAACAAGAAATTATTTCTTGTTTGAGAGAAGAAAATAATGTTAAACTTAAATGTACAGGCATGTTTTTGTTAAATAAAAATATTTAATAGAAAATAAATTTTGTGAATTAAGGTTGTCGGATAGTTGTAAATCTTCGGATATCTTTCCAGATATCTAGTCTTTTTCGGATCCTGATCCGACAACCTTATTGTGGATAATTAGTATGTAAATTACTTAAAGTAATACTTAGCCTATTTGTCCTATGTGTCGGCGAATTTAATCTATGTGCTTGATAGATAAAACGGATTATAATATAGGTGTAGTTGCCCCTCCCCCCCCCCCCCAACAAAAAATTAAATTTAAATTTAAAATACTTCAAAAGACTATTTAGTATTTTAATTAACTTCATTATTTAAAATTTTACCTAAAGGTTGTGTGGCAACAACCGGCCAAGAATTGGTTATTTCTCGATATGCAAATGTAGCCGGTCAATGGACACAATGCCGGCGTTTTAAGGAGGGATGTCGATTAATTAATGTTACTTCTGATTGTATTTTTAATTAATTTAATATTAAAATTAGAAATAAAAAAATAGACATAGATTGTGAATTTGAGGGGAAAATACACAAACATGGAACGACTTTTGAGAGTACTTCGAGACGTTCACTTTATATTTGTAGCCATGGACAGATTATTAAACAGGGTGATTTTAAAAATAAAACGAATTTAAATTTAAACTTACCAATTTAAATTCCTGTTTTCATTAGCTCCAACTTGTCTAATGCTTATGTTAATCAAGAAAAATAATTCCATACTTATATGTTACAATTTAATAATCAGAACACCCATTAGAGATTGTACCAGGACGAAATCTTAAAAATCTCGGTTATCCAGATTTTTTGAATATCAATTTGAATATCAATATTTAAGTTTACATAACGTCGTTTTTAAAAAAAGACAGAAATTTCAATAGATTGTGGGATTCGCATTAAAGTAGTTGAATAGGCCTCTTAAATAGCAATTCTAAAAAATTTTATGTTTGGAAAAAGAAATTTTATTTTCTAGGCTGTTTTATTCAAGGTCAAGAATTAACTTTAGTTGGGGATGTAAAGTATATTGATGGAATTATGCCGGCACTTTGTGTTGAAAATGATAATTTTACAATGTTTAATAGTTTAGGTATTTAATAAAATTATATTTAAAAAAAATTAAAATTAAAAAAAAGTTGGTTGTGATTTACCGGATGGACGTTTTAAACGTTTTATGCAAGTTTGGAATGATGATGATACAATGAAAAGGTGTTCTTGGGCATTTAATTCTGATGGGAGTATTGCAAGAAGTGAAATAAATTCTTTTGGTAATTCTTTTTAAAAGAATTTTTAAAGTTAACCCACAAATTACGGTCAATCGAAATATTTGCTGAAACCCTGACAACACTAGGATTGTTGGGAGGGGGGGGGGGGGGAAACAACACTAGTAATGCCAGAACAAGGTTATTAATACAAAAAAATCCTCCAAGGGGATTAAAACGAGAGAATTTTTAGGCTTTTTGAAAATTTTGAATAATATTTAGCATGTCTAGATGGATCTGAAGAAATTCCTTTAAATAAAATTGTTCAACGAGAGAATGGACAATTTGTAAAATGTGCAACATTTGAGAGTAATAATGACCAAAAAAATATTGGGTATTTTGTAATTTAAAAAAAGGGAAATAAATTCGTTAGAATAAAAAGATCAGCAACAACAAATAATGGAGGAACTTTAATTATTAGAAATTTAACTAGAAATGAATTAAAAGAATTAAGTACAAAAAAGGTTTAGTAATACTTTAAAGTAAAAAATAAAAATATTTAGTTGGCAAAACAAAATATTTTTGAATATTTTGGTGTTGGTAGGAGAGCTTTACCTTTGTTATCGTCAAATAAAGCATATACTGGAGGAAGAGTTAAAGCAAATGGTAAATATTTAAAAGTTGTTGAAGTGATGTTAACTTTAAAATTTTTAACTTAGCTTTTATTGGGAGGGATTTATGGGTGTTATTACTCATTTATTTTGTAAAAACTAATTTTTATTAATTAGAAAAAGTAAAATTTTCCTATCTAATTAATATGTAGGAGGGACAGCCCCATATTGTGCTGATATGTTACCATTTTGTCAACGACTTTCTGGTTATTGTGCTAATGAATTTTCTTCAGATGCTTTTGAATTAAAAGGATTAAAACTTCATTTTGATCAATTTGGGGGATGGACAAAATTAGGGGGATGTGAAGGTTTTTTGGAAAAAAAAATAATGAATAAATATAAATTTTTTGTTAAAGGGACACTTAACAGTTCATTAAAATTACAAAAACTTGTAGAACTTGTGTGTGCTTATTCTTGTAATAAATGTGAAGTATTTGATGGTGAGGATAAACTTTAAATAATTAAAAATTATCTGACACAGAATTTAATGGAATTTAAAATAATAACATCACTGGAAACGTTTTTAGTTAACATAAAAGAAAGAGAGAGAGAGAAAAGGTTCCTTTCCTCAATGCCATATTTACTAAAATAATTACCCCACACTTTTTACCCCTTCCAGCTAGAAATTGAAACAATAATCACCTAGGGATACTTATTTGAGTAAATAAAGTAAATAAATATTTTTGGTACCGACCACCTTCTTAATTTATGGACTTAACTTTTCTTAACTGATACTTTTCTATTTTACTTTTTATGTATTTTAAATTTCAATTTTGCCTTCTATCTCCATAAAAGAAAAAAATAACATTAAATTTAAATTTACACTTTTACAGAAGCAAAAAAAGAATTAATATTGGCAAGTTTGGAAAATAGTTCTCATTGCAAATGATGTAAATTTATTCGAAATAATGAACGATATTCAAATTCGAAATCAGTTTGATAAAAATCCCGTGTCTCGAGCCTCCTCGAGCCATCTAAATACATATTTTTTCTATCCAAATTTTTTTAAATAATTTTTATCAATTTTTATTCTCTTAATTTATTTTATATTTAACGTAATTTAACACAAATAGAAAAATAATCAAGTTTTTTAACAAGAAATTTAATATAAATAAGAAAGGTAAATAATGAAATAAAAACGTAGTGGGAATTGGTTATATAAGGTTACACTAAAAATGAAGAGAATGTTTTAAAAGAAGATTTTGAATTTAAATATTTTTGTGGATTCTTTAAATAATTGAAAATTTAAGGAAAATTAAAATAAATTTAGAACGAAGTTTAATATTACATAAATATTTATGCCTGTCCTCTTTTTTACTTTCCTTTAAAACTTTCAGATAATTTCTCCTTTCTAGCAAATTTTTGTTGTTTTATTCCACATACATTACATAAACGGTGTTTAAGTTCTGGATGGATACGCCACTGTGTTGTTTGTGTAATTCCACATTCGTGACAACGATTTTCCTTAATTATAGAAACACTAAACAATTCTTAGAAATGTGTTTATTTTTTTCCTATATTGGCATTTCAAAAGCATTTGTTGTTCCGGCTTTGACTTTTTCAAGTCCTGGCTTCGGCACTAGAGTTCTCAAAACCATGGCTCCATAGCCCCGGAGCCCTACCCAGTACTGGATATGAGTATACTCAGGACTGCGATAAAAAATGTTAAGTGAAAGTGAAAAAAGTTTAATTTATAAGTAAATAGTGGAAAAGTCTCCAATTATAAGTTCGCCTATTCCCATAAGAGATTTATTCAAATTCAAATTAATTGGACAAATACAAAATAGGAAAGCTTTTTTAAGCTTTTAATAAAATTTTTAAATCTATTTATAATTTTTTACCTTATTTTACGTTAAGAAATAACCTAATGTAATTTCAAATAATTTCCTTAATTATGAATAAAGATTTTTTAAATTTTGTTTTTAAATTAAAAAATTTTTAAAAACCTTTTTTATAGGTCTAAGTCTCCAATTAATTTGTTTATATAAGTAACATTTTTTGCACAAATACTGTTCTTTTAGGTAGGTATTCCATAGTAATCTTTTTGTAATTCCACAACTGAAACAATGTCGGTTTCTTTTATTAATTCCATCACCTACAATATTTAAGATAAGCATTATTTACTTGGAAATAGGGAGTGTGCAAAGGAATTATTGTTTAGATAATATAGTACATAAATCGAAAAAAAAGATGTACATAAATTAAGAAGGTTTTTATGGCTCCAGCTACTACCCCTTAAATGGCTAATTCATAAAATATGAGATTATTAGTTATCCGGGCAAGTAAAATAAATTTATGGTTAAACGATCGTGTTATTACTCTGAAGTCATTCTAATAGCCCCGAAGGGGAACAAATCAAAAAAATTTATTTACTTATTTTATTGCCAACATAAATAATTCTGTTTTTTAATTCTTCCTTGGAATATTCAACTTTTTGTTTTTCTAATAATTCAATCTTATATCCAATTAAATTAATTTCCGTCCAATAACTTGTTAAAAGTAAATTTTTATAATTTTCTAAATTTTCTTTAAATAAATTCTTTTTGTCTTTAATTAAATTATTATTTATTTTTATATTCTCTAAACTTTCATCTAATATACAAGTTTCATAATAATTATTCTTTTTAATAAAATTATTATTTATGAGAACCTTAAATTTATGATAAAATTAGTTTATGCATTAGTCTGAAGTCATTCTATGTACATATAAGCATTTAAAACAGGGAAGTCTGCAATTGCGTGCATCCCTGCCTCAAACCCTTTTGGTCATTAGATATGCCCAATCCCTCAACATTTCCTTTAAGTTGTAAACACAGATTTAGAAGTTTTTGAGGATTTTGGAACGACAAGAGACAGATTTCATCCTTTTATGGAATAAAATTTCATGAAAAATGTTGGAGTTCGGGTCGAAAAGCGTCAGTGTTTAGGGCAGAAAGTACTCCTTTTTTGCATTGCAGGTCTGAATTGAAAACCAAAATTCGAAATAGCTTAGTAGGTGTAATATTCAAATAATCAAAATATATAAAATACCCGTTTCTCAAATTCAGGCAGTAATTTTTGAATAATTTCATTATTGCCTATTTGAATCACAATTTTCTTTCTCAATTGAACTTTTGGGGTATATTTTGAATTAGGACTATGTATTTTTGTAATAAAAATATTTTTATTAATATTTAAATTTAATTTACGCAAATCTTCAACATTATAATTTTGTGTAAAATAAGCACTTTTCCTATTTTTAACAACAGTTTGCATTACAAAACGTTCTTTTAATTTTAATTTTTTTAAATAAATAAATTCTCTTTTTTCCTTCCAATTATCGGTCATACGACACTTGCAGATATGACATTTGCAGACCCGACATTTGCAGACGACTTTTGCAGATCGACATTTGCAGATACCGACACTTGCAGATATGACACTTGCAGATTAGACATTTGCAGATCCGACTTTTGCAGATATTAATTTTTGAAAAAAAAATTTAAAAAAAATTAAAAATCTTAAAAAATCAAAGGATATAGTATAATATACCGGTGGAAAGGTTTTGATATAAGACCCCCCAGGATTCCTCCGCAGCAGCAAACACTCCACGGTACATAGGTAAGGTAAAGAAGAGAGCGGAATGGGTCTAATCTGCAAAAGTCGGATCTGCAAATGTCTAATCTGCAAGTGTCATATCTGCAAGTGTCGGTATCTGCAAATGTCGGGTCTGCAAAAGTCGGGTCTGCAAGTGTCGGGTCTGCAAATGTCATATCTGCAAGTGTCGTGACACGCAATTATCATTTATTTTCAACTTAACCAAGTTTCCGTTGCATTTTAAATTTAAATTAATATTTAAATATAATATAAACAAAATAATAAATTTAATCATCTAAAATTGTTTAAAATAATATATTTGATTAGTGTATATTTTTGATTAAATTTCGTAATAAATTCTAATTATTATTATTGGTTGCGCGCCTTCTAAAAAAGCCTTGTTTAAAGTAAAATATTTTAATTTAATCCCATTTTAAGCTTAAAAAATTAAGCCTAAAAATAGGCTTATTTTAAAGGAAAAAACATCAAAATTAGCCAATTCTGAAAAAGTTAATGCCAATAATATGTTTCTGATCAAATTCCTTAATTTTTAGACCAAAACCTTACTTAATTTAAATAATTCTTGACAGACTTTATTTAATTTTTCGAATTATTTTTTGTGAAAATAAATCTTTAATAATTACTCCCTAATTTTTCTTTATTTAATTTAAAAAAGCAAAAACTGTCATGAGCTATCACTGTCATGTGTATAAGTAAAAAAATGAATAAATCGAAAGTGCAAATATAAAAATAAAAATAAAATGCCGACTTTCTTTTTCAAAGAAAATAAATTTTTTTTTGTAAACAATGATGAAATATTTTAAAAATTCTAAGGGTTTCCCAGGTTCCACAGAAATATGTACAAGTTTCCGCAGGATTAAAAGTAACTTTAAAATTTTTTTATTGGACAGTCAAAGCTAATTTATCAACTTTCCAGTAAGTCTATTCCTAATATAATGGTTACCGAGACAAGATCTCGAAGAAAAATGTGGTTATCAAGCTCAATATTTTTCGAGATATCTCGACGATTCTCGTACGACACTCCAGTTCGATCTTTTGTTTTTCCATTTTGGAAATTTTCCATAGGAAATAATTTTTAAAATCTTCAAAATCGAAAGAAAATAATCTCGAAAATCGAAAAAAATTTTAAAAATTAGAAAAGAATTTGTAAGTGTTTGGTGATTATGCGTTCAGCGATTATGCGTTCCGTATATATGCTATGATACCTCCACTTAATCCTCCTTTATCCTTGTAATCATACCTAATCGCTATAACCCCTCCAAATCACACATATTTCACCTATACACCGGATATCCGTTCAAATCCACCGATATCTCCCTTAATCCCACCAATTTCCTCGATACCACCCTTAATCCTATAAATCTATCGATATCACTTCTAATCACTTACACAAAAGAATAAATAAATATTTGAAACGATGATAGATAGTCGGCAGTAGTTGGCCTGCTCCCGAAAAACCCCTGACAGATTCTTTCCATCTTTAGTGCCGCTTTTTGATAATTTTGTAAGGGTATGAAGTCAGATTTCTTTATTTTCTGAACCAAAAAGTCAAATTTTTGTTAAATTTTGAAAATAGAAAATATCACAAAAATTCAAAATTTTTAAATCGAAAGAAAAATACCCTCTAAAATCATAAATCTGAATTTCGAACCAGCTCTGGTTTGTAAATGGGGTAATAAATAGGACTGAAATTAATTTTTTTACATAATTAATAAAAGTAACTAAATAAATTTTTATAATTTATTTTTGTCAATATTTTTAATCAAAAAAATACAAAGTATGTATTTATTTATAAATATTTTCTTTTTCTCTCGGCTGTCTTTAAAATTTTCTGTTTTTCTGCACGACTGTTATTTTTGTGTTTGCTTAAGAATTTTACTTGTATGTACACACTCTACACACTCGTGATGGCTAAAACAAATAAGCAAAAACGCACGAATTTTAAATATTTATTTATTGTTAGAAGGTTATTTGGTATTTATTTTTTGGTGAAAGATTCTAATAACCACACTTTTTACTTTTCTCTTTTTACTTGCCTTATTCATATTTTTTTGGACAGCGATAAAATGAATAATGACACAAAAACTATAAAATAATTTTAATTATTATCAATAAAGTTATTGCCCTAATCTTTTTAAAATAAAAAATAGCAAATAAAATAAGTAAGGTTGTCGAATCCGGATATCCGAAGATTTCCAACTATTCGACAACCTTAAAAATAAGTTATGAAATAATGCTTTGAATGTCATTGAATAATACTTGAAAATTAATGTGTCTATTCTATTAACTCCAAATAACTGATTGGACTTGGTAAGATGTTAAATCCGGGCTTAAACTATTTACATATTTCGATATTTAATTACTTTGATTTATAAAATAATTTTAATTATTTTGATTTCGTTAAGAAATTTTTAATAATAATGAATACTTATTTATAATATAATATCTAAATTTAAATAAAACTTCTTTATTTTTTCAAAAATTAATTATTAAAGTTCAAACTTTACTAAATTACTAAAATTATTTTTAAATTAATATTTTTCAACAATAATTTCTATTAATTAAATGGTAATAACAAAGCGTTACAATTCTGTAGAACAATCTACATCTATACACCTTTCCTCAACTAATCTTGCTGATAATGAGCAACAAAAAAATCAGCAATTGATTGACTATCAATTAATGCACAGAACCTCGTAAATATTATTTTTAAAATAAGAAAATTAAATAATAATTTAAAAAAATAAAGAGAGAAATATTTTAACTTTATTAAAAATATTTTATTACCTATTTAATTCAAGATAATTTTTTATCTGAAATTAATTATGTACCTAATTAATTTATTTATTTGACTTTAACTCAGTATTATTATTTTTTAACTTTTAATGCCTTCCTTTTGAAATTTTTTATTAAAAATTTAAACAATTCTAGCCCTTCAAACGAGCATTTATTAAAACAATCAACACCTCCCATTAATTATTTAACACCTCAACAATATACACCATCCCCTTTACAACAACAACAACAACCTCAAATACCTCAGAGAGGAATAATGCGCCCAACTAGCCGGCAAGAGGCATATGCCACAAACGAATTTTCACGAGAATTACCTCGTCCTCAGAGTAAAAATCTATTTAATAATTTTAATGTTTTAATTAAATAATTGAATTTATTTTGAAGGAGCTTAATAGCCTTTATGTAGATTAGAATAGTTTTTTTATATTCCTAAGGTTAACTTGAGCATTTTTAACGTAGACGGAGAAATCTAATAAATCCAGAATTAGCTGCTAGAAAATTTTTCTTGTTATGAACTAATCTAGTTTAATTTTTGCTTTAATACAGACCAGAAATCTAGATTAACCTTTCTTATACCAGCCAATTCTAACAGGAAGGTTCCCAATTTTCTAATAAGAATTGTTTATAAATTGAATAATTTAACAATTTATAAGTTAACAACCCCTATCCTCTTCAGGTACAATACCTTCAATGCACTCCCCTCGAGCCCAATTTCAACAAATGCCACCAACATTTTACCCCTATTCTCCACAGATTTCTCTTCCTAAAACGGCCAGTTCTCGGATTGAAGCACCTATAATTGACAGACGTTCTATTATTCGAAGGAAAGTTCCTGGTCCTCTATTACTTGGACTTTCAGCACTTCAAATAATTATTGGCATTGTTACGCTTCTTATAGGTAAACTAAATTCATAAATTAAAATTTGCCCTATAATTTACCTGCCGAATGTATATATTAAAAATTATTGTGGAATTATCACAAATATTTATCCAACTACACTGAAGAATTTTCAGATACTTTTCCAAGAAAGGAATTTTTAAAAGGAACCTTTTTCCCTTAATAATTTTTTTAAATTTTTATCCCCTCCCATCTATTTAGGAGCATTTAATGCCAGTACCTATAAATGCATGATCGAGCCAAACATTCCAGTTTATTTAATTATTTCTGGCATTTTATTAATTGCTAGTGGTGTTGCGAGAATATTCTTTTGGTTAAGCTCAGATTCTTTAACGACTGGAAGAAGAAGGGGAAACAATTCTGGAGATGGTAGTCATGTTTGTGAATATTTAATTGAAGGCTCTATATTATTTTGTATTGTTGTTATCGTCATTTTAGGTATTGGATTAAATTTAAAAAGATGGAATTTTAATTACCGTAAATCTTCTAATAGAACCACACTCTGTAACAAGCACACACTCTAATATAAGCACACCCTACGAGAGGATCGAAAAATACAAGCACATGTGGTTTTATTAGAGCATTTACGGTATATTAAATAAAAATAAAATTATTGGACAGCATAAAACAATCAAAATCTATTGAATCAGATTTATGCCAAAGATATGAAGTCATAAATATTTTTGTTTAAAAATTCTAATAAAAAAACAAAAATTAAATAATATATTTCAGGCTGTTTTTGGGTATATGGAGCATCTCGATATATGCAAAACCAGGTTTAAGAATATAAAGTTAAAAAATTTTATTAAATATAATTTAGCGCTATATGTTTGAATGGCATTATTGTAACCCAACAGTTTATTGGACAGCTTGGTGGAGTGTCACCCTTCATTTGGCATTTTTTGCTCTTCTTTTTTTGGCAGTGGTTATTCTACTTGTGTATGGGGCCCTTCTTGGATAATGAAAAATTGAAAATTTATTTATTCATATATTAGGGAACATGAATAACATTAATTACGATTTGTATTGAATCGAAGGCTTGATCAAAATCGAGTTTGACATGTTTGAGCGTTTTTCGCAAAAGTCAAAATGCGCCAAGCCATGAGGAATATTTTGGATTTGGTCGGATATTAAAAATCCGTATTTTCGCTGATAAATTTTGTAGATTAATACATCCTCAATAATCGAAAGCCAGTATATGTATGTATATCAGAAAATTTATCAGCGAAAATACGGATTCTCAACATCCGACCAAATCCAAAATATCCCTAATAGCTTGGCGAATATTTGCTTTTGAGAAAAACGCTCAAATATGTCAAACTAGATTTTGATCAAGCTTTCGATTGATATACAGATCATAATGATGTTATTTATCTTTTAATATTTAAATCGAAGTGAACGAGAACTTTTGACTCTCCCTAATATTATGTAAATAAGAAATAAATATATTTATGTATGTAACAGAATGTAATCACGAATACAACTAGAAAATACAAACAAAACTACAAAATATAAGGCACAATTTTGGGCTTAAATGGGTTCATATGTTTTTCACGTTTTATGGCCATTCTAGATTGATTTAAAACTTTTTACCCAAATTGCTCCCTCTTCAATAAATAACATCAATTGTTCTTCTTTTTGTTTTGTTAGGGAGAAATGATAACCCACAGCACAACAAACCCGACAATCCACCGACTATATTCGAAGTCAAGGAAGAAATAGTCGACTGTCAATAATCCTTGCTTCTGTCTGTGTTTTATTTGTGTTGCCAACAAACTTTTCACTCTCCCACTACAAACTTTATTAGGGGTTTTCAGATTATCTTTTCCAATAATTTAACGGAGGAAAAAATAAATTTAAATAATTTGTATAAATAAATAAATTTAATACAAAAAAACACATGCAAATTAGCGAGAATTTATTTATTATTTAAACACCTACATATTTTAGTAAAAATACATATAAATATGTAAAAGTTTATTATGTTATTTTTAAAAAAATTAATTTTATAAAATTAATTATTATACAAAAATTATTTTGATTATCTAATCTCTAACGGTTTAAGCTCCACAAGGGGAAGGGAATCGGAAAAAATTCTTATGGTTTAAAATTAATCTTTTTTTAAACTAGGAGACAGCTCTCCTCAAGTCTGAGTTAATTAAATTATAATTGTATCTAACCATTCAAGAATCTTTTCATTTTTTTTCTTTCTCATTTCGGTTCTGGTCCACAAGGTTAACCATTTTAAACAACAAAAATGGAGATAAAAATGTCTGAAACAGATGGGCATTTAAATTTATTAAATAAAAATTTAAATAATTTAAAACAACAACAAGAAAAACAATCAAAACAAAAAAATATTTTTTGTTTTTGTAAATTTTGTGGATATAGATATATTATTTTATTAATTACGGTAAATTTTGAGAAAAAAAATAAAATTGTGAAATTCACAGACTCTCTGCCTAACTTCAATTTGTTCAAATATGATAGTTTTTAATTTTACTTTAATTTTAATGAAAAGACCAAATTGGGAAAATATAACAATTATATCTAGTAGTTTTAATTCTTCAACTAAAATTATTAAAGTAATTTTAAATTTTTTAAATTTATTTTTATCACAATAATAGGAAGAAGTTGGCCCTTTTGTTATTTTTAATCAAACACATATTATACCTAAAAATGTGCCTTATAGTCAAGCAGAGAAAGCCCAATTACAATATGCTGTATGTTTATTTAATTACTATAATATTTTATAAAAATTTATCTTTGAAATAATTTTGAATTGTTCATTAGCGGTAAATAACCGGTACCCGATTTTCTGGTTTATGTTTTTTGGTGGAATTTTAAATAAAATTACTCATTTATAACTAGGGCGTGTCAAAATATGCACAGAAAATCCTAAAAATATGCGCATATATATACACCGAAAAAGCCCAAAATATGCACTGGATATGCATTCAACATTGACTAAATTTACTCAAAAAAATTTGAATTCAAGCAATAAAGGTCTAAAGTGCTCAAATCTAAGTAAACACACTATTTTTGAGCGTTACAGCTCATGACAAAGCTCATGGCAAAATATGCTTTTACATGTTTTAACACACCTACTAATAACCTCTAATTGAAGTTTGTTGGAAATTATTAAATTTATTTTTCAACAACAAAATATTTTTTCAAAAACTTTATTTTAAATTTGTTTTTAATAAATAGGTTGGAATAGCAAGTATAATATCAACATTCCCCTTTTCAATGTTATATACAAAATTTGGTGCCCGTTTTGTATTTTTGTCAGCTGGAATACTTTCAACAATATCTACGGGATTATTACCTTTTGCTGCTTCTAAAGGAATGATTGAATTTACATTAATTAGATTAATTCAGGGTTTTGCTTATGGGGCTAATTTTGCAGCTATTGGGTTTGTTTGTCAACGTTGGGCTACTTTACAACAACATGGATTTTTTTTGTAAATTAAAAAAAATATTTTTTAATTTACTATAAATCAGAGCTTGTATGACTGCATTTAGCAGTCTTTCTGTCACTTTGACTAATCCTGTTGCTGCATTTGTAGGTTTAAAGCAGAGGTGAATCTGAATTCCGATTTTCGACGTTTTTTTCCTTCCGATTTCCGAAACTTTAGAAAAATTTCCGATTTCCGATAATTTTTGAAGTATATTTCCGACTGAAGATTTTTCTAAATTCTCGCCTGCGACGCTGGAATAGAAAATAAATCTGCCTACCTGGCCTTCCCAAATTTTTTAAATTTTCGCCTGCGGCGCTGGTAAACGAAGAAGTATGGGATATAGGGATCTGGAGGATATTGTAAAATTTATTAATGATTCGAAGAAATACCAGTGGAATGGGGATAACATGGAGTTGGAGAGGTATCAATTGATTAAGTTTTGGCTCAACATCTCTCTTAATCCCCAAATATCCATCCTAATCTTCAAATTCCTTGATATCCTTTTCAATCACCCAAATGCCACAATATCTCTTTTAATCCCCAAAAATTTGCCTCTATCGATATCTTATTAAATCCAATTATGGACTATAGCTTGTCCTTCGCGAGTTTGATTGCCAATTTGAGTTAAAAGTTAGTTGCATTAAAAGTTAGTTGCATTAAAAGCCAATTTGCATTAAAAGTCATTTTTTCCATGTGGCATTTTGTCGTCTGGTATTTCTGATTTCAGACTTCCGAAAATTTAGGCTGATTTCCGACTTTTGAGCCATTTCCGATTTCCGACAGTTACCTTCGTCATTTCCGATTCACCTTTGGTTTAAAGTTGTAAAACTTTATTTTTCCAATTTAGATAAGTTCTATTCCTTCATTGGGTTGGAATTGGGTCTATTATTGTAATTTGCGTCTTAAGCTAAAGAAAATTTTTTTCTTTAACATTTAGTTCATGCATTAGTTTCTCCAATAATTTTCGGATTATGGCTATTTCTTTACACTGACCATCCTGATACTCATTCGTGTGTTAGTCAACATGAAAAGGATAAAATATTATCAGGCAAAACTGAGGCAGAAATTGGACTTAGTGGATTTATGCCTTATCGGTAAAAAATTATGAAAACTCCCTAGCCTCCTCTTTAAATATTCTAGTTCCAAAAGTATATGCCCACCTTTGTTTTATAGGTTTTTATCAGTGTGAAAAATCCACAAAAATTTTTCCGAACATATCTATCGATGTAGATAAGAATACAAAAGAAATGAAGTTCCGATGTACTCGCATCATCGAGATCTGAAAACCCTAAAATCAACGAAAAACTGGGGGTAGACGTACTTAAAAAATATTTTCGACCCCTTACGGTCGAAATAAAAATTTTATTTTGGGCTTATTTGAAAGCCCTTGAAATTTGCTACAAGATAGCATTAATTTTATTTTCCAAAAAAAAATCGACCTCTAAGACAAAATGTGATAAACTTTCAGGTCGTAAAAATCACACAAACACCCCCCAAAAAGTGATGAAAATGTATTTATAAACTTTACTCATTATTTCTCAAGGATGAATATTTTTTAGATTATGAGATAAAAACTATCTTGTAGCAAATTTCAAGGGCTTTCAAATAAGCCCAAAATAAAATTTTTATTTCGACCGTAAGGGGTCGAAAATATTTTTTAAGTACGTCTACCCCCAGTTTTTCGTTGATTTTATGGTTTTCAGATCTCGATGATGCGAGTACATCGGAACTTCATTTCTTTTGTATTTCTTATCTACATCGATAGATATGTTCGGAAAAATTTTTGTGGATTTTTCACACTGATAAAAACCTATAAAACAAAGGTGGGCATATACTTTTGGAACACTCAATGTTTAGATTTTGATTTTTTACAATATAGAAAAGAAAATATTTTTGAATTTTTTTTGTATTTTGTTTCTAAATGTCGTAGATTTAATCATAAAAAATTTAAGAAAAATCTATAGCGATATCACATAGATAAAGCTAAAAATATAGTTGGGCATATACTTTTGGAACAGAGTGTAACATTATTATGATCTGCATATCAATCGAAAGCTTGATCAAAATCTAGCTTGACATGTTTGAGCGTTTTTCGTAAAAGTCAAAATTCGCCAAGCCATGAGGGATATTTGAGATTTGGTCGGATATTAAAAATTCGTATTTTCGCTGATAAATTTTTTATATTAATACTGATTTTCAGATTAATACTGAATACTGAGATTAATACTCAGCAAAAATACGGATTTTCAACATCCGACCAAATCCCAAATATTCTTAATGGCTTGGCGAATTTTGACTTTTACGAAAAACGCTCAGTCATGTCAAACTAGATTTTGATCAAGCTTTCAATTAATATACAGATCATAATAATATTATTCATGTTTTAATTTTTAAATCGAAGTGAACGAGAACTTTTGACTCTCCCTAATATTATGTAAATAAGAAATAAATATATTTATGTATGTAACAGAATGTAATCACGAATACAACTAGAAAATACAAACAAAACTACAAAATATAAGGCACAATTTTGGGCTTAAATGGGTTCGTATGTTTTTCACGTTTTATGGCCATTCCAGATTTATTTAAAACTTTTTTCCAAATCGCTCCCTCTTCAATAGATAGAATTCAATTGTTCTTCTTTTTGTTTTGATAGGGAGAAATGATAACCGCACAACAAACCCGACAATCCACCGACTCACAGCAGACTAGCGCAGGCAAAAGAGGGGACATAGCGGAATTTAAATTTTGGTTAAGTGGCTAAGAGCGGTGACTACAAAATCGTTTAAAAATAGGTCGCGGGTTCGAACCTTTTCATGGTTAATTAATATTTTCCTATTAGATAAGTTAAATAAAACATAAAAGAAACATTTTAAATAATATTTTAAGTGTGTAAAATTTTTTTTAAACTTTTAAAAATAAAAACGGGAAAAATTTTAAAAAAAGCCGGCTGTTATTTTTTAATGTAATTTTTGCAAATTTGGATTGATTTGGACAAATGAGGTGTCATTCGAAAGAGCTCTAAAAAATGAGTCGAACTAGATGTGAACGAAGTTGATCCGACATTCCGGGACCGAGTTACAGTCTCCCGAAAGTTGAAAATCACAGGAGGGCCCCTAGCCGATTTTGGTGACAAAAATTCAAATATAAAAATTATAGCTCATTCGAAAGAGCTCGTCGAGCTGAGTCGAATGACACTAATCATGGGGTGCGGAAATGCCTGTGGACCGAGATACAGGTCCCTAAAATTCCAATTTTCGGGGTCGAAAATTCGACTATACAAATTATAGCTCATTCGAAAGAGCTCCTCGAGCTGAGTCGAATGAGACCAAAATCTCCGTGATTAGTTTCCGACTTCACCTCAATATAGCACAAAAGCGGTTATTCCGGCGAAAATACAAATTGCCTGTAACTTTTTTCAGAATCTTAGAATCGAGCTGATTTTAGTGGCATTCGAATCAGCTCGTCGAGACGAATCGAATAGTATATGTTACGACCAAAACTTTCAAGATTTTTAACGAGTAAAAGGCATTTTTCTAAACCTGATTTATTCGGTCATGCAAAACCTTTTTTAAAATATGCAAAAAATTAATCAATTTGGTTTTAAAACAAAGATAAGACTCTCATTCATTATTTAAAATAAGCAAAATTTAAAAAAAAATAAGATTCTCGAAAGATAAAGATTCTCGAAGTTGACATGTTCAAGCAAACAAATTTTATCTCAAATATTTAACGACATAACACGCGAAAAAAATAGAGCGACAAAGAAAAAGAGATAAATTTAGCTCTTTTTTAATTAGTTGGCGTTCTGCCCCAATAAATGACATTTGTTTCGCTATGACCCTTGCTAGTCTGCTGTGCCGACTATAATGGAAGTTAAGGAAGAAATAGTCGACTGTCAATAATCCTTGCTTCTGTTCTGTGTTTTAACTGTATTTACCAATAAACTTCACTCTCCCACTACAAACTTTATTAGGGGGTTTTCAGATTATCTTTTCCAATAATTTAACGGAGGAAAAAATAACTTTAAATAACTTGTATAAATAAATAAATTTAATACAAAAAAACACATGCAAATTAGCGAGAATTTATTTATTATTTAAACACCTACATATTTTAGTAAAAATACATATAAATATGTAAAAGTTTATTATGTTATTTTTAAAAAAATTAATTTTATAAAATTAATTATTATACAAAAATTATTTTGATTATCTAATCTCTAACGGTTTAAGCTCCACAAGGGGAAGGGAATCGGAAAAAATTCTTATGGTTTAAAATTAATCTTTTTTTAAACTAGGAGACAGCTCTCCTCAAGTCTGAGTTAATTAAATTATAATTGTATCTAACCATTCAAGAATCTTTTCATTTTTTTCTTTCTCATTTCGGTTCTGGTTCACAAGGTTAACCATTTTAAACAACAAAAATGGAGATAAAAATGTCTGAAACAGACGGGCATTTAAATTTATTAAATAAAAATTTAAATAATTTAAAACAACAAGAAAAACAATCAAAACAAAAAAATATTTTTTGTTTTTGTAAATTTTGTGGATATAGATATATTATTTTATTAATTACGGTAAATTTTGAGAAAAATACATAATAGGGTTGTCGGTTCTGGTCCGAACCGAACCGAAGAACCGATGATTTTTCGGTTCGGATATCCGAAGATTTTCCAAGAACCGACAACCCTAATACATAATAATTGTGAAATTCAGACTCTCTGCCTAACTTCAATTTGTTCAAATATGATAGTTTTTAATTTTACTTTAATTTTAATGAAAAGACCAAATTGGGAAAATATAACAATTATATCTAGTAGTTTTAATTCTTCAACTAAAATTATTAAAGTAATTTTAAATTTTTTAAATTTATTTTTATCACAATAATAGGAAGAAGAAGGTTCTTTTGTTGTTTTTAATCAAACACATATTATACCTAAAAATGTGCCTTATAGTCAAGCAGAAAAAGCTCAATTACAATATGCTGTATGTTTATTTAATTACTATAATATTTTATAAAAATTTATCTTTGAAATAATTTTGAATTGCTCATTAGCGGTAAATAACCGGTACCCGATTTTCGGGTTTATGTTTTTTGGCGGAATTTTAAAATTACTCTTTTATAACTGGGGCGTGTCAAAATATGCACGGAAATCCCAAAATATGCGCATATATATGCATCGAAAAAGCCCAAATTATGCACTGAAACATACAAAAATTTTCAAATTTTGCACTGGATATGCATTCAACATTGGCTAAATTTACTCAAAAAAATGTGAATTCAAGCAATAAAATGTTTGATAATTAATCTTGGCATTCAGAATTATAAATTTAATCATTTCTTAATTATTTGTTTTTTTTAAAAATAATTTGAATAAATTTTTCCCGAAGAAATTTTTGACAAAAAATAATTTTTAAACTACAGATCTCTCAAAAAATGCCAAAATATGAACAAATTTTGGTAAAAATATGCAAATTTTGCCAAAATATATACTGCTATGCAAATATGCACGAAAGTACCGAAATATGCAAAAATATGCATTAAAAATCGGGTCCTAAAGTGCTCAGATCTAAGTAAAAACACCATTTTTGAGCGTTTCAGCTCATGGCAAAGCTCATGGCGAAATATGCTTTTGCATGTTTTGACACGCCCTATTTATAACCTCCAATTGAAGCTTGTTGGAAATTATTAAACTTTTTTTCACAAAATATTTTTAACAAAGACTTTATTTAAAATTTGTTTCATAATAAAAAGGTTGGAATAGCAAGTATAATATCAACATTCCCCTTTTCAATGTTATATACAAAATTTGGTGCCCGTTTTGTATTTTTGTCAGCTGGAATACTTTCAACAATATCTACGGGATTATTACCTTTTGCTGCTTCTAAAGGAATGATTGAATTTACATTAATTAGATTAATTCAGGGTTTTGCTTATGGGGCTAATTTTGCAGCTATTGGGTTTGTTTGTCAACGTTGGGCTACTTTACAGCAACATGGATTCTTTTTGTAAATTTTATTTGAAAAATAATATTTTTTAATTTATAAATCAGAGCTTGTATGACTACATTTAATGGTCTTTCTGTTACTTTGACTAATCCAGTTGCTGCATTTGTAGGTTTAAAGCAGAGGTGAATCTGAATTCCGATTTTCGACGTTTTTTTCCTTCCGATTTCCGAAATTTTGGAAAAATTTCCGATTTCCGATAATTTTGAGGTATATTTCCGACTTAAGATTTTTCCAAAATTTTCCAAATTCTTACCTTCGGCGCTCGAATAGAAAATAAATCTGGCTACTTGGCCTTCCCAAATTCTCTAAATTTTCGCCTGCGGCGCTGAAAAACGAAGAAGTATGGGATATAGGGATCTGGAGGATATTGTGGAATTTATTGATGATTCGAAGAAATACCAGTGGAATGGGGATAACATGGAGTTGGAGAGGTATCAATTGATTAAGTTTTGGCTCAACATCTCTCTTAATCCCCAAATATCCATCCTAATCTTCAAATTCCTTGATATCCTTTTCAATCACCCAAATTCCACAATATCTCTTTTAATCCCCAAAAATTTGCCTCTCTCGATATCCTATTAAATCCAATTATGGACTATACATAGCTTGTCCTTCGCGAGTTTGATTGCCAATTTCATTAAAAGTTAGTTGTTAACATTTTTTCCTTGTCGCATTTTGTCGTCTGGCATTTCCGATTTCCGACTTCCAAAATTCAGGCTGATTTCCGACTTCCGAGTTCCGACTTCTGAGCCATTTCCGATTTCCGACAGTTCCAATTTCCGGCACCTTCGTCATTTCCGATTCACCTCTTGTTTAAAGTTGTAAAACTTTATTTTTCCAATTTAGATAAGTTCTACTCCTTCATTGGGTTGGAATTGGGTCTATTATTGTAATTTGCGTCTTAAGCTAAATAAAATTTTTTTTCTTTAACATATAGTTCATGCATTAGTTACTCCAATACTTTTCGGATTATGGCTATTTCTTTACACTGACCATCCTGATACCCATTCGTGTGTTAGTCAAAGTGAAGGAGATAAAATTTTATCAGGAAAAACCGAGGCAGAAATCGGGCTTAGTGGAATATGCCTTATCGGTAAAAAATTAAGAAAACTCCCAAACTTTCCCTTTAAATATTCCAGAGCAATTCTAACAAATAAAATTGTGCTCGTTATTTGGCTTAATTCGTTTGCGGATATTATCACATCCGTATTTTTAATTACGTATTTACCTACTTATGTTTCTAAAGTTCTTCGTTATGGTGTAAGAGAAACTGGGATTTGGAGTGCTTTACCTGCACTTTTACATCTTCCTGTTAAACTTATTTCTGGATGGCTATCTGACAATATGAGGTAATGAAAGATTCGTCTGATCTTAAGTAGAGGGCAGATGTTATATCTGAAATTTGTCCGATCTTAATCCAGAGTAGAAATAAAATTAAGGCAGGTGTTGGGCTGGAATAGACGGAGGGGATCAGGGCTTAGCCGAGTATGATGCGCACGTCGACATTGGTCTGATCTAGAAAAAAATCTCGTTTATCGAGATAAATATTTTTCGAGTTATCTCATATTACAAAGAGAGAGATATATCTCGTATGACAATTTTTTTATTTTACGAAATATCTATCTCGATTTTTGTACTACATACCATCCCAGTCAGATCTCTAACCTTAAGTTTCTTATCGCTACTAGTAATAATTAAAGATTTATGAGTGAAATTGGTCGAATGCTCCTTTTCAATTCCATAGCTTTAGTAGGCTCAGGTGTTGCTTATGCATTAGTTGGGTTTGTTCCAGATGATAAACGTTTTTTAGCAGTTATTTTAATGACTATAAATTTTGTTTTGGCTTCAACAAATTGTGGGGGATTTTATAAATGTGCAACACTAATTAGCCGGTTATAAAAATATTTTTATGAAAATTACAAAAAAAATCGGCGCTGGTTTAGATTATGCGTCCAATGAACATTTATGCGTCCAATCAACAAAAAATTGTATTTTTCTTGATATTGCAACGCTTGGTTCCAGAATATTTCTTCGTATTAAGGACACGCCCACTGGGTTCGGGACCATTCCTTACCATATCCCTCGAAATCTCTGAGAGTTATAACCAATTTTTAAAAATTTCAGAAAATTTTTAACGTTCAGAAATTTTAACTTTCAGAAATTTCTAGGGATGTGTAAGGAATGGTCCAAGACCCAGTGGGCGTAGGTCCGGAACATAAAGAAATGTTTTGGAACCATACCTCAGCTTTGCAACACCAAGAAAAATCCAATTTTTTGTTGATTGGACGCATAAAAGTTCATTGGACGCATAAATTAGACCAGCGCCAAAAATTCTAGGCAATATGCTCATTTTGTTGTTGCTGGTATACAATTCGAAAAATCTGTCACACTTTTTATTTCCCCATTATTATTCCTTTTATTCGTTCAAGATGAAAGTAATCGAGAACAATGGAGAATTATTTTTATTGGAATGGCTATAATACTTTTTGTGGTAAATTAGAATTGAGGGAGGGGGGGGGGGAGGGGGGGGGGGTACGGATATCCTGAATGTTTCGGTTCGATTATCGGTTCTGGATATCAGAAGATTTGTCAGGAACCGCCAAGCCTAATCAGAATTATCTAAAATAATATTTTTAATTTTTTAAAGGCAAATACTTTCTTTTGGTTTTTTGTAACAGACCAACCTGCAGAATTTACTAAAATTGTATCAAAACAAAAATCAGAAAAAGAATGACAAAAATATTTAAAAAACGGATATTTAATGTTTAGATTCCTTGTATTAAATAAAATTTATTCCGAATTTTCATTCACCATTTTATTTGTAACCCATAACTTAACATTTTAGTCAACTTCCCCGTTTCGAAAGGACACCATAATCAAAATAATACTTTTTTATTGATATCGTTCTGAGTCAAACACTAGTCCCTATACTCCAAGACTAAAGGATTTGAATTTTTATTGACTTATAATGTTAATATCCGACGATATTTGACAGTTAAAACAGGCAGAAATATTTACCAAAAGCGGACAAATAAACGAAAATAATTAAAAAATGATCGGAGAAAATCCGAAATAAAAAAAAAATAATTTTAATAAAAACTCAATCCTTCAAATTTATATTTATTATTCACTTTTTCATCCTCAATCAAGAATTTCCCATCTGAATGACGGAAAACGCTAATATTAGATGCAATGGGCACTCCTTTTTTTTCTTTAACTTTTATGGCAACAATAATTTCATCATTGCTTTCGGGTAAAAATTGGAAGGCTGTATAGCCGCTTGAACCATCACCAATAGAGCCGATTCTTTTTGTCTTTAAAAATATATAAAGGGATTAATTGAGATTGGATGGATCAAATAATTTTAAATGTACCTCTCCCTCTATTATGTTAATTGTAAAAAAATATTTTTGAGACTTTTTAATGAATTTTTGATATTTTTTATTTTTTTATTTATTAAATTATTTTTGGGGTATTATTGCTTAAAAATTAGCCCTTAGTTCTTATTAATTTAACTTTTAAAATATTTAAAATCACCTCAATTTCTGTAAAGTTTTCATCAGCAATTAATAATAAATTTGTTCCATAATTTTCACCTTTAACATCTTTGGGAGAAACATTCGAAGCAAATCTTACATAAATAAATTATTTAATGGGAAATTTAGCCAAATATTTAGATTGGAGTAAAAAGGGAAAGCTTTATAATAATTAAACAAAAACCTTGGAAGAAAGAACCATTTCTTATAAAAATCAGACCATTGGACTGCTTCTAAAATTTAAAATTTTCTCGAGTAGTTTAACTAGTATATAATAAATTTAAAAAATTGCAAACCAGGCTCTACTATTTCTAATAATTAACTATTAGAGTTAATAAATAATTAATTAACTGCTGTCCCTATAAATTATTCTTTCAAAAACAGGATTATATAGTTCTTATATTTACCGTATTTGCTCTATTAATCCCCCAGGGGGATTATTGTTTCAACCCATTCTAGGGTGGGGGATTAATAGAGCCTGGGGGATTAATAAAGACTGGGGGATTAATAGAGCAAATACGGTAAATTTTTCTATCATCTCAAATACAAATTTTAATTTAATAATTTTTCGTTACTTTATTTCATTTTTAAATTTTGTTTTTTAAAAACGTGCCATGAACTAAAAACCCTGGGAATGTTATATTTACAGCATTCCGAAGTTTGTCATAATTTTCAATCCAATTAATTGAAGTAATTTCTCCATTTATGTTGATTACCTTTTTTTAATTTAAAAAAAATTTAAAAAAATTTTTTTGAAGTTAATTGTTACTTTAATCCACATTGAATCTTTTATAATTTTCCCTGATTTAGTATGAAATTCTGAAAATAGAATAAAATTATTTTGTAGGAATAATTCATCTTAAAGCATTTTAAGCGGGAATTGAAAAAGGAGAAGAGAAGATTTTAATATTTACCCGTAAAGGCTGAAATTTTTGCCTCGGTTAATTATTCTCGCAGGAGGGGGTAATTAATAAGAAAGGGTTCTGAATTTGGGTAGATCTCATTCCAATTAAAGCTTAATTGATTTATTTTTTGATATTGATTCTTGAAATGTTTCATTAATTAAATTTGATAATAATTTTTAAAATATTTATAAAATTAGTTTAGAAAAAATAAGGGGTAATTATTCAGCATTTACAGTAGACTGAATGGGAAAATTATAATGCATGTCAACAATTTTTCTCAAAATATTTGGTAGAAATTTAAAAATTGCCAAAAATATTCCTAATAAAAACAATTTCTAAACATTACCAAACCCTAAACTTCCAACAACCAAACAATCATTTTTTATAGTCATCCATTCCCCTTTAAATTGTTTAGAAGAACCAGGTCCATTATTTAGAATAACCCAAGGAACCAAACTTGTAAAATTGTTAACTATCCTTTAAAATAAAATAATTAAAATATCACATATAAGAAAGATTACTTGTGTACAATCCCTGTCCTGTCATCAACTGTGACCAAATAATTATCAAAAACTGTTAGGGCAGATAACCTTTAAATTAGTTTAATGCATTAACCTTGACTTAAATCTAGTTAAGAACAAAAGAGTGATATTGACCCACTAATTTAAATCCTATATAATGGTCAGTACAGATTGGTTCCCCTCCTTTCAAACCAGTAATAATTATAGCCTTGGTTGTTTATCTATCCGATGGACCTATAGTTATTAATGAGTTTTAGAATAAAAGTGAGTGAAAACCTAGTGAAATCTATAAGATTTATTCAACAAAACACGACTGAATTCTAAATATTATTTAAAATTAACATACTCCATAGCCTTTCCATCAAAGTTCAATTGAGAGTAGAGGACTTTACTTTGATTATTCCAAATAATTGTTGTATTGAGTGAATGTGGATTAAAATATAATTTTCCAGTTAATAAAAAACTTTTCCAAGTATTATTTCTTTCGTTATCCTTACTATATTTGTCTTGATCGGTAATTAAAGCAATTTTATATTGAATATTTCCATCAGGAAAAGTCTTTAAATGTTAATGATTCTTTAAACAGATCCAAAAAATTTGACAAGTTAATAGTGTCGCAAAATAATTTTTAAAATTAATTTGTAAAAAAATCAAAAATTCCCTTTCCGTTAAGGTTTTAATTTTGCTCAATTACAAATAAACCGTCAAATATTTGTTTATATGTATTTTTAAGTAATTTTCAGTTAATTTATTTCAAAATACAAACAATTCCAATCTTTTTCTTTTGCTTCTTTGTTACACTTTGTGTTGTTGTTGTTAATATAATCTTAAAATATTTTAAAATTTTTGATTATAAATTGAAAGGGGTATCCTATATGAAATAAAAATAACTTTAAGATGTCTAATGATCAGAGCTGTTTCGAAACCCATTTAAAAAATTCCAAGTGAAAATCGAAATTTTGAAACTGATCGATAATTATTTTTATTATATTTTTCTTTACGTGAACTAAAAAAATTCCCAAATAATTTCCTTATCATTATTTCTTTAATTTCCAAACCCAACAAGTTTTACACGTTTTACTAAAATAAATTTGTCACATTTTATTAAAAATGCTCAATTAAAAAATAAATATATGTGAATGTCTATTTAAGTAATTGTTTGTTGATCGTGCTTACTAAGCTGGAAATAAAATTGAGTTTTTTTAAACAATTATTCAAAAATAAATAAATAGAGAATCTTAAAATTGGATTTTAACAGTCAAAAATATTAATTTTATTAAAAAGTTTTTAAAATTATTTTTATTCCAATTAGAGAGACGTAATGCAGGTAATGATTTATAAATTTTAGTTGTGTATTTATTATTATTTTTTAGAAAAGTAAAAGAGTCGTTATTAATATTGTAATTACTAGGTAATACATATTCTACACAATTAACAATTTTCTAGTTTTTAAAAAGACCCCAAGAATTTTTTAGCAAAAATTTAGTTAGTTAACAGGAACCAAGTATTTTTGTTTTGGCTATCATAAATCCCTATCCCTAGACCTACCGACTGACAAGAAGACTTTTAAATGGTTTCCAACTAAGTCCTAAATTATTTAAAGGAATTCCAACAAATACAAAAAAGTGTTCTAACATTTTTTGTGCTATTGTTGTACTGCCAAACCTATTATTGTGATATAGGAATACCGGAACTTATATGGTTTGGGTACTCTTTTTTTAGCCACGCCCTTTTTTGCTTTTCCTTCATCAATCAACCCTAATATGGACAGAATGGTCAGCCTTTCTTTTTTCCTCGATTTTACTTTACTTTTCCTGTGGCATTTTCAGTGAGAGACATTAACAAGGAAAAGATTAATTTTCCTTTCCAATTTCACCAAAATAGAATTAACATTTGAATCAATATTCTTATTTTGATCTATTTCAATTATTTAAATGGCAATAGGTATCCTGGTTCTACGTTTTGGAACTAATGGTCCGGCATTTTATTGTGTTTTCAAGTTTTTGCGTGTTTAAAATCATATTTTTTTACAAAATGCCGACCGTTTTACCTCTTTTTAGAAATATTTGGACCCCTGTAATTCAGCTCAGAGATCTCACGGACCGAGTTTAGTGCCATACGTCTCAGCCCAGCTCGATGAGTCATCCGAGTCAGCTCTATTTCTCTCTTTATTTTAACAAAAAATTGACCTCAACTCAATTGATTGATGGTTGAGAGGGAAAAAGATTAAAAGAATAATGATGGAAAAGGAAAAAAGGGCGTGGCTAAAAAAAGAGTACCCAAACCATATAAGTTCCGGAATACCAACTCCTCTATGTGGAAAAGGAGAAGTTTTCGCAAAATGTGCCACACCTTGCGAGCCTAAATGTACGGATATTGGACCTATACCTTGTATAAAAAGGTGTGACCCACCAAAATGTCAATGTCAGAAAGGATATGCTAGTGATAAAAATAATGTTTGTATACCCAAATTTTTATGCCCAAAACATTGCACAATTAATTGTGGATTCCTCCATATTTGTAAAATTATTGATGGATTACCGAAATGTGTTTCTCGTTGGGAATACTAATAAAAAAGAGGTAAATTTTTTGATTTAAATTTTAATAAAAATTAAATCCTAAGAATATCTGATTATCTGATTATGAAGAAATTTGAATAAATATTGACAGAGATAAAAAACTAAATAAATAATTAAAGATAAATAAAGATTTTTAATGTTAAATTGTGGTTTTAAATTGTGATATAAATATTTTGTTAATTGAAGAGATTATTGAATTAATAATAAAAATTAAAAAAAACAAAAAAAAAGTTCAGACAGATATAATGGGCACATTAATTTATTAAAATTTATCTCGACGCGAGATATATCTTCTGATCATTAAGATATTTACAATGCTTCTCAGAAACAAACATTAAAAATTAATTTTGTTTAGACTTATTGACAGAATTTTTTTCATGACTCCTTTAACATACTCTTTTCCAACTCTTTTATTTTGTAGAATTTTGAGTTTTGGCAGTAAATTTTGTTCTATTTTTTATAAATTAATTAATATTTTACTAAAAAAATTTTTCAAAATATTAGAATAAAATTTTCCCCTATCCGAACCATGCCCGAAAAGAGTTTTCGTCGAGGCCCGAACACGACGGGGCGGATATGACTTAACTCAAATTTTCGGGATATAACTCTAATCTGTATAAAAAGTTCTTTTACCTCACTTGTTTGACAGTTATTAACATACGCCCAGAGAAACGTCCGATCGTGAGCCTTTGTTAAACAATTTTGATTGGATACAAACAGAATATCCAATTTTAAAGCCAAAATAGCAGCATAATCATCAAGCAATAATTTTGGTTTTTGGCTAACTTTTTTAACAAGCTCATCGTCAATAGGACTAGCCATTAATATTTTACCTTAAAAATTTTCCTTGAACGAGAATTTTTAGAAGTTAATGTTGTTCAAGATTCTTGGTCAAGATATTTTCTTGGGTTTATTTTTACAGTGCTAAGGGATAAACCCAAGTTTATCTTTACAGTACTAACTTTTAAGCGAGTTATCCATTCCAAGAAGATAATTGACAAGTTCTGAAGCTTTAATACTATTCAGAACATAACTCTCGCTGTAAATTTATAAAAAATTACTTTTAATTTAAGTAAAATTTTTATAATACATAAAGAACTTTTCTTAAAAATTTTGCCTTTACTGTCAATTTATGTTTGAAAATTTTTTTATTAAAGAAAAAAATTTTCACTAGAGATCGGATCGAGACAATATCTTGAAAAAATCTCGATTGTTGAGATAGAGGTGTATGTCTTTAATTTTCCTTCTCTAAGTCCTCCAATCCGTCTCTAATTTTCACCATACGCAATCACGAAAATCCCTTTGTTTGGCAAATAGTATTTTTTATTTCCTAACTTTAACCTTTTAAAAATATCAGCTTCAACTTTCAAACAATTATTTCCTTCCTCAATAACAACAAACCCGTGCCATTCAATATTTTTCATTTCGAATGATTTTTCAATCATTTGTTGACATATTTGACTATTTCTTTTTCTTGTAATTTCAAAACGTTTGTTAACTTTCCAAAATCTTTTAGAGAGAGAACTTAGCTGACTTTCATAACAAAATATTATTCTTTAAAAAACTTTTTTTAATTTTATAAATTAATTTAAAAAACCCAGAACAGCCAGTTATGTTCTCTAAAGGAAATTTACATTTTGTTATACCTTTTTCGGTAATAATATTTATATTTTCAATTTTGGATATTTTAATTTTATTATTTAAATAACAGCTAATAATTGAAGAATAATTAAAAGAAAAAAATAATAAAATTGTTAAGATTAATTTTATAATCATAATTTTATATTTTAAATAAATTTTAATAAAAAATATTTGAAAATGAAATGAAAAATCAAAAATACATATAATTTAAAATAAAAAGGATTTTAAACGATGATTCAGTTATTATGTGAAAAATAAATTAAAATTATTATTTCTTCATTTTTTTGCTTGTTATAGAGTATAGACTGGGAACGATTGAGAATAAAAAAATATAAAATTAATTTTAAAAATAAGAAAATTCGAATTTACATTTTTAAAAGCAACAGAGAATATATTAGAACTACAAGATACTAAATAGGAATGAAATTAGGTAATCGGCAGGTAAATCTGCAACTCTAATACAAAATAAATTTTTATTCATTAAAAATTTTGATGAAAAAATTTTTTCAGGGTAAAATAACAAAAATTTATTCAAAAAACACTCCTTAATTTTAAAAATTTTAAATTTGCTGGAAATTGTTATTATCAGTTAAAATAAATTGATTCCAGATAGGTATATGTTATTCTCTCGTTTAACCAAAATTCTTGACAATTCTCTAAAGCTTCTAAAAATCGAACGGTTTCGTAGTTTTAGTTCCTGGCGGTTGCAAATAAGGTAGTTACATCAAAAAAGCTTATTATATTTTCAGAGTAAATAAACTAAAAATAAAGTCATAATGATAAAAATTAATGTTAAAATTTTTCTTATACCAGCAAGTTTAATTTTGAATCATTTATTTTTTAAAAAATATGTATAATATTGATAGAAATGGCGTTAAAAATTTTAAAAGAAATGCTATAATTTTCATTAAATAAAAATTTGTTAATCTTTTCCGACTTCATTGTTCAATTTTTTCAAAATGTGCATCAAATAAATTGTTTAAATTAAAAGCTGTATCAGATACTCGAACACCTAAATATTTAATTAAAAAAAATATAAATAGCTTTTTTAAATTTAATATTTAACCTTTATTTGATGTTGGACTGTCGAGCAACTTTGTTAAAGTTAATGGTTTACATTTTCCTGCGATTAAGCAATCAACAACCGCACTTTAAATTTTATCTTTTATATTTTTATTATTAAATTTGAAATCAGTTTTAAATATGTAAGTAAAGGCTAGGTAAATATAGGTATTCCAAAAATGTTTGAAAGTTCATTTGATACAACTGTATAGTTTAGGTATGGATGTTCCCTCGAGAAATTACATATATTCCCCAACTTTTGATTAATAATTCCTTTAATAATTAAGTAAAATTCCTACTCAAAACATGCACAGGCTCCAATTACACATTCATCTTTCGGCGAAGAACATTTTGAATACATTTTAGAACACGGTGTTTCAATAAAATTCATAGGATAATTTTCTTTTGTACACGTTCCTTCAGTTATTAATGTCTTTAGACAATTAATTAAATTATCCTTTGTACATCTTTTAATTATTATTAAATTAATAAAAATATTTGAGATTTTTATGACACACATAACTCAATTATTTATCTTACTTCAATAATAAAATTCTTAAAATTAAAAAAATCTCGGTTCTGAACTTTTAAAAATAAAATTTTTAAAAGTTATCAAAAATATCTTTATAAATTACTAATTAAATTTAAAAGCATAGTATAGATATATTCATAAAACTATGCGGGAGGCGGCGTGGTGTAATGGATAACGGACATCAGTCCTGTCAAAATTGCTGGTTAGCTCCCAGTTGCTGATTAAACTATTACATAAAGCTAAAGCCCAGCTCAGATTTACTAAAATTAACATACATGCAGGAATCATCTACACGATATTCCATCACAGTGTCGCATTGTTCAGTTGTTGCTTTTTCACTGTTTGTGAAATAGCCCAAATTAATTAACAAAAATGAAAATAAAGGAAATAAATTCATTTATTTAATTATTTTTAATTTCAAAAATTTTTTTAAATTAATGAACACTCAAAACAAATTATTCGTCTTTATTTATATTAATATAAAAAAATATTTACTATTAATTAATCAAAATTTTAATTATTTTTAATTTAATTTACCTACTAAGTCTTGTTTTGAAGAATAAAATAAAGACAGGTTTTTAAAGTAAATATGAAAAAATTATTTAGTAATTTAAACTAAAATATATAATAAATATTTTTAAATATATTTTTGATATAAATTTTAATCTTTTACTATAACATCCAAATACATGAATCTTCATTCGTATTTCTCAAAAAGAAAGAAATAATTATTTTCAGTAATATGCACGGTGCAGAATCCATGATAAAAAACATGCATAAAACATGCTTTAAAAACATACATCCGTTTAAATGAAAGCCATAGCGAAAAAGCTAGTCTATTGTCTTTAGAATTGGCCGAGGTCGAAGCTTTCGAAAAAACCCAGCCTCGAGTTTTATAAAGTTAACCGAGTTTTCTTATGATTTTGTAAGGCTACTCTACCGCAGATTTTTAATTTTGTAAGTTTTTGATGAAAGAAGTAATTTATAAATAAATTTATATAAAATTCCCAAACATAGAAAAAATAATATTTTAAATATTTGTTCACATTCAAAATTAAAAAAAAATTCTTTGAAATTCTTGCTACCCAAAATTGTTGTTGAATTCCATTTTCTTGGTTGTTTTTTAAATTTTTTAAAAATAACTCCCCAGACACGAGAGGAAAAATTTAAATAATTTAGTAAAAAATAATCCAAAATTTTCTTTTAAATATAAATTTCTAACAATTTTTCATTTGCCAAATTCTGCTAACTAATAGTCTTTTTAATGTCCACTTCCACCTGCACCATCTCTTCTCCCACGTTGACTTGGTCTATCTCTCCCATTTCCTCCATTTCCACCATTGCCATTTCTACGACGACGACGTGCTGATGGTCTTGGGAGAACAAACTTAATTAGTATAACAATTTTATGTATATCAGAGCAATTTTATTAGTTATCACACACATTGAGGTATCCAAGATATGATATAAAACGAGATTAAACGAATATCACTTGAACTTTAATGTAACTTGGCAAAAAATAAGGATTGAAATTAAAATTAGATTTTAATTAAATTAATAGAATTTAAATAAAATCAGTCATTAAACACAATTTTAAACTTTTAATATTTTTATATAATCAACCTGGCGAGTTAAAAGTTCTGGAATTTTTACTTCATATTCTTCCCCCTCATACAAAGTAATTAATTCAGTTGAAGCATAGTTATACACAATATTCCCTCCCATTTGATTAATCAAATAAGGATTTATCAAAAGTTCCTGTAATCTTGATTGAAGATTTTGTCGAGTTAAAATATATTCTGAATAGAAAAGTTTATATAAATCATTTCCAACATCAATATTATTCAATTCAATCAGTTCTTCATTTGTTATCACCGCGTTATCGGCGGGTCCTTAAATGTTATATTAATAAATATTTATTTATTTAAATATTATCAATAAATAATTTTATTAAAATTTGTTGGAGATGTTAGACTCAAATGACCTCAATTCAAAAATACATAATCGACACTTTGACATTTCCTTCCCGCCCAATTCATTTGTCTATTTAAGCATTTCCTTATTCCCCCAGTCTGTTCAGTCTGTTCTTTTATTCAATCCATTCATTCAGTGACGCAGTCACAAATTTAAATTGTATTTTATTTGAAAATAATAAATTCCTTATTATTTATTTATTTTGTTTGTATTATTGGGTGTCTAATACACAACACTGGCGCGGTCGTAAACTTTTTAGAGTGAATTAAAAAGAATTTTGGGATTTGACAAATTCTTTATTTGACTGCAAATTTTATTCTGATTCAACAAATTTTATTTAATTTGACTACAAGCCAAACTTTGCTTGACATCAATTTTATTGGATTTTCGACTTGGCTTTGGTCGAAAAGAAATTTGGAAATTTTTGTTTGGACTTCAAAAAGAAAATTTTATTTTTGCGTTCGTCAGATCCGAACGCCGATTCTGCAGGTTTATTTTTGATTTTAAAAGAACTTCAGTTGCCCCCCCCCGTACAAATCAATAATTTGGCGTCGCTTCTAAACGCCAACACCAAAATCAATAAACAAGCTAGGCGCTTGTTATCTCTCTGATTCAAAGGACTCACGAGCTAGGAACTTGTGATAAAACAGCTAGGCGCTGGTCCTGATATTCCTACAAAAGCCCTATTTATTTCTGCTCCTCTACACCTATTCCTAGGCGGAAAAGGAAGCGGCTAGGCGCCGTCGGAGCTTATTCTTCACTTCCAAATTTGATTAATTATTGATTATGGCGACCTTTACTCCTGCTCAAGTTCAGCAACTGCTTAACTCGTTTCAAGAGTTAACAAATCGGCTAGGCGTCGGTTCAGCAGGCACACCTCCAAATCCAAATGATGTTAGCGCTAGCGCTGCTACACTTGCCGCCTCCCTTGATTCAAGAATCGGAAAATTCAACTATGATTCTGAGGCCGGTCTAACATTCGACAACTGGTATAAACGCTACAGCAATTTCTTTCTTGAAGACGGGAAAAGTCTTCCTGATGCTGCCAAAATGCGCTTACTTATGGGAAAATTAGGTGATTGTGAATATGCATTATTCAGCAACGCCATTCTTCCGACACTGCCTGACAACATGACCTTCGCCAACGGTATTGCTAAGCTAAAAGAATTATTCGGGGACTCTCGTTCATTATTCGTCCGCCGATATGAATGCTTCAAAATGATTCAACATCAAGGTCAAGACATTTCTTCATTCATCGCAGAAGTTAATGCTGCCTGCGAAACTGCAGATCTGACTTTAAGTAAAGAAACACTTAAATGTCTGATCATGGTCGTTGGCTTACGAAATGAGTACCACGACCTTCGTCAAAAATGTCTGCAATTATTAGAGGAAGCTCGTCGCAAGAACGAAGCTCTCACTCTTGAAAAGCTTGGAGAAGAGTGTAGATCCTACTTACTGATTCGCGAGAGTGCAAACTCGCTTGCTGTTGCTAATACAGGTTCTTCCTCTACAAATGCCATCCATACAAAACCTCAGCAATGGCGTAAAAAGCAAAAGAAAGGCAAACCTCATCTTCAAGGGGGTAGAAAAATTCTGCAAAATTCGCCAATTAAAAGCTATTCAAAGCCTAATGATGAAAGGCAATGCTATTCTTGTGGTAGATCAGACCACTGGCGAAAAGATTGTCGACATCGAAATTCCAAATGCGACAATTGTGGTAAAATAGGCCACATTGCAAAGATTTGCAAAAGCCAGAAATCCAGCACCAATGTTCGACGCATTCAAACAATCACGGCTTCAAAATATTGTTTGACTCTGAATGCTCAAGGCCCGGAATGGTACACTATTTCCGTGGATATTAATGGTCAACAGATTGAAATGAAACTGGACACTGCTTCACAAGTTTCAATCTTCACTGAAAATACCTGGAAGAAGCTAGGTAAACCACAACTACAAGAGGCCAATCTGCAAGTTAAAAACTGCAATGATATTTCCTTCGAAACTAGTGGAATGTTCGAATGCTTAGTCAGTTACAAATCCAAACCTAAGATGCTGATCGGCTATGTGAGCAAATCGATAGTACACGATCTGCTAGGTATTCCTTGGATTGAAGAGCTAAACATATTTCCACGTGAAATATCTTCTGAATGGATTTCTAAAGAAAGGAGCATAGCAGAAATCAAAAAGGAAACTTCGATCGACGCTGAGCGCGAAGAGAGCCTGAAGAAGGAATTGAAAAGAAAATTTCCAAAAGTCTTCGATTCAAAGCTAGGCTTTTGCACCAAAACAAAAGCTCATCTTTTTCTGAAACCAGAGGCTCGTCCGATATTCTGCAAAGCTAGACCAGTACCACATGGCGCACTGCAAGCCGTCAATGAAGAACTGGATCGTTTACTAGAAATCGGTGCAATTAAACCGATCGAATTCAGTCACTGGGCTGCTCCAATTCTTGCTGTTAAAAAGAAAAGTGGAAAAACACGAGTCTGCATAGATTTTTCCACAGGCCTTAATAATGCTTTGGAATTAAATCGACACCCACTTCCAAGGCCAGATGATATTTACGCATCATTGCGCGGTGCACGTTTCTTCAGCCAACTAGATTTAAAGGATGCTTACCTACAAATCGAACTGGACAATGAATCAAAACGATTGTGTGGGATTAACACACATCGAGGCCTAATGCAATGCCAACGCCTTCCTTTCGGTGTTAAATCGGCTCCGTCGATATTTCAACATTTGATGGACCAAGTTCTTACTGGCATTAACGGTGCTTTCTGCTATTTGGATGACGTAATCATTGCTAGTCGATCCATCAAAGAGCACAATGAAATACTGCGAAAAGTATTTACAAAAATTCAAGATTTTGGTTTGAAGATTCAACCAGAAAAGTGCAAATTCCTGCAGTCCGAGATAAAATTCTTAGGACATGTGATTACTTCAAAAGGCATTAGTCCAGATCCGAAGAGATCGGAAGCAATTCACAAAATGCCTGCGCCACACGACATTTCATCGTTACGCTCTTTTCTCGGTGCACTAAATTATTACGGCAAATTCATCAAAACAATGCGTGAAATTCGAGCACCATTGGATGAACTCCTTCGTAAAGACGTAGAATGGGCTTGGACAGAAAAACAGCAAAAAGCTTTTGAGAAGGCTAAAGAAATTCTTCTGTCAGATCTTCTACTGACCCACTACGATCCGTCTTTACCTATTATTGTTGCCGCTGATGCATCCAAAGATGGAATAGGCGCTGTAATTAGCCATACATTTCCTGATGGCACGGAAAAAGCAGTAGAACATTCGGCTATTACCTTCACACCTGCGCAGAGAAACTACAGCCAAATTGAGAAAGAGGCTCTTGCACTAGTATTCGCCGTTCAAAAATTTCATAAAATGATTTATGGTCGACGATTCACACTGCTG